CAACTAGGCTAGGTGGCGCTAGGTACCGCCCAATTCATGTTCTACAAAAAATAATTTATTCTTTTCAGGCCACTAGTGCGCTTCAGAGCCGCTCTCCTGCGCTTGGGGATCCTCTACTATACACACACATTACACTTATTGCAAGCATTAGGTGAACATACATTGAGCACATCACGGCACACACACAAGTATCAATACAACGGAACACCACACTACCCCGAACACTACACCCGTGCTCTGCGTTTCCGTCTTTTATACTGGTCGTTTTGAACGTACGGAACTTTTCGGTGACCCCCTAAGCAATAAAAAATATTCCCAGCATGTTGATTTTTTCCCAGCAATGTCATACCTCTGAAAGTATTTTAAATGGCTCAAGGGATGAGTCTCTTATTAAAAGTAAACGCTCGATCAAGCCGTAATTATTTGAAATCCAATAAATCAAGCCGCCATAATGCGGTTCGAAGCCATGAGTTTGTTTCCCCACACGGCACGTCGTAGCCTGTATTTCTATTGGTTTTTTTCTATTTGTGCTGTTCGCGCAAAGCTGCAATTGCCGTCTTGAATTAATCTCTGTAGAGCGGATATTCACTCAGCTGGAAGTGATGCTTCACATGCTGAGAAATCGCTTTTCGATCAACTTGAATGCAGTCAAAGCCGCGACTTGCGGCAGGTGTTTAGTGTACGGAGCTACGCCGTGGCGAGCCCAAAAACGTCTAGCGCTCATCCCAGCGCACCACTTGGATTTTTTTTTTTTCGATTTTACCTTCTATTGTTTCTTAATGCCGAAATTCCATACTGTAAATATACGTACTTTCCGTCACGATTTCGTACAGTTCAGTCCTTGCCCCAGAGCGCAATCGCTCTCGGATACGAGACAATTCCGACAGTCAAATTGGCCATTGTACGATAGCGATAGGAGCTTCTACTGTTCAAACCAGCGTTCCAACATGACTATCCGCACGTTGATCGATTGCACGTAATCCCTCAAGTGGTATTAAACTTTTTAATGTAAAGCGGAATGTCAACCTGCGACACCCCGCCCCCTCATCACGGCCCGACCAACGGCATCAATGCCCGACAGTTTACGATCTCATCTTGTTGTTACACCACTGATACGCGAACACACGGTCACATCGGTGATAATTCCAGTCTTCTGTTCACAACCCACAACACTGCCATCACGATGTTGCAGCTATGTTGCTGACACGCACAAATACAGAACCACGTTGAACGCCGGTTGCACTCGGCATCGGAAAACAGAACCGAACTCAGCACGGAAGGCACCCAGGCAGCCGGCAGCAAAACCTGCCTGTCTTGGACGCAGTTCCTGCGGTTTCCATCACGTTTCCATAACGTCGAAAAATTTCGACACAGTTCCGCGTGGTTTCGCTACTGCAGCGACTGTAGTTCCGTCGGTTCGCCGCGCGCGCGAGTCCCGCAATCCGGAGACGGCCATCCCCCAGTGTACGTGGCACTGCTGGCACTGCTCCGCAACTTCGCTGTTTCTAGCGGCTTCCTTTGCTCGTTTGATAAAATTAGTGATAAAAACGTCATTGCAACCGAAATGTTCTGCAAGTTTAAACTAGAAGACGGAATTACAGGCGGCCTTCACTGCCGCTGAAGCTCAATGAACTCAACAGCTATTTATCAAACAACGTGCGCGACCTGCTCGAAAAACGAAACCGAAAGAAGATGAGTCGGGAGGGCGAAAGCTTTCTCCCGTCTGCCTGGAGAAGGAGAAAAACGTTTCGTTCCTCCCCTTTTCTCGTGTCCGGTTGGGGGCGCGTCAGTAGAAGGGAGGAAGACGCGCCGTTGCTACTTTTTTCCTCCATTTTTTCTTAGAGTGTACATCCACCCTCGTTTTCACCTCAAAAAAAAAAAAAAGAAAGATGGAAGTTTTGCGCATTGTTCATACGCTGCGCGAAGTAGTTCTTACGAGATTTGGTTGTCAGACGAAAGAACCGATGATTTTGGCGTTTGAAACGTGCATGTCTTGATAAGATAACGTATATCTAATCTTGAATGAACCTACGTGTACTAATTATTTACATAAAGAGGGAAATCAGTAATGCTCCACGAGGAGACGGACTTTTTTTTACTAGGGATCTTGAGATGAAAACGGGTATAGTGGGCCTAGCTATAGTATGTATGGTCTAGTGAAGCAAGCCTTCACTCCTGTTCCTTAACCTTTTTCGTTTTTAAGCTGATGTTTACGTGAATCTATCACCGCTGAACTGCAGCAGTAGATGTGGATTTGCCGCCGCCGCCATGGTGGCCACCTGTCGCAGCACGGCGATGCAGGTGTGCGTGCTTGTGCGCACACATTTGTGCGTGTGTGTGTGTGTGGACGCATGCGTCTCTGCGTTTATGTGTATGTGTGAGTCCCTGTGGGCGTGCGTGGGAAGGCGTTTTTTTTTATCAATCTTTTAATTTTTTAGAAAGCGCGTCCGGCAGTAACAGTGGTACGTTCGGGGTGCAATCTCTGTAGATAGTATAGTCGTAGTGCGTGCACACAAAATGAGTAATCTGGACTATGGAACACTGCGAAAGAGATTTACCCTTTGAAACTGGATGTATACGGTAGCCAAATCCACCCAAAATACGCCAGCATAAAAATTGTCCGATACCATTGGCAAAAATGATTAAAGCGAAAAAAAAAAAAATAATTCACGAGCAAATCAGTTTTACTGTTATTCACTGAAGGAGGTCGTTATTCAGTTACAAGGTCGTCACCAGACTTGTACACGTTACTAATGAAAAAAAAGTAAGAAATTACATTTACAATTACACAAAGATAAGTGGTAACTAATTACTGTTACAATTACCCTTCCATAAAAGTAAGTGACCGCTAACACAAAAAGTAGTCCTTTACTTTACAGGCGTTGCTTTCTGCCTTACTGCCCCAGGGGAAGACACAAAACACAAGTGTGTTATGGAAGCGTTTATTGTTGCTACCAGTCACACTTTTGTGACCTTGAGCAACAGATATGGCTCTGGAAAGCCTGGTCGGACGCGTTGCATCTTTTCTGAAGTAAAGACGTCGCCCGCCGCGCACACTCTCACAAATGTCTGACGCACTGCATTACGTGCTTCTCGAGAAAAAGGGAACAGCTCTCTGCCCTGGCGAAAGGACGAATCATCGTTGTTACAGTCGGAGTTTGACGCTTTTAGGAATCGCAAAGCAGTACAAATTGTAAAAACAGACAATTAAACCTAGGATAAAATCAACGTATGTGAATATATGATACAAGCGAATTTTAGCCTGCAAATATCGCCCAAGTGGCGGTACAGGAAAACAGCGAGACACGGTAATTACAGATAACAATTAAATTATAGATTAGGTGTGTTTTATATCAATCTTCCATTAGCTCTGATCACATGTCGTTCCTTGATTGAGACGTCGGTGAGGATGATCTTTTTGGATATAGAACCTGCAAAAAACATCAGGGGATCCCTCAGAAAACAAAAGTATAATGCCATTTAAAACAGAAATGTGGACGCACGCATGCCGTGCATACCGTTTATTGATGCCGTTCAATTCGCATGTTGCACGGGTCGGCCGTTTACACTGCTCAGTGTTCTCAAGCTAAATGTCAGCTGCAACGATTTTAATGATGAAAAAAAAAAAAATGCAGTCCGTACTTTTTTATATTGTTTATTTAAGCACAAGTGACCAAAAACGGGTCACCTTGCCCTGAAAAACTGCTATTCCGCTGCGTAATCGCGAAGAAAAAAAAAAAAGGAAAATTTTGCCGACCTGTTTTTCTCCGCTGCTACACTCGCCGTCAGCCCCGTAACGAACCGTCTTTTGTGTCGATCGGTCGCCGCGACCTTCTCTGAAGAAAGAATTCAAGGGGAAACCAGGAGATCCCCCAGAGTATCACTCGAAAGGCGACCTGGAGAGTTGAGAGGCACTTTGACTTCCGATTTGTTTCATTTCTTTAAATAAAAACTAACGCGCGCCAGAAAATACGGTTTTTTGTTCTTCGTTTCATAGGTGACACAGATTAATCTCCGCAGTTAATTGGCCAAAGTCTGAAAATTGTTGCACCACCCGTATAAATCGGACATTGGCATTGGTTCAGACATTGGCGTTCGAGTATATGACCGAATGCGTTGCGACCGCCTCCGACTGCATACGCCGAGAAGGTTGAACGCCAGGAGTGGTTAACACAATCGGTCAAACTGAAAGAGACGTGTGGTCCCGGCGCAGCTCTCTGATTGACCACGAGCACTGTGATGGCATCCATTCAGACGATCGCTTCACCAATGCGTCTGGTGATGTGGTGATGTTACCTATAAGTCACTCCACGAGTTTTACTCCGCGCTATCGTCCGACAGAGCCAATCAAACAGCACCAAAACTGCATCGTTACGGCGCTGCCTTCTGATTGGATGGCACCATCTTAGCTCCCAGTTTATCTGACCAATCACGCGGCTTGACAAAAAAAAGAAAAAAAAAAAGCTACGGTGAACAGGTTTAGCACGTTCCACAAATTACAGTCTGCCGCGTGCCGCGTAACAAATAATGCGCCCGGGTTAGTTCGGAACATGCGCCATGTTCCTCGTGAGTACACTTTCCAGCAGTGCATTCGGAGAGCCTACTTCGTGATCCACGGCGTGACGGCCTCGACGAATGATGAAGCCGAAAATATGCTACCATTGACCAACCCGGCGGAGCGAATAGCCGCAACCTTGCACTTTCGGTCTGTGCGTCTGTAATTGAGTGTCTCTCCTTACCTTGAACTGCGCTCTGATTTATGGTAAAACAAAGTACAAATAAATTGAAGTCGGCGATCTAACATTGAGCATGACTGACTATTGAGCATGAAGGTGAACACCTTACCTGGTTTCTTGCCTGTTTTACGGCTGCCTAAAACTATATTAACTCTAAACGTCTCAAATGGTACGTGGCTTGGGGGTCTATACTTTGCGAGCCCTCTTCTAGAACAGAGCTTGTTCCAAAACTTGCAAAAGCGTCAAAAACAAGAAGAGGGCCGTTCACCTTCATATCGCTCGCGGGTGTACACGCCATGCTTAGTGTTAAAGCAGTGCTACAGTTTGGGCTGCAGAGTTACGCGTTTCTATATTCGCGCATTTGTTCTCACCGTCTGCTCATCGAGCGTCTTCCAGACCCTAACGACGGGGACATGGCGTTCAGGGGGCGACTGCGCAGTCGACGAGTCTGGCCCCTTCCGGCACAACTTCGACAGCTGCGTGCACTGCGACTGGATCTGGAAGAGTGACGCCTGCGACGCCTTCTACCGAGAGCTCGGTGCGGATATTTTCTTCTGTATACACACCGTTCCCGTGAACGACCATGTGCGCCTCCTTGCTCGCAAGGTTGTGCTCGGCTTGGAGTCACTACATACGCTATATACGCTCGAGGGTAAGGACACTTCAAGAGGCAATAGGGTGGATTTTAAGTTCGTCTTTTGGAGGCGTAAATTCAGTTTAACTGCCCTAAACACCTCAGAAAACCCCCAAAATACAATAAATCGTGCGTCGCCCATTTCTTCGTTAAACAAGACCAAACATCGCGGACGCCCCTTTCCTGAGGTATGTTCCAGGCGTTCCAGGACGCATGATTTTACTTATATATATATTTTTTAGGACGTTTAGAGCACATAGATTGAGTTCGGAGCATAAAAAGACCGATGTCAAAACCCACTTTAGTGCACCTTTCAGCTATTTTGGTGCTTACACTCATGGCTGCCAGCTATCCGAAACATTATCTAAAATCGCAGGGGCCACTTTTCCATCATCCCGAAAAAGTTAAATGCTAAATAGAAAAAAAGAAAAGAAAAATATATATGGCCTGAGTTTTCTGGCATCTTACCAAGTTCAGCGCTCTGCACCAACATGTCGGCGTCCACAAGATAATCGAGAAAAAAAATGGTTACCGATACTCTAAGCGTAGTTTTAGTGACTCTAGCTCAGCCCAATCTGATCATGGGGAGGACTTGAGCAAAACCGCTTTGCAGGTGACGTCCCCCACCTGCCATGATCTATCGTATCTTGGGCACGACGATTTCTGCAATGAACACCTAATCTGGAAGTATACGCTGACAGAGATGAAGTTTTCGTTACTGTGCACACCTGCCATGATCTATCGTATCTTGGGCACGACGATTTCTGCAATGAACACCTAATCTGGAAGTATACGCTGACAGAGATGAAGTTTTCGTTACTGTGCACACCTGCCATGATCTATCGTATCTTGGGCACGACGATTTCTGCAATGAACACCTAATCTGGAACTATACGCTGACAGAGATGAAGTTTTCGTTACTGTGCACACCTGCCATGATCTATCGTATCTTGGGCACGACGATTTCTGCAATGAACACCTAATCTGGAACTATACGCTGACAGAGATGAAGTTTTCGTTACTGTGCACGGCCGTTGTTCATACGAAAACAGCGTATGAATCCGTTTTGAAAAGGAATATTCCAAACCCACGTCTTATAGAGGTACACAAATAAGGCCTGCAGCTAGCTGTGTTGTCTGACTGCAAAGACAAACACGCAGACGTGCAATCAAACGGGTCTGCAAGCTTGACAAAGAGCTTAATTTTCCCTAAACGACTGATAGACCGGTGTCTTAAGAAAGGTGCAGGTTTTCGAGCGAAGGACATAATGAATAGCCCGAGAAGATTTCGATAACACGAGGGCACACTTGGTCGAACGGCCCACGCGGGTACTTCATTTATTTATAACTCAACAGGTATATGGATGACCTTGCGCCGCAAAGTTTCCCCATAATAACCAATAAATCAATAATAATAATAATAATAATACTAATAGTAAAAGAAGGCTAACCAGGAAACTTGCGGTCAGTCTGTGCGCAAGACGGAAGAGTACATATGGCAATGGTTCAGGACAAGGCGCTTCTATAATTGTTTCCCAAATAAATCTTTTCTTAACTTTTTTCTAAGAATTGCTAAGCCTTCTCCTTTCTTTCGACGGTTGTCACAAACGGCTATTTCAGGATTGATTTTTTTTTTTTTTTTTTTTTTTTTACCGTGTTTTTCCGGTGAACATGTTCGCCTTCGCGCGTCCAAGGTCCTCCGTATACCTCTTCCTGTTTGCTTCGGTTTTATTCGAGCACGCGTTGGACTATCAGCAAATGTCCAGGAGCTTCCTTTTTCCCCGTTGCTAGATTGACGTACACACGAACCACAAAAAAAAAAAAAAAAAAAAGAAGAAAAAACGCGCTTTATGCTTGCAGCTTTTGCGCCGCTAATGGTATCGCAACTAATTACACAGCGCTACGACGTTTGTGTTAGTGCCGACCCTATGACTTGAACGTGCGCCAGCGCGGCGTCAGCGTTTACCGAACTTGACCAAATAAACGAGACAACACGAGAAAATATGTGCAGCTTCATAGCGGTGCGCCAATGCTATCCGAAAAAACAAAGTAGAGTCATGGCCTGCTTTTGCGTCTTCCCTATATGATGTCTACTAAATATGGAAGAGGAAAAGTGTATTTAAAGGTTGGCCAGGAGTCAAGGCAGCACTGAAACTAATTAGTGACTGCAATATTTGTCCGAAGCGCACTCTTAAAGGGATGCTGAACCAAACATTTTAGTGTCTATAATAAGTGACACACTATCTTTCCATGAGTCAGTAGCCGCCGGCACACGAAACAAAATTGACGTCATCATGTCCCCCCTTCACGCTTAGTAAGCTTGAATGGGGGATATGATGACGTCAATTCCGTTGCGTTTGCTCACGCACACCGGCGGCTGCGTGGACCACTGAGGACTTAATAAACATGAAACGATTATTTTTTTCTTGGCCAACATGTGCCAGTGTTGCGGCCCTGGCAGGTCGAAGCAGAACAACCAACTACTTCTAGAATAATCGTGGCATGTGAACAACGTCCTCTATATAAATGTGGAACGTCATAATTCAAACTGCATCAACTGAGCAATTGGGTTCGAGCACGACACCGAGCATGCTTCAACGCATTGACCGAACAGGAGGCCAGGCCGAATGCTGACTTTGCACTTGTGACCAATCTGTGTCTGTCTTCGATCTGAATGCGATTACACCAAAATCCTAGTGCAGGGGCTTTCATTATTTTAGGTGGTCTTGGGCTGCAGGGGGCGGCATAACCACACATTTGTTCTGATTGATCCTCAGCCACGGCCAACGTGGAGAGCATCACGTACGAACTGGCATCGCATCCCAATCCGGGTCTGTTCAGCAAGTTCTTCGGCGAGAAGGGCTACCAGCGGGGCAAGGCCGTCGTCGCGCAACTGCCTACCTCTAAGACGGACGGGTCCACCAAGCCACCTCGCGGGTGGTCGTCCGAAACCGACTGGCGACGCCGCATCTCGGGTGTGGCCGACGTCGAGAAACAGTCCCGCAAGTCCACCAAACTCGTGATGGCACAGCGAGCCGTCAGCCGCCTCCGCCACTGGACGTCCGGGCACCAGGCCACCGACAAGACGACGACGCCAGCGCGGAAAGACGACGAGGACGACGCCAGGAGCGTCGAGGAGTCCACGACCCTCCTCGACAAGGACACCTCCGAAGATGCCTCCACGGGGTCGTCCGTCACGAAGACGTCGTCGTCGGCGGGCGACCTCCTCAAGAAGGTTTCACCGTCGAGCCTCAAAGCTTCGAGGAAGGCACGGTCGACCCTGTCCGTGGTAGTCAACACCGCGGGAAATACCAGGGCTTCCGGCGACTTCTGCAGCAAAGCGGGGGTGATACGGTTCAATGGCGGCCCTGGCGGGAGTCTCAAGCCCGCTGGAAAGATCATGGCGGGCACGGGTTCAGACGACACGTGGCCGGAGAAGAAGGTACATCAGGCTGAGTGCACTCAGAGGTCCATCGATGGGTTCTTCAAGCGCTTCGTTCGAAAGAAGTAGGAACCGAGATCCACTCGATCTCACAAAAAAGAGCGGGTTAGGATTTCTTGGAGGACGGTGGACGGTGCGGCAATGGGAAGGCTTGTAGCACGCGCTCGCTGGTGAATCGGCGCACTTCTTTTTAACCTTTATTTCATTTTATTGTTTAAAATAAAAGGGCGCTGCGGGACCACTATGCTGTTGATATGGGGACATCGCATGTGTTGCATAATTTTCTTTTATTTGTCGCAGCTGTTCATTAAGAGACAAAAAAAAAACGCGAAAAAAGTGTAACTGATGGCAAATCAGCGGTAACGATACCTTCAACTAACGTTATTGTTATTCAACTATATCCTCTTGAGTATTCATAACCCAGGCAGATGAACAGAAAAGAAAGTTGGAGTAGCCACCGCAAATATATATTACGAAATAAATTTTGAAGAAATTTGAAACACTTCTTTACTAACCCTTTACTGTCCATTTTCTCTAAAAGCATTGTTAGTCCCCATCGTGCGTGAGCCCGGTCTTACGGTTTCTTTTCTTTCTAGTTCTGTGTCCCCGCACTTCCCACTTTGCACGCAAAGAGCACTGCTTTCCACAAATCTATTACAAATACAAACAAAAGAGAGAGAGAGAGAGAAAGTCGTCTGTCACAGTTAACATGTGTATTTCGGAACGACGGGCACGCAGAGTTTCGAGACGGAATTCTCTTGCGGTCTGAACTCATATCAAACAAGACCACGGATTTAGCTTAAATTGCGCAAATGAATTATTATTATTATTATTATTTTCCGAAATAAAGTTAACTCAGCTCTGGACTGAAAGGATCAAATGCGAAGGGAAGTAGTTGACACATATGCGGGGCGCAAGTTTGTCTGCTTCTTGCACAGGGATTGCGATGATGTCAAAACGCCGAACTCTTATTGGCTGATTGAAACATATAGTGGGTATACCTCAAGGCATCTAGCATTGAGGTCTACCCACCAATCAGAACTCGGCGTCGTTCTGACGTCACAGCAACCCCTGCGCAAAAAGCAGACGAACTTCCTCTCCGCGTTACTTACGTGCCCAGCCTTTAGAAATGAAGGAACAGCTTATACATATATAAAAGAAGAAAAACGTGGATGTTCTGAACAATACTGGCCCAAAATCAATATTCCAAACTTATCATATTTTCGCTTAACCAGCCACACGTATACCGACCAGCTCTTGGTGAGCATACATAAATCAATATTATGTTTGGTGTACTGTGTCGTAATCAACGTTTTAGCATAATTGCTTTACCCCTGATTTGACTATCCAATTGATAAAAAGTGTTATGTGTTCTCTATCTTGCCTTCAAACAGAGTATAACCCGGTAGAGCCCATGTTGTTCGGACAAAACATTTTGTTTTAATTAAATATATTTCCCTCGTTTAGTCCAGTTCGCTCGTATATTTTATTCTCTGCGCGTGCACACAAGATACATATTCTGTATTTTTATTCCCTGATGCAAGTAGCGACAATGACCAAAACGTTATCCACCCAAATTTATTTATCATGTTTCCTAAAAATAAACACCATGGTATTAATTTATGCTTTTTTTTTTATCTTCTACCGCTCTTACTTGAAATGTACACAGACAAAATGACATTGTCAGTAAATTGACGAACGGCGTTTTCCACGTGACAGAAAAGGCAAGCGACTTGTCGTACGACAGCAGTGTGGAAATGGTATACTATAGGGCACCTACCCCAAGAAGAAACGACGCCAAGGGCAAATCCAAAACTCCATTTTTTTTTTTTTTTTGGGGGGGGGGGGGGGGGGGGGCGGCGGAAAATTTGTAAGAATACAATTCTCCCATTCTTTCGTGTGCAACGGGGGGGTCCACCCATGCCAAATTGCCCTCCGAGGAGGGGGATTTGGATCCGCCCCTGGACGACGCCAAGTTTTAGCAAGTCGCGGCGCCAGATACAATCTCGTCGGAGTGGCAGGCAGTCGATAACGTCGCCGACGTCTGCGTCGACTGTCTGTCAAGGGAAAAGAAACGAGGCGCCGACATTGACTCTACAAAACGGAGGCGGCTTCACCTTAGCCGTTTTTCCTTGACCGCAAAAGCAGCAAGTTCTCGGGAACAATTAGGCAAATCATCGGCCTCAGCCCTGACCACGAACCGACTAATGAGCCGCGAAAACTGGGTTACACACACGCGACGCCGTTTAATAGTACTTCAGCTTTATGTTTCTCTTTTGTCATCCGCAAAGAAGGTTGAAATCGTGATACAGAAACAACAACACCGATTGCGCCTCCTGAAGCGAAACTAACAATTGCAGTGTACGTGGCGCCACCTTGTAGAAAAGATGAACATTACTCTAGTCTGGTGCGTATCTGGCGACATCTACATTCTGTGGAAGGAAGTCATTGGAGGATTGAATGTAAAGGCGCGAAAACGCAACATCGACAGTTGAAAAAGAGGGAAAGGAATCTTTTTCTCTTTCCCAATAGCTGGGGGCATTGGAAACAATAAAGCCACACGTGGTCCTTGGCACAGAGTCCTGGCTCGATAATACAATAATGGACAGTGAAATATTTCCATCCACGTATACCACGTACAGGAAAGATCGCAGCGTGCACGGTGGAGGTGTCTTTGTCCTTATTCATAATAGTCTTAGTAGCCTCTCTGTCAATATCGAATGCAACACATGTGAAACTGTTTGGTGTAAAGTTATGCTCCAGGATGGCTCCTCTGTAGCGTTTGGTTCCTTTTATAGACCACCCGGCGCAAACACTGCACAGCCCCTCCTTCGATCAGCTAAGCAATATCCTTTTGAGCCTTGAGGCAACATATACCATTCTTGCAGGCGACTTTAACCTGCCAAATGTAGAATGGGTCTCTTTTCAGCCAATCATTCAGACCACGTCTCTTCTTTATTCAGCTTTTCGTGATATGATCAATGCACACTCATTATTACAGTTTGTGGAAACGCCAACAAGGCTTGGTCCTACGAGTGCTAATGTGCTAGATTTGTTTTTATGCAGTGACCGTAATATTGTTTCCTCTGTTCTTACAATACCTGGTATAAGCGATCATGAGGTTGTTGTCGCAAAAATGTGCTGTAATGCAACGCGCCGTCGCAGTTCACAACCACGGAAAGTGTTTTTCTATGAAAGCGGGACTACGTTTCGCTATCGAGTGAACTAGATGAATTTTTTCCAGAATTCCAGCTGCATACCTCAGCTTTAGATATTAATTCAGCGTGGAATCTTTTTAAGACAAAAATTTTATCTTTAACCCAGACGTTTGTTCCATCACGTATCATATTGGCAAAGCGCCGAAACGATAAACCGTGGATGAATAGAGAACTTCGAACATTGATAAGCAAAAAGAATCGTTTGTTTCGCCGGTATTGTCAATCGAGGGAAACTGTGTTTTACCTTAAAATGAAAGAAATGAATAGGAACATAGCAAAAGAAATGCGCAAGGCACAAAACAAGTATGAAAGAACTCTCTCTGAAAAAGTCAAAAGAAATCCTAAGGAAGTGTGGAAATACGTAAAAAACAAGAAAAATTCTAATATTACTATCCCTGATGTAGTGGATGGCATAGACTATAGCAACGATCGAGAAGGCAAGGCTGAAAGCTTCAACTTGTACTTCCAGTCAGTGTTCACTCAGCCAGGCAGCATGGTTGATAGTCTAAGGAATTTCAATGGGTTTTCACTTATGGATGACATAGAGTTTTCAGAGCACGGCATCACTTTGCTCTTACAGAAGATCAAGGTAGGCTCAGCGCCTGGCCCAGACCGCATTTCTAACTATATTCTGAAAAATTGTGCCCCCTCTGTTGCTTCATATCTAATAGTGTTGTTTAGAAAATCATTTGAACAAAGTGAGTTACCTCTTGATTGGAAAAATGCAAATGTAGTTCCTGTACATAAAAGTGGAGACAAAACAAAAACTTCTAACTATAGACCTATCTCTCTAACAAGCGTTTCCTGCAAGACACTAGAACACATTATTTACACTAACTTAATTAGTCACCTACAAGGTAATAATTTTTTTCACCCAACGCAACATGGCTTTAGGACTGGATATTCTTGCGATACACAATTAGTAGAGTTTACCCATGATATCGCTACATCGATAAACCATGGTAGCCAAGTTGATTGTGTCTTTTTAGACTTCCGAAAGGCATTTGATTCAGTATCACACACTCTATTGCTGCAAAAATTATCTACCATTCATATTCCAAATACACTCCTTAAATGGCTTGAAGCCTATCTCGTTGGCAGGAAGCAAAATGTTGTCCTCGACGGTTTGAATTCGTCATATGTAAGCGTCTTATCAGGTGTCCCACAAGGATCTGTGCTCGGTCCCCTTCTTTTTTTGATATACATAAATGATTTAGCTGTGAATATTTCTAGTTCCGTCAGATTATATGCCGATGATTGCTGCGTTTACCGTGACATAACATGTGAAGCGGACTCTGAACTTTTGCAAAATGACCTAAGCTCTATTCTATCCTGGTGTCAAACATGGCAGATGACTCTGAACCTAAACAAATGCAATCTGGTCAGGTTTACTAACAAACGACGACCGCTTCTCACGGAATATTTTCTTGGTGGCACAAGCTTATCTGTTGTTTTACAATATAAATATCTAGGCGTTCTCTTTTCCAGCGAACTATCCTGGAACTCTCATGTTAATTACCTGTCCTCTAAAGCCAGCCGCACATTAAACTTCCTTAAACGCAACTTTAGGCAAGCGCCTGCAAAACTCAAAGAAACTTTATATATGGCAAACGTGCGTCCGATTTTAGAATATGCTTGCACCGCGTGGGATCTTTACACTAAGACAAGTATAGATGAGCTCGAACGCATACAAAAACGTGCAGCGCGGTTTGTGACTGGCGATTATGATTTCTCAAAAAGCTCGTCTGCTATGTGTACTAAATTAGGGTGGCCTTCGCTTGCTGACCGCCGAAAATATCTTAGACTGTCCTTATTTTACAACACATTTAATAACAGAAATGGCATTAATAAAGAACAATACATAAAAGAACCAACTTATGTGTCTCCCCGTACAGATCACCCTCTGAAAGTCCACGAATACAGGTGCAGAATAAACATATTTAAGTATAGTTTCTTTCCCCGTACAGTACATGATTGGAACAACTTACCAGCTGAAATTGTCTCTGCTCCATGTTTCTCATTTTTTACAACGCTGCAAAATTTTCTGTTAAATTAGTTTTTGCTGTCAATCTCGTATCATCTTTTTCTTGGTGTTTTTGTTGTAAAATTGCTGTGGTGGTATCACCTACATAGTTTGCTATTGCTGTCATTGTCATTGTTCCCGCGTCACACAGTCTGCTGTTTATTATGTACTATGCATCTGTGTATATCTTGTACTGTCTTCCCCCCTACAATAATGCCCTATTAAGGGCGCTGTAGGTAACCGAATAAATAAATAAATAAATAAATAAATTGAAGACAAAATTTAAGGTCTGGGTGTTAAAATCTTTAATGCATGCTAAATCTCTGCATGTGCAGTGAATTTACAGGCAGAAGCTGGAGCAGCATGTGAAAGTCTGCAGGAATATTCCCACATCTTAACATAACAGTATCCGTGGAGACACAGCTAGTAATTAAATTACACATGCGTGTGCAGGTGTACTTTTATCCACCACTTCACGCGTAGAGCAAACCGTGAACACTTCTGCATGAGCATGATGTCACTTGGCGTATGTCATGACCGTAGCTGCACTGCACTCTGATGTCGGACCTGGCAATGAGGCTAACTTGAGCAGAGTTCTATGGCTCCTTTGCATATACAGGTGAATGAAAACAAAAACAGGAAACCCTAAATTTATGGGCTGCACCAGACATCCTTGGTAACACAAAACTGGCTTCAACACAATCCTGCATAGAGCATGACACAGCTAGCTTGAACAAGCAACCATCAAATTTGCATGTCTTCGTCTCCCACAACTAAATGGCAGCTGTTGAAACTGCCATTAAAGTGAAATTTGCTCATGTGTGGTATCAGTCTCAGTGGTTAAGATTTCTGTTTGACAATAACCTATGCGAATGATTGAACTGGTCTCACCAGTCACTTAGATTAGACTGCCACTGCCGCAACATTTCTGCACGGCGCGACAACCTTGCTGTTGTTCTGCGCTTGCGCATGCTCTCCTACCTGCCTCCTGCGGGCAATTATAGGGCATCACGCATGCGTCGACCATTTGGTGAAATCGGTCTTTCCCAGAAAAATGTTGACCGCCCTTTTTTTTCTAATAGTATAACAAGGTCTGCATCAGATGGAAATAGTGTTCTTGCAGATAGCTCCCTATCTAGGTTTCCAGCTTAACAGCATGTCATACACAAAGAGAAACAAAAGTGGTGTTTCTCCCCAAGATCGTAAGACGCCTTGAGATCATAAAAGACAATGGATTAAAATAAAGGTATCACATGTCATCTGCTGCAAAACGATTTCTGCAAATCCAGCATTGCTGAAGGTGGCACTATACACCACAGCAATGCATTGTGTAAGCTCCTACGGGCTGATGGCAAAGCCGTTGAGAAATAGCATTTGGTGTAGAGACGATTCTCCAGAAGCATACAATCTGCTTCCACCAAACACCCCGGCGATAGCTCCCACCACCTTCAAGAGCAGATTGAGAGTAAGGGTCTGCAACCACTAGCATACCAAGTTACTGGACTCATCACTGCAAAGATTGTCCGAGGACACTTTTATGTGGTCACACTAAATGCTGAGAGTACCAGCTCCAACTCACGTCTGCTTCTCTTGAAACACGGTGGGACGCTCAGAACCTCAAGTCCGCCAGTTCCTTCTCTTTCTCCTGGAGGCTTGCCTCCAGAGCCAGCACCCTCTTTCTCAGCTTGACGATAACGCTCTTGTAGAAGAGCAGGCGCTGCGTCTGGATCTGGCAGCACCTCCGTTTAGGCCTAGGCTCCGAGTCAGTTACAGACGCTTCACTGCCACCTCCCGGCCTGGTAGGCCGCCGCGGCTGGTTCGAAAACACGATCACGTTTAAGTTCTTCGGTGGCTGCGACCCCGGCGCGGGATCGCTAGACGCCGGTTTGTCCGATTCCTCGCCGTCGTCGTCGTCTTCGTCCGACGCGACGTACTCGGGATCTCCGTCGACTTCTCCGTCATCTTGCGGCGGCTGATGTAACGTGAAAGAGATTGTCTCACCGAGGTTGCCGTCGTCGGCTCCGCCACCACTGCCTTCTATGCCTTGAACCGATTCGCCAGGCGTCTTGGGCATATAGACCACCATATCGGTGTAGACCTTCTGCCTCCGCTGTCGGCCCGTCCTACGCGGGTTGGCGGCGCCACTCGCGTCATCGTCGTCGTCTGGAACGTCCACGTCCTCGGCGACTAGGGACCGGAACACGGCCGCCTGCTGAGACTTGGGCTTACGCCCGCGCTTCTTAGGGACGTAGGACGACGTCGTCTCTTTGAAGACGGACGGGATGGCGGACGGCAGGAGGAAGTTCTTGCGGGCCGTCATCTTGTAGTCCTCGTGCGTGAAGTGTTCCCCACAGACCAGGGTCCATTCGGTGAAGAGTTGGACCCCCTGCTTCCCCAAGACGTCGAGCCAGAGCGCTCGCCACGGCTCGCCAGACGGAATCTGGTGGAAGGTGAGACCCGGGATCCGCTCGCGGGAGTTACGGCAGCCCGGGATGCAGCACTTGCCCATGCTGGACACGACCAGGGGCGAGCTTCAGGTAGCTTGAGGGGTCACGACAGACCCTTGGATCGTAGAGTCTGGGCTTCAAGTGTAGTTTGCGTGGTTGAATTAGCGATAAAAATACCGATGTTTTGAAATCGACTGCGACGCGGCCATCAACAAATCGTCACGTCGATGACGATAGGATGTATGGAGAGAAAAAAGAGTTCGGATTTTGATGGTTGCCAGATCATGAGTCTTTACCACTAAGATGGGAAGATCTTGCTTTTAAGAAAAACGAGAAGGACATAAAGAACAACAGTGCCAGCTTGCTCAAAGACCACGCTTTCAAAGGCAGCTTGCATTGGGTATGGTGCCTGGAATGCATTTCGAACTGGTGTGTGGTGATGTCATAGAAGTGCCATGCTGTCACTGGTCGCGATTTGGCCGATGTCCCAGCAGCAGTAGTGGATGTAGCAGGCATCTATCTGTTCTGCTGCAGGTCACTCTCCGGCCTCTCCAGTGTGGCAGTCCACAGAAGCTTTGGCAACCAGAAGTTGGGACTGCGCGATGACAGCGCCACACACATTCGCTCATACTTTTTGCCAGCATTTTTAAGGCCGGTATCATATCACATCCAACAGCAAGACACTCCGGCTTCTATGACGTCATTTGTTGCCACTTCGGGACAACTTTTGATGTAGGGGCGCATTAGGACACTAGACACTGAAGCGCATCTCCGACATAGTCGGAGATGCGCTTCAGGCACTATACAACCATACTTCGGGGCTGTCCTTGAAGCAACGCAGTCCAAAACAACAGACAAGCTCTTGTTCTGGACCACAGAAATTCTGGCACGATGAGGAGCACATGTTTGCCTGCTTCTTTTGCAGGGGTTGTATGGGACGTCAGAACACTGAGCTCCGATGGCTTTGATTAAAGAATTGTGGGTAGACCTCAAGACAGCTTGCTTCGAGGTCTACTTACTATCCTTCAATCAGAGCCAATCTGAGCTCGACGTTCCGACGTCATTCCAACCCTTGCAAAAGAAGCAGACAAACTTGCGCTTTGCATTAACTTGCTATGATATCATAATTCATACACGCCCTATACCTTTCCTATGATCCTCAATAGACCCCTTTCGAAAGTCACATGCTTATTGTTAAAAGGTCTAAAGCATTGCATAACGGCAGAACAAGTGACGCCACAGAACGCAAATCTAAAGCTACAAACGCTAGAAATGAAGTGGCACTATACTCCGTTTCACCTTCAGTCCGAGCGCAGTGGACGCCACGAGCCATCCCAGTCGATCCAGCGCCGGGAGAAAGTCGCGTGACCTGCCGGTGGGGCGGGGCGACACAAGGAGCTCAAGGTCGCATGACACTCCCTCAACGCCGCATTGGCTGGGATGGCTCCTAGCGTCCGCTGTGCTCGGACGGAAGGTGAAACGGAGTATAGTAGGGTTTCTAGGGCTCCTTCATTGGCAGTGTTTTTTAGGTCCACCATTGTGCAGGGATTCCATAGCTTCCCACAGAGGGCACACTTTCAAAAGGGGTCTATAACTCAATATGTAAACCTTGGCAACCTCACAACATATTGAAGGCCAAGCTAAATATCTTAGTGTCTGCAACACAATGCAGCAAAAAGCAAGGCACTTTTATTTTTAGCCATTAATCTTTTTCATGGTCAGCACATTCACCCACTTCAAGTTCATGCCCAGGTTTTCAGGAAAGTAAGTAGATGTCCCTGCAGTCACTACCAGGCATCACAAAACAGGATGACAGTGCACCATATGAATCATTCTCTTGTAGAAAAGAGCACAGGCTGCTGAGTCTGTCCGGCACCAACCAGCAAAAAGTGTCCTTCAGTTGGCAGCTGGACCCTTCGCCTTGGCGGACCTGGCAAAGTGGACCACAAGTGGTCTCCCTTTGAGCAAGAAGCCATTGGTGTCTCTGCGTGCCCTTTCGGCCTGGCTTTCACTAGCAAATGTTAGAAAAGCCTGACCCTTCATACGCCCTTCTTTCATAAGCCGAATGTCAAACGTGTATCGCTCGAGCTCCGACTTCAAGTCCACGTAACCTCCGTAAATTCTGAACAGGTCCTCGACCTCCACCCCTTTTGCCACATTCTTAACGTAGAGCCTCGACGCCGGGTTTCCGGGCTCGTAGTTCCGAAACACCGATGCCTTTCGCATCTCCTCTGACGAAATCCTGCCATCTCTGATTTCCCGCTGGCTCATGAATGCCGTGCCGAACCAGTCGTACAGGTTCTCTTCCTGCTGCTCCTCTTCGGCTTGAGCAGGCTTTGGCTGAGACGCCAACAAGCCAAACCCGCCTTCCTCCACGATGACCGGGCCCCCACTCGACTCCACCCGGCTACCGTCGGCAGATGAAGCCGGATTCAGTACAGCTTCTTTCGGCTTGATGTTGAACAGGATCTGTTTGGGGGCGGCTGAAGCGTCGGCGACCGCGTCAAAGACTTCAGCGACCTTGGGTGCATCCGGCTGGATTGGTTGGGGGGGCAGAAGCTTCTGGAGTTTGGGTCTCTTCACCTTAGGCGCCTTCTTGCGTTTCTGCGGCAGCGGAACCTGTCGGGAGGCCAACAGCGCCGAGCTGTCGCCGTCGCTCTCCATCTCGGATTCCTCTTCGCTTGATTCGGGTTCCTCCTCTGCGTCCTCCTGAGGAGCGAGGCACTGGTGCATGGCGTAGACATGTTGCATCATGGGCGGCTGAGGCAGCAGCGGTCCAAAAGGCGCCGGCAAGTTCATCTTGTTCATCAGGTGCAGGACCTGGTTGTAGAACTTGGGCACCGAGATCAGCATGGTCGCGATGTTGGCCACCGTGGATGGAGAAGGCGGTGGGTAGGCGTAGCGCAGCATTGGGTTGAGGACGTAGTCAAGACCCAGGTCGGCGGAGAGCGAGTGCAACTTGAGCGAGAACTCCTCCATCTTGGATTTGAAGTCGCCCTTCGAAGTCGTGTCCGAGTCACCAGTGGCGCCGGTCCCTTCTTGGAACCGGTCAAATTTCGTCGGGAAGTGGCGGTCGGCCTGCTTTTGGGACGCATATTCGACGACCAATAGGCTGCCGAGGAGTTCAGCCTGATGCAGTCGGCTGAGTGCCTGATCGGCTGCTTCTTGCGTCGGAAAGGTGGCGAACGCGGTGTGGCGGAGTTTTCCGGTCGGGCGCATGCAGCTAACGCGGTCCGCGCCGAAGAACTTGAGGAGATCGATTTTTTCGGACTCAGTTAACGAGCTGGGCAGGTGACGAACTAGTAGTGTCTCACACTTTCGCCGCATTTTGTTGACTCGCGGTGAGGCGGTAGCGGAAGGTCAAACCTGGGGCCTTATTCACGCAGAGTCAGTGAAAACCCTGTTCAAAGGTGACCTTCTTAGACTGGTGTTTTCAAACGCGTTGCAACGGTTTCATTAGCTCTGTTTCGCAAGCTATGGTTCAAAACCGACACTGAACAGCACTGACAGCACCACAAACCACGGCGACACGACACATTGCACACACACCGACGTGAGCGACGCGGCTTCGTCCGGATTCATTTTGTTCTTGGCTTGGCCGCTTAAAGCAAACAGAGCCGCTCATATCTGCGATCTGCGATGATCTGCGACAAGCGAGCCAAACGGCTGAGCTTTTATGTGAACACTCACTTGTAAATAAATATTCTAGAATTAAAAAAAAATAAATCACACCTTATGTGGATTTAAAACTTTATTAAAACCTTTCTGAAATTTGCTTTTTTTTTTTTTTTTTCTAGACGTTTCCATTGGCTATGTTTAGCAGAATAGATTGCACCTCTCGTCAGTGTAAACAACAGTCATGGGCTCGTCGTCTGGATAATTTGGAATTTTGCTGCCAAATTCTTTGCTTTGTTGAGAGGTAAGTCCTCACCAATTCCGCAGGATATTTCCGCACCTCAACTAGTTCAAAATGCACACTAGACTAGCCACATCACTTCAAACAGCGTTTGAAGACGGCACGAGCCGCCTCCGCTAGAACCCGCGTATCTGATCACGGCGAAGGCCTAAGCTTCAACCCTGACCGTTCCTCTTGACAATCAACTAAAGGAAATCGGGGGACCACGGAAACGAATCACTGACTCATCAGTCACCGATTAGTGATTCTGCATGTTTACGCGTTCCTGATTCCTTCTCTGGTGGCAGGTCCGAGCGCGGTCTTCTAAGGTCAAGTGATGCCGTTGGCGACGGATGTAAAGGCCAACGGTCGGTCCCTGCTCACCGACGACGCTTTGTAGGCTTCAGAAACGCCCAAATTCGTAAGTTTTTTTCGCGTATCAGAGGAAATTTAATTGACCAGGCGGTCAGTTCCACTCTACCGTGGTGCCGGCTTGAAGAGTTAACGTGGATAGCCTTTATGTTAAACTACGTCGCGTTGGCACGGGACGACTGACCGTCTAATCCGACTCGTCGCTGCAATACACTTAAACTGGCTGCAAAACCGTTAGTCGCTTACGATTGAAGTCATTAAATCTGGTTTTCCGCAGTGTTCTGCTTTGTTAGAAAGAGCTGTGAATCTGAAGAAACTTCGAGATCGATGCTCCAGTTAGTGAAGTATGAGGCTAGCATTGGGGGAGGGGGGGGGGGGGGGGGGGGGTTGGTCGGTCGTAAATACGTCAATTTAAAGGGTGTTCCAAAAACAAATTCACAGGGTTTCTTTCACCGCAAAGACTAACTATGCATCACCGAACGCTCATTTTCCGCCGAAAGGTAGTGGTAGAGGTCCGGACCGGATGCCAAAGTTTCAGCACGAACCAATATTTCATTTAAAAGTTAAGTGTTTATCTCAAAATTTCAATGGGAAAATGGGGTTCATTTTCGCCCGTTTTCGGTTTCTTGCATGTATTCGAGAGTTCCGTCGGCCACCATTTTCCCATTGACATTTTCAAAAAATTATAACTTTTGAATAAAATATTGCTTCGCGCTGAAACTTTAGCATCTGGTTCGAACCTCGAGCTCTACCTTCGGGCTTTGAATGAGAGTTCAGCGATCCATAGTTTATTTTTGCAGGGGGCAAAATCCTGTATATTTTTTTCTTTTCTATGTTTGTTTGTGTCCGGACCGGTTATGTGCTTTTTGTAAGTTTTAAAGAAATGAGCCATCGCAGCTAAAAGCTTTCTTTTGTAGTATTCTTTTTTTTTTTTTAGTTTATTTTGTGGCTGCGAAAAATGATTTTTTGCCACTAGATGGGATTTAAAAGGGAAGATGGGGCACTTCTGCATTTGAAAAAGAACACTTGAATTGTGTTCATTTGGCCTTTAAAATAACAGATATCACAATTATGTTTCAATGCGACGTGCCGGAGAGCCACAAGAGCAATTCCAAAATAGGGCTGAAGCCCCGCCTGCCTAGCCTTGGGCAGCCAAGAGATCCGTCGATGACGTCGCTTACAGCGACTGTCTTTCGCATTTTCTCGCGTTTAACAATACTTGCGCGGCAAATGGTTTGGGTATTCGGGCTCACGGGGTAAAAATACACTAGAATTCACTTCTAACTCATTTTTTTCAAGAGCCTCCGTAACTTCCCTTTCAGGCTTATTCACACGATGCATCTTTTCAACATGCCACGGTTTAGCTTTTGCGAAATCGCCCTGTTCATACGTGGAGTTTGATGCGCGAAACCTGTGACGTATTGACTTGCGAGAATTTCACCGAACTTTGTCATCTGCACCTGGAATATCAAGCGTTTTGCATCAAAATGATATGAAGTGTGCACAGTGTGAGAAAACAGTCTGGTTTATTAATGCCACTCCATAAACCTCTTCAGATTCGGCTCACGGGGTTCATTAGGCCTGCCAAATATGGGAAAGACTGCAAATGTCGAAGAGCAGGTAGATGATCTCTAAGTATTTTGGACATTTTCGCACGCTTAAAAGGAAGTTGTCCCCAGTCATCATGTTTATATGCTGTGCTTGCACTCGTCGCGACCGTTGACGAATTTGCACCCCGCCACCAACCCGTACTGCTAACACATCGCCCGTACGCACCTCTTCTCCGCTCGTCGCTGTCCACCATGTTTGCTTTTCATTTTTTGGCTTTGGCTCAGATACGGAATCGGCCAAAAATTTGACTCCTCCAAAAGCTCGCTCCCCTTCGAAGGTCAGACGTCGTAACAAAGTCGAGCGGCCATTGGCAGCGTCCGTGTTTCTCCTTCGGGTGATCGACGGGCCTCGGTGAGGTTTCAGCAAAACATTGTTCCAGAGGTGGGGAGCACGCACAACCTTTTTCAGAGGCGTGCCACTTTTCCGGTCACATTCACCTGGGTCATCTATTTCCCAAAACCTAGTTTAACGACAGAAGATTCGCCAAGAAGATGCATCGTGTGAATAGACCTTTAATGGCTCGTCTGATTTGCTGATCCTTGCGAAGTGAGCATTTTACTACAAGAAACCATTTTTTTTTTTTTTTGGAAAGGAGGATTATTTCTTGCAGGGCAAGAGTAAGGAGGAATTAAAAGTGAGCCATGGCAAATTCAGGGTGGCTGATTATATTTTGTTTCAGCTTAAATCCAGTTGGAGCCAACGTTACGAGCTGATGAGATCAATCAGACAGCGTAAAAAGTGCCCCATTGTGGTATTCGTCAAGTATGTGGTTCAATCATTGCTGAGCCAACCGTAAACAAAAAAAGGCCCAGTGACTTGCACTTTTGACACTGCTTGATTGGTCCCATTAGCTTGTAGCGTCAACTGCATCTGAACTTACGCTGAAACAAAGTATAGTCACAGCTAGAGGAGTAAGGATGCTTCACTCATTGGATTGGATTAGATTGGATTTGGTGGATCTTCCCTTTCGATGGGGTGAACTAGAGTCACTGAATGTTCCCAGAGTGCCGAAACTTTTAAGCTTCGCTTCAGAACCGAGTCACGGCGCAGCAGTCACACTCCGACCCATCCCCAATATGGTGCCACCCTGTACAATCGAAGCACGTACAGTGTAGCATTCATTCTCTTGCAAGCTCTTCAATCCACTTTCCCAATCTGTGGCAACACCATTTTTTTTTTTTTTTTATAGAAGTTCTTTTTATTGTTTTGAGTGGTGTGTGACTTGCTTCTCGCCGTCTCGTCTCTCTTTCTTGCCTCGAAACACGTTGAAGTTGAGTGTTAGGCTTAGCGTTTGAAATATAGAGTTTGAAACCCCTACACCAGCGTGGCCGGTGCGAGCAAACGAGCCCACAATCTTGGTTGGCGAACCAGATTATTGGCTACTTGATATAAAAAAAAACTAGAGAAAATCAGCGCACGTTCCGTTCGGTCCTGACTCGGTGATGCCTAGAGCTCCCACCTGTGCGTACCTGCTGTACCCATGGTAACTTGGAAACATTTTATACATGTTTTTTGTTGTTTTGGGCCCATTCCTAAAATGGCTGACAGATACTTCTGCCGTGGGCTAAACCAGCCAATCGGAACTGGATTCTGTGGGATTGAGTTCCGGTAAGCGGACTGAATGGAATTTGGTGCTCTGGGACCATTCAATGACTAGGTTGGACAAAATCTACAATATGTCTTGGTGCTTAAAATCATTGTGTCCAGCTATCTGAAGCTTCATCTGAACTCTTGAGAAATGGTTTTCCGTCCTCCAGAAATGTTGAAGGGGCAGTGTAGTGATTTTCGGATTTCGGGCGATTAATTATGGGAATTAGTCTCCATCATCTTTAGAATAAAAGAACAAAACGATTTTTGCATGCATGCGCTAATGTCTATGTAAAAAAAAAAAAATTAACAAATTGCAGTTTGTGGCACCTTTCACCTCCTACACCATCTCGCGAGTCACATGCACAGTCAGATGTATTGGGTGTGAAGAAACTTGCAGAGTTTGGCTTCAGGAGTTCACCACTTGTCACCCCTGGTTTCCATTCTACTTCCTCAAGGAGGGTGGACCGACTGAGATAAACATCACCCATTTTGTTCGCTAAAAACGTGGAACGATACGCTTCATTGCTTTGGGTTTCACTAAATGGGGAATGCAGAGTTTCCGGTTGGAATCTGCCTTTGGGGGGTGCCTCCAGCACACTTTTTCCGATTTTTGACCTTTCAAGGTATATTTCGGGCACAACAGAACACTCCACCCGGTCAGTATCGGCGTCAATAACGGCAGGCAAATGAAGTCGAGGCAAAAGAGAAAATGCAACTGCAGACTGCAGACTCTTCTCCAGTCATCAAATGAACCAGGTTTACTACAACAACCATGCAGCGGAGGGCGGAATGTCCTTGTTGATTTCGGGTAGATGGCACCACAAAAACTTGATACACTTGTGGTTATAGTATGAAACCTTTAATGCATTTATCCACACTGAAGCAGCAAGATTTTAAAAACTTATAACCTTAAATTGAGCAGAAAATTGTACAATTTGCTAACTCACAGCATTGTTCCTCCCGATAATGTCGCAGCGTGGTTCCGGTGTCTGCCACATGCGACTGCAGATCGGGAAATGATAAGCTTTTTCCCTTCGCGATTATGCAGTAGAATTGCAGTATTTCGGGGGAAGGCGATGTGTCTGCCATTACTTGTGCCAAGATGAACGGTATAAAAAACTCGAGGTACATTTAAGCACTTCTTATGAGTTGGGAATGCGAAAGCATAGAAGCCCCTCCGACGATGTGGATGCTAGAGGCGGCGCCATATTTGTCAGCCGAGCAGAAGCACCGGCGACGATGTTGATGCTGGAGGCGACGGCATGTTGGTCGGCGGCGAGACGAGCAGAAGCCTCCGAGCGCGTGCCAACGTGTCCGTCTTAACCGGCGGGGGGCTTGTAGTGGCATGGGGTTGCGGTGGTTAGTTTTATCTTCGCGCTGGTGGCATGGACACGCAGTGCCATCTGGTGGCGGTCGTTGAAACTGACGAGTGCAGCGGCCAATGGGAGCCTCGTCGCCGCGCGCCAGCCAATGGGACCTTTGGGATCAGGGAAACTAGGTGCCGTTTTCGCGCTTCAAACTGATGATGTCGGCTCGCTCTATGGGGCAGTTAATGCCTTCACATTAAAAAGTGTAAGCTGCCATTTCTTTCAATGTTTAAATTGTTGCACCGCCCTTTTAAAGCAGTTTGCGACAGAGCGAAACGACATTGCCGGAGCTTCCCTGTGCCGCATCCTAACCTCAGGAAGTTGCCTCCTTGAATCGCAACGATCGTTAGTTGTGCTTGTCCCACTAGGCGCTAAAATGGTGGTGCCCACAAGATTATCGGAGGACAGGCTGTCACTACTATAAGTATGACTTGATTAGTGGCTCTGGCCAAAGCTGCACGCGAGATGTGCCACATCATGCGATTAGATTAATGGCTAGGTGACAACCAATGTTTTAGGGCACAAGATCTTTTTTGTGTGGTAGTCCCGGCTGGGGCCCAACTTGAGTTTTGTCACTGCGGCGACACTCTGTATGAACCCTAGTCGGCAGTTGTGGTGACGGCCGGCTAGACTGCTGGGCATGGGTCACCTATAGAGTTTGTGTAATAAATCCAGAAGGAAGGGTCGGCCATCTTCCCATGCATTTTGGCTGCTTTGGAGCAGCAATGCACGGAGGCAGACTTTAGTGATCCTGGTGGGCCCAGATTGCTGCTGGCAGGGCTGGGATAAAGACAAATGGGTAGGGAAATATCGCTCGCAAGTTTACCATCTACAGTAAAATACGGAGCAAGTGCCCACCAAAAGATTGGAAATGATAATTAAAAAAATGGGAAAGGACATCCGTGTGATTTGAGAGCGGGAAAACAAGGAGTATATGGAAGGATTGTATCTTGCTTGACCCTTGTTCGATCGGGTGGAACGGAGGTCTGACAGAACTGCTATTCAAAGTAGCCATACCACTCAACAAACCTGCTTTGCGCTGGCACTCTCACATCGAGCTTCTCTGCTTTGCACCGACGCAGGCACATAAAGATTTACTGGTTTATACCGGCTTCCAAGACAAGCAACTGACACAGAAGAGCATCTGGGTTAGCTCGGTCGGCTCGGTAGTTTGCTTGGATGGGCGTTGGGATAGAACCTTTGCTTATATTTCAGATCTTTGAAGTAGGTAGTAAGTGGTTAATGCGACATAGGCAGGGGCAGACTTACCAAAGAGGAGGCAGCTGCCTAGGGTGGCAGAATTTTTAAGGCGGCGAATTCAGGACTTTTTCCAAATAAATTGGATTTTTTTTTAAATTTAGTTTTGAATTTAGTTACTTTGGAAATTCTGGATCCAAATCTAGCTACTTCTAAAAATTTAAACTCCAAACTTGGCTACTTACTGTTCCCCTCCCCTCTGCCTCCTTTCCAACCCCCTGGCCATGGTCACTGACCATCCACGGGGAGCGGGGATTGGGGGGGGGGGGGGGGGGGGGGGGCACGGCACTGTCAAAGGCTGTTTGTTACCTTAGGGTGGCAAAATGCTAAGTTCACCTTTGGACATAGGTGCATGCTCGGTATTTTAGTGTAGTCTTTTGTAGCTTCGATTTGCAAGAGAACTCCAATGTCGTGCATTGCATAAATAAAAACTAAGGTTGACAGGCATGAACGTCAGTGCCTCGCAGCAAAACAAACATGCTCAATCCTTCATCTGCTTCTTTCCTGTTCTCTGCCACTCTCTTTCTTTTTCCTCCTCTCGGAACCCCAAATGTCTGGACTTGGGATTCGCTGTGCTCTGCTCTCGTCTCTCCCTGCCCAAGGTCACCTCCTCCTATTTGTGAGTTTGGTGGCCTCGCTAGTGGCGAGAACAGAGCGTAAAATGGAGCTGGCAGTGCTTGTGTGTTCTGCATGTTCCTTTTCTCTGTCCTTGTCTTTTTGTGTGCTGTTCTGTTCACCATGGCATAAAATGGAGCGTGATGTCGGTTTCGCTCTCCCATCCAGGTGACTCAGAGTCGTAGCTGGGCAACGCAAGCGCCATGTCCGCATCGTGCGGCACCGGAGGCGACGTCGCTGACGGTATAGCCATGTCCGCGGATGCCTCCAGCCTCAAGCTAGACCCCGGCGCTGACTCCGCCCCGGGCACTCCGTCGGGCCGGCGTTCGAGCTCCCCGGAAGAGAGCTGCGCCATCTGCCTGGGCAAGCCAGAGAACAAGTCGTTCACGGACTCGTGTTTCCACACCTTCTGTTTCTCGTGCCTCCTCGAGTGGTCCAAGGTGAAGGCGGAGTGCCCGCTCTGCAAGCAGCGCTTCAAGAGCATCGTTCACAATGTGCGCTCATTCGACGACTACGACCAGTATTTCGTCAGCAGCAACAATGGCAGTGGCAACAATGGTAATCGTGGTGCCGCTTCCGCGGCCGCGGCCGCCGCCGCCGCCTCGTGGAGCGCAACTTTCAACGCCTTCCTCGTGGCCTCTCGCTACGCCTACATGCCAATGATGACGAGGGGCCGACGCCAGCAGCGGCCCCCGCACCTTCTCGGCTGTCCGCTGGCACTAACCAGTCGCCGTGCCGTCCGCCAGCGTCGCACGGCGCCCCGCACAGTCCCGCTGCTGACGTCGAGCACCGAGCGCCGCAGCCTCTACGACCTGAACCTGTGGGTGCGCCTCGGCCGGCGGCGCAGTGGTGCCCAGGTCCATCCGTCGCACTACCGGGACAACCACGCACGCACGCACCGCCTGATCCCGTGGCTGAACCGGGAGCTGATTGCTCTGCTCGGCGGCGGCAACGGTGCTGAGAGCCAGGTGGCGTTCGTCATGGAGCTGGTGCTGGCGCTGGTCACGCGCTACCCGGTGTGCAGCCCCGAGTTCGTGGAGCATGTGCGGCCGTTCTTCGGCCAGAACACGCCGCACTTCGTGCACGAGTTTCACGCGTTTGCGGCGTCGCCGCACGACATGGTGACATATGACCGGTGTGCCACCTATGAGCCGATGGCGGCGGCAGTGCAGCGCCGGTCTCCCGCGGCGCCGTTCCTTCGGCAGTTTGCCGAGGCAGACGGAGGGGCAGAATCGGCGGTGGACCCCGGCCAACCGGGGCCCAGCGGGCTGCAGCGCAGACCAGTCGTGCAGGTGTTAGAGAGCGAGTCGGACGATTCGGACTGCATGGTCGTCGACGTGGTGCGTCCGCGGGAGCCCGTCGTGATCGAGCTGTCGTCGGGCGATGAGGGCGAGAGGACTGCTGTCGTTGCGCCGTCCAACGAATCGCCAATCGCCCCCGCAGCACCGCCAGCGGCACCGCGCCGGAAGAGGCTTCCCCAAAAGAGGAGGAGGTCCTGGCAACGAGTCTGCATGAGCGACTCGGACAGTTCGTCGGAGGACGAGACGACTGTTCGGGTGACGCAAGTGCCGTCCGGGGGGATGCTGACAGTGAGCTTTCGGAGTTTCGTGGGGGGCCTCTTTGGCCGGGACAGTTCTGGCGGCCGCGGCGGAGCGGAGGCCGAGGAGCCGTGCTCGTCTCGGCAGGCGATCGAGCGGGCGGCCAGGAACAAGCGGGCACACCAGCGAAGGCTCAGGCAGAGGGAGTCGTCAGACGAGGAGTGAACGACCTCCCGACATCCGCGCCTCCGCTGAAACACTGCGCTGAGACGAGCATTTTTTTTTTTTTTCGTTTCCACGGTAGCATTCTTGGGGTTAGACTCTGAAACATCCCCACGCGTGCGCCTTTCCACAGGCACACGCCGAGAGCCACGCCGCGTTTCATCAGACGGTGGGCAGCAGTTAGTGCTACGAGCTGTCCCAACCAATCCAGCGCTGCGATAGTGTCGCACGACTCTGGGCCCCGTGTGTCACAGTGCACCTCCCGAAGGTCGCATGACACTCTCGCGGCGTTGGATTGGCTTTGACTGCTCATGGCGTCAGCTGCTATCCATCGTTCGGTGAAGAGGAGTATGATTGCTGTGGTGAAAGACTGCCAACGGTGACGTGCACATTTTTTTTTTAACCCAACATGCGGAGTTGGCATTTGTTGTCCCTTTTGTATTTAGGGAGTGCCTGGTCTCTGGCCGAACCTCTTGGGATGCATCTTAGCAATTGGTTGTTGCCTCGTTTGCGAAGAAAGCTAATGCGCACAGATGTATCGAGAGTTCACCTAGCTGTAAATACGGGTGCAAACTTTGAAGGGGGTCGGGTCCTGCTGCATACTCCCGACAGGACTTTCGTCTCCTCACATTTTTAGGATTGGCCCCGCCAAAATGGACTGTTGCCATTTCGTTACGAATGTGACGGGAGTTTTGCAGGTTACGACTTAATTATCTGGTAATAAACGCTTCCAGTGCGGTATTGAAGCAAAGCTGAGGCTTTCCATGTCGAGCATTTGGAAGACGTTTGCATTGTGTTACCTCCGTCGGCTGAATTGCTCATCTCTAGTTTAAGCAGAAGAGTTGTGGGCAAAGGGGGAGGCGGTCCCTTCGTTTGAGAATGCAACACACTAACACTTTTGTCGGACTTTGTGGGATTCAACAAATTTAGCTTTTCGTTTTGTGCGGACCAGAGCAAATCACTGATGCTCACACTTCATAGTTCTTAATTCGGTGGATGCAAGGACATGAGAATATATCCTGTTTAATACACCGTGTCGTGTCGTCTGCACTCCCTGTTCATGTTGTGGGTTTTCGTCGAGTCGCGACCACTCCAAAGTGGTCAGGCCGAGAAATTGATTGAAGAGAATATAAACGTTTAGCCATATTATGCAAACACCAAGGGGATTACTGGGAACCTAGGTTCACACACTTCATGCGCTAGCCTTGCCTATATAAATGATTGAAAGCAAATAACCAGCATTTAAGAACACATACAAAGTGCCCTTTTGTTTTCAAACAGCAGGTTCAGTGTGTGCAACTACACTCGCAGTAGGCTCCTTGGTGGTTGGGTGATTTAGGTAATGTTCTATTCATGGTTTAGAAGGCATTAGGTCAACTCTTCAACAAACTTTGCTGTCACTTCCAGTAAAACTTTGCATCCACAGTGACCGTCTTGTCTTGTAAACAGTAATCTCATTCTTAGGTGTTTTGGGATCTTGAGACATTCTACAGCCAATGCCACTGGCTTGAACATATCTCGAAAGCAGCTGCTGTATGTTCAAGCACATGTTGATCACTTCGTGAAACTTTTCATTCTTCACTGTGGCACAGAGTGGCACGATTTGTTGAAGAGTTCAACGAGTCTTCTACATTTTCTCGCTCATTGCCATTGCTTTCCTGAAAGTTGAGTCTCTCTCCAAGAGAGGACAATGGCTTGTCCTCCTCCCTCAATCTCTTCTGTTTGGGAGGGGAAACTGCTCACAGGATTACCCGACTTGCAGAAAGCTGGGTTCCTCTCGCTGCGACATTTTAGTGACTTGTTTAGTTGGCGGCACTAAGGAACCATTTACACGGTGCCACATGCTTCCATCGCATTGTTATGGGAACTCTTGTCTGCTCATGTCGAGAGGCACCAGGATATCTGCTTTGTGTGAAGTGGTGCCACCGAATTGGGGAGTTGCTTTGCACGTGACAAATGAAGCGTGGGTGTCCCGGTGACCCGTAACGTAAAATAACAAAACATAAGCAAATGCTCTCTTGTGAATAGGCCTAAACTCTGAAAGCTGTATTGGGGATGCGTGCATCGGAAAAATTTGCACGAGTATTTGCTGGAGGTTTGTGCTGGACTCCTACCAAGTTCGGCTAATGACTTTGTCACTTTTGCTGACCTCCTTCCATAGCTCTATTTTCTGGCTGGAAGGCGGTGCGAATTTCTTGCAGTTGCGGATGAATGCTTGCAGCCCATTTCGATAGCGCCGAGCGTGTTGTCACTTGACGGCGTCGTAGCTGCGCACCGACTCAAAAGACGCGAGGTATGGTGCAGCCATTTGCATGTGACGTGCAGAAATTTTGCTGCATCTATCGACCAACATCATTGAGAACAAGTTGGAAAAAGAAAGAATTTGGCATGTTGATACAGGTCTTTGGTATCGTAACCAATGCGAGTGGCTGTTGGAAGGAGGTGGGTTCGTCATATGGTACCTTTGAATTGTCCCGCAGAATTTCGGAGGTTCCAATCTGAACAAATTTGATAAAACAGTTCGGTGTCTGGGGAGAGGAGCATCTTGGCACACTCCTTGCTTTTACGGGTAAGTAAATGCTGTGGAACCTGTGGCATCGCCACCCATACCTTGTTCACCCTTGAAGGGCTACGCACTTGCTGAGCCAATCACCTGCCTCCCTCTTATCATTTGACTCCCCACTCGATGCATGTGCTTGGGCAAAAGAGCATAATCGTGTACGACTGGTCCAACAAACACATGGCGTATAATGCACTGTAAGCTTACAGATGGATGGAGTATACAAAGCACTCCTCGGCACGGTCTGTCAATAATTTATCGAAGCTTTATTCGCGGGTCCATTCCACGAACATCCCCCAAATTTGCCACAGCTAGAAAGGGTGCACAAACAACCGTCAGGGGCTTGCTTTTGAAACAAGCCACACTAGCCTTTCGCAAAGCCAGCGGTTGAGGCCAAAAGCACACGCGAGTAAAAAGACGGGCACGGCCACAAACGACGACGATGGCACAGGGTCAACGACGTAGGAGTGCAAATAGTTAACTCTGTGCCGCTTTCAACTGGGAGCCCGCCACGTCCAGCAGTCGGTTTGCGTTCGCCGATGCGTCGGTGACCTGATCAAAGTCCCGGAGCGCCCTTCCCGCGTGCGTCTCGAGAAAGAGTTCCTCTTCGGGCAGGAGGCTCGCCTTTAACTTCTTCAGCGCCGTCAGGATCTCGAGTTTCTGGGGGGCGAGTTGCTCCTCGCTCAGCTTGCCGATCTTGGCGTCTCGCTGAAGCTGCGCCAGCCGCTCCCGAAGCTGGTCCGGCTGCTTTTTGGCAAACATCCGGATAACTTCGGGCGTGCGAAAAGCGTCGCTGATGGCCGCCTGTATGGTAAGCTGCATGTTGTTCAGTTCATCGACGAGCGTCATGTCGCCCGAGCAGATCTTTTCCAGGGACTGGTTGAACTCTCGGAGTTGGTCGAGCGTCTCGGACTTGGTCTCGTCGTACTCTTCCTGGTCCAGCTCCGCCCTGCATTCTTCGAGGTCGCTGAGCTGTGCCATCAGGCGTTCGAGCTGTTCTTCGAGGCTCTGCTTCAACTTGCTCGTTTCGGTCTGCCCGCGAGAGGCCATTTTATCGGTGTTTTGGGACTAGAGAAGACGAGACGAAGCTTTGATGGAGAGCGATCAGCAACACCACACGCTGCACCGACCCGTGCGAACGATCGTTGTGATCCAAAAACGGCAATCGCGGCGATCTTGGCGATCTCCACAAATCACAAACAAGGGCGGTGTTGCACCGTGAACGGCAAGCCGGCAAGCTGTTGGCTGTGGATTAATGCCTTCAAAATATTCAATATGTATCATTCAGCCTCAAAACAAAAATGCTAAGAAAGACGCTCAGTAGTAAAAAAAAAGTATAAAAAATCTAGCGTTATCCACTTAAAAATCTACAAAAATTATTTGTTTTTTGCGACAAAAACATTCTTCAACTAGATAATCTAATTTTGTGCGCAGTTTTTTGTTACGCCGCTAGATAACGCCACCTACAAAACCACTGTGTACAAAACCAATTCAATAAAAAGCCTAGATTGTAGAGATAGTCCAACTTAGAGCCACTAAATAAAGCTAGAAAAGAGTCAAAGTACAGGCTAGCTGGTGGAAGTCAACCATTTCGTGTGAGGACACAAAAGAGTTGCTTGGGGCTTTGTGAGGCATATCTTCTGCTAGAACCTTTTCACTTGGAAACGTTGGGAGTGTCCGCTTCTTTTGTGATATAGTGGAACCTGTAAAGTCACGGTGCAAAGGACAAGTCGTATGTGATTGGTTGGTGACGACGAAAACGAACTATATAAGAGGAAGTTTTTGAAATAAACGTGTAGCTGAGTTTGAGACCTGTCTGTTTTTTCTGTTTCTTCTGCTCTTCAAAAAAACCCCCCAGTCTCAGGGTAAACGACGAAATGGTTGAAATAAAGCTAAGCGGCTAAGCTTTCAGAGCAGAGTCAGCAGAGTACCGAAACTCCCAAACTACGCGTCTGAAGCGCATCAGGCGCCGCCATTTTGGGTCCGCGCGCGCCGCGCGCAGATGGAGCAACGAGCTTGAGCAAAGGCGGCTTTGGCTTGAGGGGCTTGAGTAAACAGCGGTAAACCGGGTACGCGGCACTAGCCATAACTAGAGCACTATATAGCTCCTACGGAGCAGAGTAGCGCAATCCTTTGAACCTCGTGTTTTGCCGACAAGATGGCCGACAGAGCGGCTCGGCGCGAGTCACGTGGTACTCAGGGTTCCAAGAGGCGGCCTGCCCTATGGGAGAATACATGGAGATCGATACAACACGGCTAATTAAAAAATGAACGGCGAGTTCACACTTCTCAAAACTAGTCTGTCGTGAAGTTAGTAAAGCACTAAACACTTTGTCAAAGTTTTAATAATATCGGATGCGTGTGCAAAATTTGAGAAGGCAATTTCCAAGGCAATGGCGTTTGAAGCAGACGATTTTTGCTCGCAGCGGAGATGGGCTTTTCGGGTTGGCCGGAGCGGGTCACGTGAATGGTGTGACGTCGCCGTGTCGTCTGCTGCATGATACCGCTCAAGCAATTTTTTAAAAAAAGTCAGGTTCTTGCGGGTCACAAAACTTAGCGCAAATTATTCTAAAATGTTCCATTATTATGCCACAAACGATTGCCATTCCGTATATTCCCACAATACTGAAGAAACAACGATTTTCTCACGTTGTCCATGCATTTCTGACCGCAGTTGGAACCTCCGGGCGTTCGCCGCTAGTTGCCGAGAGGCGGCGTTCTAGATTGCGCTACTCTGCTCCGAAGGAGCTATATAGTGCTCTAGCCATAACCACTACCGTAGTCGAAGCGGAGGGGTAGTGAGATCCGTTGGTGAGATCGGCGTCCTACACGGGCTCCGCCGGCTATGATGACTGTGCCGACTCCTGGTGGCGGCTCCGTAAAGTTGCGTGTTCGTGTAGCGTGCCTTGATTTTAGAGTGCTTCCAACTGCTCGATCGAGTGTTCATGGGCCGCGTTTGCTGTAAAGACTCTTGCCCTTGTTCGTCGTCAAGCGTCTTTGCCTTTAAACCCTCTTATTTTCTCGTCACTCGAAAACGCAGAGCATTAGCACTTATAACCAATAGGTACACGAGGCGTCCGCCATTGAATTGCAAATGCTCAGCATGGGTTGCGTTGCTCCCTCTCTTAAACCTAGGCTCTCTACGCCGGCTGTTATCACTGTGGCGACGCCTGGTGGCAGCTCCGAGAAGCTGACTATCAGACGGCACGGAACAAGGGGTTCGTAACTGCTTCGGGATTCCATTTCTTTCGTTTGTATGATGATCTCGAAAGGAAGCCATGAAGGTTCGGCTGCCTTCTTCGTTGTGTGGAGAAAAACAAATAAAAAAATCGCAGAGCACGAAAAAAAAAATAAAAAGAAAGAAGAAAGTAGTAGAGAAGGATAAAGGGACAGTTGTCGGTCTGGGCATTTCAGAAGGAAAGAGTGCACCGTGCACGTGCACAGGACTGATCGGCGCTTAAGTTGCGCGAGTTCCCGTACGTCCGTAGCTTTGACTGGATAGCACAGAAAGTTGTTCGCGCGTATTTCCCATTTGTAATGATTCAATCTCCATCTCCGAAATTGGGAAGTGAAAAAGTGGGGGCGTAAAACGCTTTTACTGGCGCTTAGAGAGCGCAGGTGCACGAGCGCGCCCATGCTTTGACCAGGTTTTTCAGGCTTTCGATCGCTCACGTCGCCATGACAAGCCGTCCTGGCCGCCCTGGAAATTTTTCCCCGTATTAAAGGGAAGCTGAAACGGTTCTGTATTTAACTAAGAACACTGAAATCGTCTTTATTTGGCCCCCGGGCCCCAGGACCACGAATATCGAGCCGAGTCGCTAATTTGGTGCAAAGAGGCTGCAGAACATAATTTTCGAAGTACCGCTGAAGCCCCTCCTTCTCGGAGCGTTACGTCATAAAAAGAGTTTTCAGAACATCCGCTCTCGCGCATCTGCATTTCCTATCAAAGCTATGTACACGCTCTCTTGCTATATTCAAAAAAGGTAAAGAAAAAAAAGACGTCACGATTGGTGTTACCGCGAGACGTTTTGTTGACGCCCTCCTGTAGTTCCCTCTCCGGACGTTATTATACCTCACGAATAATAGGCTCGATGGTGTTTGTAATTAACATGGCGGAAGCTTGAAATCATAGCGCTCTCAAAGCAAAACTGCCAACACCGTCAAAATTAAACTTCTTACATTACTCTTATTTTCGTCGATAAGAAATCCTTTTCTTTCGATCGCTCATGTCGCCATGGCAAGCTTGCAATTGCACGCACCGCCCCCAGGAGCGACACGCGCTTTGCGGCTGAAAGATCCTTTTATGACGTAACGACTGGTCGGGGGTTTTCCGTGTTTTCTCACGTTTAGTTACATCTTCGGGGAAAACGAACGTGATATTCAGATTCACGGGTAAAAATACTGTAAAATTCACCTCTACTAAGTTTTTTTTTTTTTTTAAGAATTTTTTTTTATGAAACACAAAACATACAAAAGGTCTATAGTTTTTTTTTTTTTTGTACAGTTAATTAAAATGGACATTATACTTGATTCATTCATAACAGCAAACTTAATTTTCCAAGATGACAAACAGTGGGATTAATGTCGCGCTACCACGCGATGCACAATCTCGCGGTCGCCGAGGAGAGCTGCACCGGTGACCGGTTTCGAACGACGTCACGGACGGCCCGCCAAACTCCACTGGTCTTGAGACTGTCCCGGGGGCAACGGCAGGAAGTTCGCGGGCGGCGCATAGCTCGGACCTTGTCCCCAAGAAAGACTCTTGTTGCAACTCGTGGTGGCCTTTCGACAGGGCTTCTTGGACCTGGTGCACGGCTTCCTAGATTTAGTGCACGGTTTCCTCCTGTGCGTCGTCTTCCTGCATTTGGGTTTCGGGGAGGGTTGGCACGGACACCATCCGTACTGACCCGGCTGCACGGGCTGCTGTATGTCTCTTTTGATCCGAGGGCGCGGCTTGGCCTTCAAATGCACCACCGAGAACGGATTCCTAGCCACGCTCTTCGCGTGGGACCGAGCTCCACGGCGACTGTAAGAGCCTCCAGTCGCGCCACCGACGCTCCGATGGACCTGGACGTCCTCATTCTCTTGGACCGGATAGTTTTCATAATCGGGCGGTGGCACGGTGGCTTCCGTTTCCAGGGGCAGCGGCGCGTAGGTGGGAGCGCGGTTCGGATGAAACCGTTCCCGCTGGGACCACCGTCTTCCAGCCAGTTCCTTGACGCCTCTTCCGGCCATCCAGGGAAACAGAGGGACGGCGGGCTTTGGTTTAACGGTTCCCGGAGTGGTGGAACAGACACACAGAGTCGTCGGCTCCGACTGTACATTCGGAGCGCGCAACATGAAGACGCCAAGCATTTTCTGTACTATCGGTGACCGCGTGTTTTCTCTCTGGGACGTCTCGTCCGCTTCCGCTTGGTCCGGCAGCCGGAACGGAAATAAACCTGCCGGTTTTGCCTCGGCGCGATGGTCGCCCAGTTTCTTGCTGACCTCTGGTAGGACTGCAAGGTAAGGTCTTGCTCTCCTGCGATTTATGTCCGGCAAGACCTCGTCCAGCGCCTTCATCCGCCCATGTGGTCTTTGATTTGGGATCAACTGTTCGTCGTGGTAATCGAATTGGTCGTCGGAACGCGGAAGGTACGGCGGTGGTTCCGAGTGACTTTCGTCTTGATTTTCCTCTTGTTGCGGAGCGCATTCAACGCCCATCCCTTGCGCACTGTCACCTCCGCAAGGTGAACGTGCAATCAAGGTTGGGGTGGTTTCGGCCACCTCCTCTATCTTGTCGTTATCTCTTTCTTGACAAGTGGTGGCGGGTGACTCGTCCGTCGTAAACCCTTGCTCCGACGGGCTCGTCGAAGTCAACTGCACATACGGAATAAAAAATCAATTGGAGACCGTGACGCTATTGTCAAAGCCCGGGAACAAAATTTGCTGCATTTCAAACATGCCCCCCTCCTTTTTTATTTATTTTTTATTAAACATTAGCAGGTTATTTATTCGTCTAGCAGACGTCTTGGCAAGATGTGCAATCCAGCATAAACATCTAATAAGATACGTCTCGCCAAAACGCCTTCTAGCCATCCCTATAGCTAAGCTGACGGTACGTCTTGTTTGGGCTACGGTGCTACAGGGCTACAGGCGTCTCAGGGACAGCTACCACACGTCCTGAAATGGCTAACGACTATTTAAAGTAACGGGATGGAAGGCGAAACGATCTGTATACCTGTCGACCTCCTCAGATAATGCGCGATACTCATCGCGAGTTTTCGCGCCGTGTTAGGTACATGTTTGTCATGGAATCGGCCGAAGAGCCTCAACGCCTTGTATCGTTTTCTAAAGGTCTTTCACGCGTCTGCGATCTTTGCGTGCCGTCTGTCGCTCCAGGGGGACCAAACCTTTAGTCCTGTGGACAGGAAAGGTTCGACGGCAAGCTCACCCTGTTCCTACCGGCACCGGGCGTCTTTTTCTTCTTGTGCCAATAGCCCTTGCCGTCGTTGTTGAATACGTTGATCTGCACCATGACGGCCTGCTCCCTTTCCTGGCGCCGACTCCTCAGCAGCGTGTCCACGTCGTTTGTCTCCTCATCCACTGCCGCCGGGGGCTCGACCTGGTGCGGGTCGGCCGGGTTGACCGGGTCGCCCACAGACTGAAGCTCAACATGCCGCCTCAGCTTCTGCAACGCTTCCCGCACGCTCGTCTGTTGCTGCTGACGCACCACCAGCGGCGCGACAACAGCGACATGGGACCACAGAAGCGATATCAGAAGGAGGTTAGGGAGGTTCATCGTGGTCTTCGCCAAACCCCAGGCATCGTGGGCCGGTGCCTGTAAGGGTGCCTTCGGCCAAGGGGGTCGCCAGCCGGTGGTGATAGCGGCTGGAGGATCATGGGTGGCGCATCTGCGCCCCCTTCTGACGGCGCTTCTTCTTTTACATGACGCTGGTTTTAAGGTGGCGGAGGGGAAGGCAAACTGCTCCAGGGCCTGGTGAGCCCGTGCGAACAAAGCGGTGAGCACTTTTCACTTACTCTCGAATTTAAAGAGACCTGTCCAACGATGAGCTTCTGGTCGGTTTTATTTCAGCGTTGCTCCGTCTTAGAGTCACCCAAACACCTTGAGAAATCGTACTGCGTGCGACACCCCAAACAGGCCATCGATCTGTTTTAGAGCGCAGCTCTTAGGGGCCCGTTCCCGGCTTGAGCGGCGTCGGCGTCAGCGTTGGCGTAACCAAGGTCACCCCAAGGTCACGTGACCCCCCCCCCCCCCGAGGTCACGTGACCTCCTCGATGACGTCACCGGCATCCGCATCGTCATCATCATCACTGATGACGTCACCGGCATCCGCATCGTCATCATCACTGATGACGTCATCAGTGACGTCACTGATGGCGTCCCCGGCATCTGCATCGTCATCGCCACCATCACTGATGACGTCATCAGTGACGTCACTGATGACGTCATCGGAATCCGCATCGTCATCGTCACTGATGACGTCACCAGTGACGTCACTGATGGCATCATCAGCATCGTCACGTGACCCCCCAGGTCACTTGACCCTCCCCCAATACCCTTCCCTCCTCCTCCTCCTCCTCCTCAAGAGCTGCGCTCTAATTCGGCGTTAGAGGGTAAACGGCTTTCACTTTTTTTTTTTTTTATCAAGAGAATTCATGTGGGGGTCCCCACAAACGTCCCCTAATAACCCCTATACTGCTATACTCTCTTTCACCTTATGTTGTACCGCAGCACAGGCTAGAAGCGCGAGCTCATAGCTTTGGCAGCTGCCCTTGTGCACGAGAGCTTGTGCCGTCGAGATGCGCCCCAGAGCAAGGAGCTCGCGCTTGTAGCCTTTCCTGCGGTACATCATAAAGTGAAACAGAGTATACAAACGTCACGCACGTGCTGACGAAGGGAGAGGCCACCGTGGGAGAGGCACACGACCAGAATGCTTTGTTTGTAAAAGAACTCGCTCATCAAGGCAATTTTCAAGGCCCCATGCTCGCGCCTCTGGCCGTGTTCCAAAATTTACTCGATCTTACTCCAGGGTAAGGGTTTTGTACCCTTGGCGTTCTACAAGCTACCCGCGTCCAGCGTTTTTCAATCTGTGCTGTCACGTGATACGATCCGCCGGAGTAACTCGGATCCATTTGAGTAAGATTTGGAACACAGCCTTTGTGAGCGCTGCATACGTCTGCAAGGCCGTGTCGCCGTGTTCCAAAATTTACTCCATCTTACTCCAGGGTAAGGGTTTTGTACCTTGGCGTTCCAAAACCTATCCCGCGTCCAGCGCTTTTCAATGTGTGTCACGTGGCACGACCCGCCGGAGTAACTCATATCCATTTGGGTGAGATTTCGAACACAGCCCAAGATAGAGTAAAAGATTCTGACGAGGGTAGAAAGTTGGGCAAGTTGGTGGTTTATAATGATTAAAAAGCGCAACAAGACGACAGACACAGAAGACACAGACACAGCGCTGTGTCTGTGTCTTCTTCTGTGTCCGCTGTTGCGCTTTTTAATCATTAAAGATTTTTCGTTTTTTGTCTTTGTTTTGGGGTTTGTTTTATGATGAGTGATGCAGGAACTCCCGAACTTTACGAACTTCGTAGCTAAGTTGTCGTAGGTAAGAGGTTTTTTATGAATCTGGCCTGCACTTCCGAAAGTCGCAGGAAAAGTAAGACAGACGCAGACGACGTTGCAAAGGAGCAGACGACGCTCAGATGGGGGGTCGCGGTCAGCCAATCAGGGCTCGGCGTTCTGACGTCACCGTTACCCCCTGCGCAAGAAGCAGACGAACTTGCCCTCCGCATTGAATGGGGGGAGCACAATAACTTTTCGCACTGCTGTAATGATTAGGTTCCGAATTAGCCATATTTTTACATGCTTTGGGCGGCGGGCACCGACAGTAGAGTTGGGGGGCAGGGCTCTGATTGACTCCGACTGGAAGGATAGATGGTACTAGACCTCAATGCTAGATGCCTTGAGGTCTACCCACTATTTTTCTCATTCAGCCAATAAGAGCTCGGCGTTCTGAGAGTGCGGAGAGCACTGGATATAGTCAATACTTCCTAGATCAAGAAAGCCTAAGTGCTGGATTTTCCTGCGTCACTAAAGAAAGCCACCGTAGACCACAGATTGGAAATGACTACGCGGCGTCAGCGTTCGCCTGGAGCTCGTGCCCAATCAGTAAGAGCACGACTCCTAGCCAAACGCTGATGCCGTGACCAATCTGTGGTCTACGGTGGCCTTCTTAAGTGGCACGGGAAAATTCAGCACTTAGGCTTTCTTGATATGCTATACCATCGAGCGATAATGCCGCGCACGCTGCTAACCCCAGAAAGGTACACGTCTGCCTCTTGGCGCAGGAGTTGTAATGACGTCAGTACGACGCCGAGCTCTGATTGGCTTTGATTGGAAAGATAGTGGGTACATCATCATCGCAACCCCTGTGCAAGAAGCAGGCCAAATTACGCTCCGCATTGGTCTGCGATGGCTTCCGGCGACGTGCCGCCGTTTCCGCGCGCCATCTTTTGTGTCCTTGATGTGCCACTTTTGGAGTTTCAGTTGTGGAAAGCTGTTAAATTTCTCCCTCTCCGCGTTTCATTTTTCTTTTTTTTTTCGTCACGGTGGTTTTGTTACGGCGGCCATAAACACAGTAAGCACTTTCTGCGAAATAAAAATTCCAGCTGTGTTTGGGACCTTTCAGTGTTTGTGCACTTTTTTACCTGCAGTCTTGAGGGGGGAAGGGAGGGTTGTCATGTTTGTAAACTTTGTGGATGCTGTTTTGTGAGCCCCCCGATCAGATACAGCTGGGTGTCTCTATAGCTTAAAGTATATGTTCAATGTGTCATTTACTTGTCATCCCTATGTCATTAGACTTTCTGAGGCCACTGTCCATAAACACAGTGAGATTAAGATTAACTTAGTCTAGTAATGGACAGGTGGGAGCTGGGTTTTCATTTTAGCATGGTCCATTAGTGCACCGTCTGGAGAAAATATATTTGATATTCAATTTGAAAATGTTTGGCCAGAACCACTATTCACTTTGAATTTGCTTGAAACTCAAACTCTACTATTCGTGAGGCCACAAGTTGCAAAACCCAAATATACAATAAAAATACTTCTTTTATTATTCAGTGAATACACTGGCAGTGGTCCAAAGCCATAGTCACCATTGTTCTCCAAAGTAGAAGTGCCTCAACCGAAACAAACACAATCAGAGATACGCCTCTCTCAAAAACGCAGAAAACAAATATTAAAGCATATATACTGTATATATATATATATATTTGAAAGGGGGGCGATTTTTATGGGAAGTAATTCCATGCATAATAAAATATTTGTGTTGATCGAACAGACGTACTAAGTTCACAATTTTCTGCTCCTGCAGACTGTGTACACTAAGAAAGTAGTACCTATTAATCATACCAACCTTCAACCTAGTGTCCCAGTGTTAAGAAAAAGAAAAAAAAAGTTAATTAGACTTGACATTGTGTTCCAAAGATTTTTCCAACACTGTAAAAGAAAATTCGGCATATATCGGAGCCTTATCTGAAATGACCAAATGTGTTCCAAGGACTTCTATGAAGCGGCGAAGGACACCGCACAAAACTGCCTATATGGGGCATTCCAAGATTTGAGATCCAAGATCCCCAAAGGTGCGATTTCGTGGTGGGGTCTCCCCGATGAAACGTCTGGGCCACCGTGGTCTAGGCGATACATTGCACCGGCACAGCATTACAACCAAAACCCTATCGAGATTGAAATAATAATAAAACCGATGAAAGGTCTGGGCAATACACTGCACCGGCACAACATTACAACCGCCACCCGTACAAAAGTAAAATAATAATTAAAAATAAAAAAAAAAAAAAAAAACTTGAAAAATTAATTAAGGCAGGACGTTTGTTCGCCAGACCATAGAGGAGGCTATGGCCAGACACAGAAATGCGCTTTGAGGCTCCACGTGGTGCAGTGGAATTGCACCATTGAGGCAAATTCCCGCACCCCCTAGTTGAGGTACGGTGATCGAGGGAATCAAGCAGAAGGCTTCTTGCCACCCGCCATATCCCTAAACCACTCGTCGCTCTTGTCCTTTTCTATGGCCCTACTCAGGAGCTGGTTCGCGTTGGGATCGACTGCCGAAAGCAACATGAACGACTCAGCGTCCACGAAGCAGATCTCATGACCATCCGGATCCGCCAGAATGACCACTGTCACCGTCGCCTTGCCAGGAGTGTCCAGCCTGGTCAGAGGCGTCAAGATCCTATGCCCCGCCCGCTTGACTCGGTTCTCGATAACCTGCAACTCGGCCGCCGGACAAGCGAACGCGATCCTCCCGTACGCCGTGCCTCTGCGGATCGGCTCCGCGGTGTACCTAAACTCCAGATGACACTGGTCGTTGGCGTAGGCTAAGACCGCGCTCTTCTCCGAGGAATGCACCAGAGTCATCGCCAAGATGTCCTTCCAGTAGGCCGTTGTCCTGGCCAAGTCCGAAGACGATAGGATGACCCTCTCGACGGGATCTTGGCGCAAAGGACGCTCGGGGTTTCTCTTGGGACATACGAGGAACGGGTACCCGCCTGGCGCCATGACCACGTCGCAGGGATGCTCCGCGACGACGTCGCCCTTCTCTTGGACGGGCCACGAGTGTCGTCTCGCTCGTTCGACGATGTCGCCGGAACGGATGACAATGCCGAGGAAGTCGTTGCCCCGCTCGTAGCTGCCGATGCCATAGTTGTAGGTCAGCTCCACGACGAAGTGGTTATCTTCCTGGCCGTACCCTACCATCGTCTTGCTCCAGTTCAGGTCGTAGGGGCCGTTGCAGGCCGCCCGGCAGCCTTCTTCGAACTCTTCGTGGCGCAGAACTTTCATGCCGAGGATTTCGGTGTAAAACTTTATGGTTTGTTTCCGATCGGCAACTTTAAACACGAAATGCAACGCTCGACGGGTCATTTTCGCCCCTTGCGATCGTGCATGCACACTCCCACAAAATCCGCAGAAAAACGAGGCGCATTCCCTTCTCCCCCATGTACAATCTTAATGACGTCCGCAACGTCCGCGCCATCCGCGCTTCACGCAGAAGCGCGAAACGAGCGCGCTTGACGAAGCGGAAGTTGTGGTTTTACGCTTCCGGAGAACGGGTCACGTGGCTGTGCACGGGCCAATGAGCAAAACTCCCGAAAGCGTGTTCGTAAAATGGAGGACCCCTGTGCTCTTCTATCGACGGGGACCTCATTTTCTCAGCAAGGAAATGGTCCGAGGAATGGCGTGAGTAGGACTCGCGCCGAGCGAAGCGACCATCTTCCCATTTCCTCGTCGCTCTGCTCCAAAGCGTCGGACTACCTGACGGCGTCCCTTCGCAACGACCGTCTCGTAGACCACGACCCGTTCCAAGATGGCGAGAACCTCGAAGGAGTCGCCGTGGGCGACATCGCGTGCGAGCGCATCATCGCCGACGGCGAGTACCTCGCCGAGTCCGGCGCATACGCGGCGGGCGACCCGCTGTGTCTATCGGAGTCGGCTGAACTCGACGTCAAAAAGGTGGACGAATGGCTGAAGACGAGAGAAGACACCCTGGCCAGTTTGGGCCTCGTGTTTGAGCTGAAAACTGGAAGCGAGGACGACCTCTTCGGGGAGACCACGCCGTCGGATAAACTCAACCTCTTCTCTGTAAAAGACCTCCTCGACGTCGACGTTACGAAGGAGGGGGTCAGTATTCTGGGCGGGAAGGGAGACATGGCTGTTCTGGACCCGGAGACGTTGATCAACTCATCGAGCGACGCGTTGATGACCGATCAGGAGCTCGAGTCGCTGTCGGCACGAGGTCTCGACTTCAGCCCTGCCCCTTGTCACGGGGTCGACAGAGAGACGGGTGCGGCAGTGTCGACGACTTCGAACGACACCTCCGCGGAGCCCGAAACTCCGGACGAGAACGCCACGATCCAGTTGGTGATCAACACGGCGTCTGGAGAGCAGCAGACGTTGCACGTGGACGCGAAGTCGCTGCTCCAGTGCGCCCAAGTTGAGTCCATCCTGCCCGATGGCCAGCCGGACACCTCGGAGCAGACGGTCGGCGATTATGGTAAGTTGTCTGCTGGGATGAGAACGTCGGGGAGGGATCCTTCGTGTAAATGGACCTTTTCCGAGAAGCGTTCTACGCACGCGCGAGCGCCCGATGCCAAGCGGTGGAAGTCGGCACGAAAAATCGAGGAAATTCGGAATGAGGCTGTAGATCGACGAGTAGAACACGTAATTGCAGCATATATATATAATTGTGTTACACAAAAAAGGAAAGTGGACGGAAAGAAAAACACGACGTTTGGGTGGACGCTACGGATTTCCCACTTTACAGTCGCGTTGGGCACGCGACGCTGCTCAGAGAGCGAAACAATTGGTAGCGTAGCTCGCATATCGATTGGCAGCGCAGGTAGGTCACTTCCTCGGTTTTTAGTTCGTGCAGTCACCGCCTGGTGGCGTCGGTATTTGGAAAAGGTCCATTGAATAAGCTGTTGTGAAGCACTCCATCGCAAGCGAAGTGCACATCATTCAAACGCTATGGTGACGCCATCAGAGCCACTGCGATAGCAGCGTGGACCAACATTCGTAGGTCTCTAAGTTGACAAGCCTCACGGAAGAGCGGCGTTCGAAATCGGTTCTTCATTGCATGCACGCAAGCAGGGGCCCTATGTTGCGCTTTTTGGACTCCCAGTGCGACTGGGGAGAAGGAAGTGACGTCAACAACACAGCATAAGGAGATAAGATTTTGATTGGTGAGGATCGCTGATGACGAATTTCCCCAGATAAAAGAAAAACAAAGAAAAAGTGAGCTTTGTTTGTTTTCTGCAGAAATTCGTCATCAGCAACTTTCACCAATCAACATCCAATCTGTGTGAGCTGAGTTGTTGACGTCACTTCCTTCTCTCTAGTTGCCATGGGAGTCTAAAAAGCACAGCATAGGGCCCCAGGTATGGGTGGGTAGTGTTCCTGGTGCCACCAGTGTCAACCCCTCCACGGGTAACGAGGGAGAACCGTTTAAAAACTGCGCTCTTTTTGCGCCGACTGTTGCGTAAATTTTGTTTACCGTAACAGCCAGGATACACTCCCTTTCCACTGCAAATAGTGTGCATCCAACGTTCTACCAGTTCCTCCGCTTCTGTCCATTGGGCGGGCTGATAATGTAGCGAGCGCATGCGCCACGAAAAGGCTCCAAGCGTTTCAGGAAGCTTGTCAACTGACTTTGATCTAGTAACGTTGCCCTGGACTGCTGGCGGCCTACCTTATGCAACACCGATTTCATGCCGTGGAAATGCAATGTGCAAAATGTAAGCTACAGACTCGCGAAATGAGAAGAGCAGGGCGCCTCTTTCAAATGCTTGGCCTTAAGCTTGCGCTTGTTGCCTTTGCCGTGCTTTGGTTGTGCGCTCGAGGCTCGTCAGATGCTGATGTGTTATCGAAGCTTGCAAGCTTGAGCTGGAGGCATAAAAACTAACTGGAAGACTTCCCTGCTGTTCCTAATCATGTCGGTGGCTATAGACGACACGCTGTTTACAAACAAGCCCGCTTTTGCCCACACCAGGTGTGGGCACTGCGCAAGCGCAGAAACCAGGTTCGCGTGAGGTGAAGCTTCTGCGCAGGCGCCGTGGCGACAACAGCGCCACCGCAGAGCCATGACGTCAGAGCGGCGTGTTGGTCTATAGTAATGTCTAGGAATTCCGAGGATGGGCCTTGCGCAGGTGGTAAAGCTTGTTGTGCGTCGGAACTGAGAGTTTCAGGTTTTAAAATCGTTTCCACTTGCCAGCAGCGGAGTTTGTCACCACGGAGCTGTCGGAGTCTGGCCACCAGGAGGAGGTGGAGGAGGACGGAGACGAAGCAGCAGACGAGCCCCACACGGAGGTTGTGACGATACACCTTTCGTCTGGGGACCTCCTCTCCGACCAGTTGCCGTCTGCCGTCCCTGATGCGTTCCAGTGCGACCTGGACGGCTGCGGCAGGGTGTTCAACCGGGGACGCAAGCTGCGGGTTCACCTCATGAGCCACACCGCCTGCCGCCCTTTCAAGGTGTGACCCATCGTTGCCGGACGGTAGAGGCCCATTCCCATGTACACTAACTTGACTCTGCGATGTTGCGCCGCTGCTGTCGGCACTGCGCATGTGCAAACTGTTTCGTGCAAATCCATTTACTGCGCACGCGCGATGCCCACTCGTGGTGTGGGCAGACAGTGCGAATGCAGCACTATAGACACAGCGCTGCCCTGGTTCTAAATCTGTGCCATGTCGGCACTTGCTGCTTGAGACTCTGCCTTTTCCTTTTTACACTGTAATTTCAGTGACTTGGTGCTTTCTCGGTGCTGGAATGGATCTGCAAACTGGCCCTTAATCGCTTGTGTCCCCTGCCATGCAGTAGCGGTGTCCTGTTTGCGAGAATTCTCTTGGGAGGCCCTACGCGGTGGTGCTTACGTTGTACGGGGAAATCGCCGGAGGCAACTACAACGCGGATTCCGATGGGACGCGTGGCCAAACTCCCGAGTGTTTGACGTGTCGGCATCGCCGGGAACGCACGTCGCGGCAGGAGGAGAAGCACTTACTCTAGCGACTGCACTTTACCGCCAAAGGAGGGAGTCATGTAACCTAAGAGGTCCCGCTAGAAACAGACGAGGGCTGGCGCAGTGCCTCCCGTGACTCGTAGGAATGTCGACAGTCTGCAGCCGAGTGGATGCACCGAGCGAACGAATGGGATGGGCGACTTCATTAGACTGAAACTGGTCTTCCTTGATGCGTGCAATGCTGGTGCTCAGGCTAGGTGCGTGAGCCAATGTGCGTAAACGGGGCACGTCAAATGGGCGTTCCACACCTCATTCACTGTGCCCAAACGTTGCAGTGCCCCGAGGAGGACTGCGACTGGGCCTTTGCCACTGAGTACAAGCTGAAACGACACCAGGAGACTCACGCCGGCAAGAAGGACTACACGGTGAGTTGCAGACGACCCCGAAAGAGGCCGCGACGGGCGCCGCAGGGTTGACGCGTTGGTTTCTGCGGCGTCTGCAGTGCGACGTGGAGGGCTGCGGGCGCTCATTCACGACGGTGTACAACCTCAAGTCACACATGAAACTGCACAAGCGGCCCACCTTCCCGTGCCCGGCGCCGGAGTGTGGCCTTGTGTTCGTCACCCGCCGCAAGATGGAGCTACACCTGAGGGAGCACGACGACATCGACGCTCCCTACAAGTGAGCCCGTCGCCTTTGTCGAATTTCAAAACGGCCAGATGTCCGCTTCGGGGGAGGTTAGAGGTTGTTTTGCGCGCGCGTTAGATTCCCTCGACGCAGAGTTTCTATCGCGGGTTTGCACAGAAATTAATCTTTGAGGTTGCACCTTCTTCGTTGTGAATAGCATTGTGCCACCCGCCATTTTATAGTTTATTCTTTCTATGATAAAGACTGAATGCTGTAAAGGGGGAAGTTTGGTGAGAAAAGGTTGAATCTTGTGCATGCATTTGCAGCTTTGCTGTTAGATCCTGCTTGCTTGCTCTTCGATCCCCAATTGATATGACTGCCCTTTGTATGTTACAACGATTAGCATTCAAGGGCAATACTAGGAAATTATGACTACTACATAATATTGTTGCGGATAAAAAAAAGTCTCAACAAGCGTAAACTGAAAAAAAAAAAGTAATAAAAAAATGTTTGATCGGCGAACTTGTGCCAGAAACAAATGAAAAAGTGAGCGCTGAAAGAGCAGCAGTGAACGTTGCAGCATGAGCGTTGCAGCATGAGCTTGACAACTGCGATAGAGAGTGAGTTGGCAGTGCCAGGCTTGGCTCTGATCCACTACACTCACTATCTCGAATATTGGACCTAGAATGTTTGAGATGAACTAGGGCGAGACTGACTCGGCAAGGTCATGTTGGCCGCCATATCTTTCACACTTGAGGTAGGCGTAAACTGGACTCTTCTAGAAGTACGAAGAATCGTTCCTTCTCAGTCGTGCACTCGGCAGTGGTGGCTAGCTCTGACAGCACTTTGCTTGCTATCATCTTTCTATGTAGCTTTTGCAGTTTTGTATGTTTCCAATGTTCTGTGGGTTTGAATGGTGTCCATACTCGTTTTCACCTCAAGAAAAAGTAAGTTTTACGCATCGTTCATACACCACACGAAGTAGTTCTTACAAGACTTGGTTGTCGAGTAAAAAGTGATGCTTATGGTGTTTGAAGTGTGTACATGTTGATAAGATAACATCTGTCTAATCTAAAATGTACCTACATATATCTTAATTCTCTACATAAGTAATGGTCCGCGAGGAGCTGGACTTTTTTTTGCTAGGGTTCTTGAACTAAAAACAACTATAGACTGCTGTCGTCGGGCGCCATATTTTGTCAGAATTGCGTAGCAGAACAGCGTGCAGGCTTGAGAAAGTGGCCGGGTCACTCAAATCTCGCCCGGCCGCTGGTTATGTCCTGCTAAAGTAATGCGGACCTCTTTTTCCCCTTTGCTTCAAGGGGGTACCCAAAGGTGGCCCTACAACTGTGATCAATACTTCAAAAAATGTAGGGGTAGGGGGAGTAAAAGGTAGTGTTAAGAGTCTCAGACTTTTATGAAAACGTATTGCTCTCCAAACAAGTAATGTCAGCACAGGGGATTTGCTTCTTTCTAGCTCGTCCACGAATTTGCTACGGAGATGGTGTAATAGCGTCCAAAGTTAGACGAAGGCCAGCTTGCACCATTTAGTAGAAAATTTGTCTGTGCAGAAGACTGGCATGTAGCAACATCGTTTCATACTTCGCGGACGCCGCCGCCAAAGGCAGAGTTACGAGCTTGTGTCTCGATTTGGCGCTAGCTTTCGATCATCAGTAGCTTTGACAACGACAAGCAATAAGTATAAAACAGCACCAGCCCCGCAAACAGCGCTAGGTTTTGTGTTTTGTCTTTGGGCTCTCTCTTGGAGGCATTCAGAAACAAACGGCGGGTTGTTTGCGGGCCCCTCGCCAGGTGTCCCGAGGCTCTATGCGGCAAGGCGTACTACTCGGCCAACACCCTGGCGTCCCACCTGCGGGTGCACATGCGGCTGGAGTTCCGGTGTCCCTTCGAAGGGTGTGGGCGCCTCTACAACCGCGTCTGCAAGCTGAGGCTACACGTCCGCCAGCACACGGGGGAGCGGCCCTACATATGCCCCTTCGAGGTGGGTGGTCCATCATTTTCATTATAAAATACATATGCAAAGTACAACAAAAATTTTGAAACCCTTGACTGTTTCGGACGAGTCTAGCTCGTCAACATGGAGCCGTCCCCAAACCGTTCAGGACGAATAGAGCTCGTCTGCTTTCCCTGGCTCACGCACTCAACCGTTTTCGACAAACCAGACTCGCTCATTGCTTAGTTTGCGGCCCTGGCAACAAATGGCAGACCTGAATATTTAAAAATTTGTTACCTTTTTGTTTGTGGCGAACACCTTTATTTGAGGGCAACAAATGTAATTTTTAAGACAACTATTAAGCAGTTGAGAGTGAGAAATTTCCCATCTAAAGCGGTTATGGGGTTAAACAGCTTATATACAAAAAGGATGTCATCAAATAAATTTACAACGAAAAAAAAAAACTTTTTAGTGCTATAGACCGTTCCATTAGGGTCATAGCAGAGAGGGTTTACCCTCTCTGCTATGACCCTAATGTTATCAGAGAAAAAAATTCCCTCCCCCTCTCGCCCGAATGTCGTCTGCTCCTTTGAGTGGGCAGTACCTAGCATCCAGCTGGCGTACAAACTCTGTTTAAAATCGCGTCATTTTGGAAATTTCAAGCGCAGATGCGCAGATTTTGTTATACCAGTTATCGTGTATTACTATGTTAGATAAAAAAGACTAACAGGGTCCAATTGCGCTGTTATCTGTGTGCAAATAAAAAAAAAAAATATATAGGAAAAACTGTGTCAGACTGGCCGGTCTCTCCGGCGAAAAGTGAATCCGGTGGCTGTACCTTTTTTACTATACAAAGTTCGTACTGGTGTAGGCCTTTAGCGACCATGAGTGGATGTCTGAAATAATAAATAAAAACGTGCTCTCCTGCCGCAATACACGCAGTAGTTGAGGGTAGTACTGCCGGCTGACTCAACTGCTATTTAAGTGACGGAAAAAAGATATGTCAGCTGATCATTTACCGAAGTAGAACAACAGAGAGCTCTAGGCTGATTTTGGAGTAGCCATAACTATTCTAAGAACGCGAACCACTTCACAACGGCAGCCACGAGCGAGAATTCAATGTTCCTTACAGCCCGCCGATACAGCCCAAAAATGGAGAATGGCAACCTCCCGTTTTGTCGTCTGCTAGAGGAGTCGGGCGCGTGCCCTCTCTCTTGTTTTACCCCGCTGAATTTCCCGGATGTATGGAGAGGGCGCCGCCCAGAGAGCGCTAAATGGAATGGTCTATATTTTTGGCGGGAAACGAATTTGTAGTTGGCACCCGCGAAAGCCCGCAGAAAAGTGACTACTAGCAGTCACGGCCACTAGTCACGTGGTAGGCCTGTGCACTGGCGCAAACGCTGGACGCTTTCAGCGCCTCCGCTGACGTTTCCAGAACCCCCAAGCTGAGTGTAGAGCACCATTGATTGAACGCATTTTTATTTTTCTTTATACGCAGAAAGTAAGTTGAAATATAGTTCCAAATAAAAAATGCTCGGGGTACGCCTATGCACTTCTTATGAGTTGTGAATGTGAAAGCATGAACGTCGTTCTTGCGTGCGCTCTCGTGAAGTGGCCGCACCGGAGTATGCCCAAGCGAGTTCTGCGAGGCCTTGCCAGCCAAACGCTTCAATTTCCCGGCGCGCTCTGGCGCGTGCATGTAGTGCCATGGGGTGGCTCTCCTTGAAACTGACAAGCACCGGCCAATGGGAGCCTCGTTCCTTGAAACTATGACGCACGCCAGCTAATGAGAAGTGAAGCCGAAATCTATCAGATTTCATCTTCCTTTAGCTCCTTGTGGAGAGATTAATTAGGCTGCCGTCTTGCATGGCTTCAAAGCTGGGAGGCTTCAGATTGCGGCTTCACTCTGCTACATTGGGAGAGGGGAATTTACCTGCCTTTTGGCGCGGCTTCAAAGCTGGGAGGCCTCAAATTGCGGCTTCACTAAACCCCATTGGGAGACGGGAATTTAGCTGCCATTTGGCGCAGCTTCAAAGCTGATAACATCTTCCCGCTCCATGAGACAGTTAATGCTTTCACGTTAAAAAAAAAATAGATAAACCTGCACAAATCCCTATCATAAAAAAAAAAAGTGAAAGCTGTTTACAACTCCCTGTAACGCTGAATTGGAGCGCAGCTCTTGAGGAGGAGGAGGGAAGGGTACTGAGGGGAGGGTAGACACCTCCTCCTCCTTCTCCTCCTCCTCCCCTCATTCTTTAATATGCTCCGGGGGGGGCCACCTGACCTCGGGGGGAGGGGGTCACGTCACCTCGGGAAGGGGGGGGGGGGGGGGGGGTCACGTGACTTCGGGAAGGGAAGCCACGTGACCTTAGGAGGGGTCACGTGACCTTGAGAGGGGTCACGTGACCTTGGGGTGACCTTGGTTACGCCGACGGCGATGCCACTCAAGCCGGAAACGGGCGCCTAAGAGCTGCGCTCTAAAAAAAAATTCAGAAGATTCTCATTATTGTTATTTTTTAGCGACTTTTCTTCGTGCTGCCGCCGGAAGGGAACACTCCGGCGCGCTGCCGCTGTCAATTTCTGACCTGCGCGCAGGTCTCTATGCTGTGGTGCTTGCACTCTTTTGGGAGTTTCCTATGTATGGCCTCTTAAAGCTACTTAGTAACCTTCGTTCTTCTTTTTGTTGAACTTAAAACGAAGATTAATAAGTAACTTTTAGAGCCCTTAGAAAGCTCCCGAAAGAGTGCAAGCGCCATGTGACTAGTGGCTAGTCATGTGACGCTAGTATCCTTTTTATTGCGTGCTCCCGCGGGCGCCATCTACGAATTCATTTCGCACCATAAATATGACTTAAATTTTTTTATTTTTTTTGTAAATTTATATTTGACATTTCTTTTCCACCCAAGCTGTTAAAAGAAAAAAAAAAAAAAAAATCTTGGCTGGGCCCTTCAAATCATGCAGTGGCTTGCGCAAACTGTACTTTGTTTCGGTACGACGCCTGAAAGACCTCTGCGACCGATGTGTTTGCCGCATCGCAAAAGGCAATTCCTCGATTTCCGCCTGACGGCATCGCTAGAGCGTCGTCTGGTTGCCGACCACGACCCCGGTGGTGTTGCAACGGCATGACACTTTGGCTCGCGTTTGTCATTCGTTGCCACTTTGGGGCCACTTTCGGCACATGGGTGAGACGGGACGCCAAACAGACCGGCGGAAGGTGTGTTCAAGCGCCATAGTTTTGGCGTAGCTTGGCAGACTACAAATGCTACGGACCCCATGTGCCAGCCGGAACCGCGGAGCGAACCGCATGTTTGCTCGCTTTCGCCGTTTGCCCGGCCTTCTGCCAAAACGTTGCGTCGCCAGCGTGTACGGTTCCTGCAGTCTTGTTCTCGGGTGCGTAAGGGAATCCGCTTTGCCCTCGCGCTTGTTGCTTCGGTGGTTGCGGCACCTCGGGCGGGTGACCTGGATGTGAGTGTCCCGGTGGCCCCTCTTGTCCCGGCCTTGCGGGGCCTTGGATTCCAGAACATGCGGTGTATTTAAAGGCGCCCTCTCCCACTTGCTCGGAGGGTCGGTTTTAGAGGCGCAGGACACTACTACATTCTACCAAACTCTTTAATTGTATCGTTTTGTGTACTTCTACTTTGCTCTTTTATTGGGTGTTCTTATTTTTATGGCTCCAATTTTTTGCGAATTCGGCACAAAGATAACATTTGCAACCATTAAACTTTGCAAGTTCCGAAGGCCAAAGTCGTCCTCTCTAAATATTACGAGTGTTTGAATGTCCTCGAAGCTCGCGAAAGTTGAAATTCGTGGCCTTTGCAAATTTTGAGGGTTTTGCGGTTTCCTTTGTCATCCTCGCGTCCGAGCGTATACCCAAAAGCGTGTGATCAGTTAGCAGTTATGTTCCCTCGACCGATGGCAGACGTGACTCGTCGCGGACAAAGCGTTGCATGGTCGAAGTCCTCCGCCAGTGGTTGATTAAGCGCTCGCATTTTTGCTTGGGCGTAGGAATGATCGATATCAAAACATTAACCGTGTACCTCAACCAACGTCAGTTTCATCTTTCCGTGTCTGTTGTGTCCTCAACCAAATTTGGACCTCGAACACTCGCGGAAGACGCATTGCGGTGCAAAGCCCGAAGTCACCCGTTGGGTCGTGGGACGTTTTGTGCACAGGGCTGCGCGTGGACGTTTGCTTCGGCGAGCAAGCTGACGCGGCACACGCGCAAGCACACGGGCGACCGGCGCTACGTGTGCCCGGAGCCAGACTGCCGAAAGGCCTTCATGCGCCCCGAGCACCTCAAGGGACACATGGTGGTCCACTCCGGCTGCCGGCCCTTCGAGTGCCCACACCCTGGTAAGCAGCGCATTTTTCAAATTTAGTTTTCTTCTCCTTTGGTACAAAAAGGAGGTACTGTACGCACTGGCAGGAAGAAAAAGGCACTGCATGTCTTTCAAACTTCTGGCCTCCAGCATGTGCACGGGACGTTGAATTGTTGTTGAAAATAGGACACTCGTACTGAAAGGCATCTCTGCCGTTCACATTTTGTTGGCGACTTTGGCCATTTTATGTTGGCGTGAACTGACGGTGTTAGCTTGACTCTCCGCGAGGGCCAATGGATCTAGCTAAGTCATCCTCCAAAATTCTCTCGTCGTAGAAGACACTGATACAGGTGACATTGCGATTCGGCGTGCATCTATTTGGTTGCCGACACGGTGGGAATGGCTGGGCCTCTCCTTCCGAAGATGCTGCGACGTTCTCATTCTACCATTTGTGCTCGCAAGCAGTCCTTTCCGTCTGCGATTTCCGGTCTACGAGGCGTCACAGTTATTACGTTTTGAAGGCGAACGTTTTTCGAGCCTAGCTTCGTCGCTGCTTGTCTTCTAGGCTGCAGCTCCAAGTTTGCGGCCAAGTCGAGCCTGTACGTGCACCTGAAGAAGCACGCTGCGGGAGCCTGTTCCTCGAGGCGCAGGAGCTCCGCCGGCAAGCCCCGGGAAAGGCTGGTGTACCCGTGCCCCATGGGCGCCTGCTCCAAGCGCTTCACCGCCAAGGGCTCCCTGCGGCAGCACATCCTCAAGTGCCACTCGGTGCTTCTGGGTGAGTCGGCTCATTTACAGTCACTAGGGAGTCTGGACCGGTGTGCTTGGTGTCCCGTTTCTCCCATGCACTTAAAGTGGTGCTGAAGTGGAAACAAATGACGCCGCAAAAGCCGGAGTGTTGGACGTCGCAATCCTGGCAGTTGAACGTAGAAATTCCGAAAAGGAAAAAAAAAAAAAGAGAATGCGAGCGTTCATGTCGTAGAGGCGTTCTAAGCTTCCTTTGACGCTTCCGTGGACTGTCAAGCTGGAGAGCGACTTGCAACAGAGCGGGCGTCTGCCACGTCCACAACCACTGCTGCGACATTGCCAAGATCGCGGCCGGAGACGACGTGACACTTTGACGCCGTCACGAGGCAGAAATCATGGACCCACTCTTTAGGACGCAGTAAAACACCACGGAGCGTTTGCAACTGTTCGATCGGGGCCGCGCAGTTTACGGGCCGTGTCTGCGATACGAGCTGCGAGGAAGCGTGGATTGTCTATGAGAGTCTCTGCCCGTCTGCCCGCTTTCCTTTTTGCCACGCGACAGTGCAGTGCATGCACACTTGGGATTCGTCGTCGGAGGCGGCATCCAGAATTAAGTTGCAAACGCTTTCCGTGGTTTGAGTGGCTCCCTCTCGAACATAGGCTCTCTAGATTTTTTTGAGTAACGAGCGCCATCTGGGGGGGGGGGGGGGGGGGGGGGTCGTCTGTGAACTACAGGTGAAGGGCAGCCGACCGTTATTTTACCAGTTAGTACACGTTAGAATAGCAGAGTTGTATAGGTTTTCATAGCTTTTTACTCACTTTAATTTTTCGTTGTGCAGCGGACGGCAGCGACGTGACCGATTTCGACTCTGTGCCAGATGAGGGTACGGAAGTGACTCCCTTGGAAGAAGCCGAGCAAGAGCTGATGGCTGCGATCCCTTTGGCTGGTGAGTGGGACAAACTATGTTCCGTCTGTTGCCAAGTTTACAGGCAGACGCTTGATTGGCTTAACGAGCAAGTAACAGCGGCAGCCCCGTCAACTTAGGGGTGAACGAAGGGATATAGTGCTCGGTCTTATTGGGTAGCTGTAAGAAGCTGCAATGTGGCTGCAGGTGGAGCGTCGACTGAGGCACCGGCGCAAGGCTCGACGGACCTGCATGGCCTTCACGACTTTCCTGGTGAGTGGTGTCTCCACTAGATCTCTGCGATAGAGGGACGGTGCTTTGATGGACTCTTCTGTTTTGTCAATTTGGCTGTTGGTAGTGGCAGTTATGGTGTCTCCTTTTGTGGCATCTGAAGGGGTCTTCGAATTCTGTTCTTGTGCACCTTGCGGAGGCGACCTAGACGCAAGTGTCGAGGTCGCTCGTCCGACCCTCGCAGGTTGCGGTGCCAGAGCGTTCGCTGCATTTAAAGGCCTCTTTTCTCGACCCCCTCGAAAAGCAGGTTTTAGAGGTGCAGGACATTCGGTTGGTTAGTGTTTGTGATCGGCTGTTATTACGGAATGAACCCTTTTCATGAGCCGGGCCATCTAGTGGCAGCCTCCAAAGCTCCAAAATTGCCACTCTAATGGCACTGACTGGAGATCAGGGTTGACAAAATCGCTCACCCTCGACTCTGCGAATCAAAGTCAACGTACATTGATCAATTTGTGTGGATCAATGGACCTTTTTCAAATAAGTAGCGCCATCTGGACGGTGCCCCGGGAAAATGGCGACAGGGGTAAGGTGGAGCCTGGGGAGAGAGTGTGCGCATGTGCAGAAGCTTACTAGAAAAAGGTCCATTCCCCGCTTTCTCTTCTACGCCATCGAAGACATTTGCTTTCCCTGGCGTCGAGAAGCCCCGTAATATTGCCATTAGATCGTCTGGTTCGGCTCTGGAGAGGGGTTGCAGACCGACTTCTGAAGGGGTCCATTGGCAGGTAGCCCATTTTGTGTGGCACGGCAGTAGCATGCCAGCCAGCTGTCATGCAATCAACCTACCTTGGTTGTGCTCTTGCAACAACTGCTTTATTCGATTTACCTGCACTCGGTGCGTACCACCATATTTTATTCACTAGTCACTTGCGCTTTCGACGCAGATCGATTCTTCCCATTACCTCGACTTGGACTTAAAACTGAGGCTCTACGTGCACTTTTCTGCACTGGTGCAGGCTGGTGCAGGTAAATCTAATGAGCTCACTGTGTGCTGCCATAGTCACTGAGAAAATGAGAACAGCACGGTATGTCTGTCGGATGCCCGGCTTCCAGCCTGTGCTCCTTGCCTCTTGTCACGCCTTGGACGCACAAGCGCACGCAACGCTTGCGAAACGCCATAGAAAGTAGGAAGCTCGGGCCGGGGGTGGGGCAGCCGAAGTACCCTCCTGCCGTTCTCGTCTTGCTCGTGCCTCTGTACAACATGCAGGAACACCCGTAGTAGCCGTTGCACGTCTCACGCGAAGCACCGTGTGTCGTGGCCTTTTCCAGAAGGGGCGAGGGCGTCGGAAGACGACGAAGACGAGGAGTGCAACGGAGAGGACCGTCTGACGGACTCCTGCGCCAAGACGCGCGTCAGCGACTTGGACACGCTCACGCCTTCGAGGGTGCTTCAGGAGAACCACAGCGGGTCGGCTCGGACGGATTTCTGCAGCAACCACCTCCAGCTGGCCAGGAAAAAGAGGGCTGCCAAGGCCACCCTCGAGGCGTTGCACCAAGGTGCGTGGCGGCGTGACCGTTTGGTTGTTAGTTTACGGCGGTCGCGGCGGCTTGCGGTACCGGGCTGGCAAGTGACGAGGCGCAGTTTGCGCCTGAGTCCAGGGATTTGTTCTACGTTGAGATCCGAAGTGTCTGAGCGTCGCACTTCGTAACCCGGAAAGGCAGCTGTTTTAAATGCTGAATGATAACCAAAATTGAAATACTTGCTCCATGGCGCAGTGGAGCCATGTGATTTGGCCGCAAGAATGTCTTTTCGAGCAACACGGCATACAAGTCAGAGAAATGAATCGCCCAAAATTTAAGAGGACTGTCGTACGCCTAGAAAGTTTTGCTCGACCCTGTACGGTGCAAGCATTTGTATCCCAGCCAGATGACTGTGCCTCTTTGTAGTATGTTCAAAACATTGCTTCTCTTTCTATTTGCAGGAAAGAAGCTGGAGCTGTCAAATGGAGTTGCTCTACCGTGCGCGGATGTAGTACTTACCTCGTCGGCAGTTGGGGAGCCGATTTCGAGTATAGAATTGGTCCAGGTGCCTCTTATTCAGGTGAGGAATGTCCTAATTGGAGTCATTGGATACTCCCAGATCACCTCGTTTCACAGAACTGCGCTACCAAAACAATAGGCGCATCGTTGCGCTGCTCCTTGAAGTTGGCAAAGTCATGAGATTAGACAGACAAATGTCTCCAGTGGGCAAAGGACACCTTGCCTTTCTCGGTTAATAGGCAAGTAATTCTAATATAGGCACCCTACCTAGAGTATCCTCTGAATGTCACGTTTCAGCCTGTTCTACATTGAACCGTGTTCTGTAATGTTTGTAGAATGTAGTTGTAGAATGTAGTTACCCCCATCAGAGGCACTTCGTGGAAGGGGGAGAGGGGGGAGAGAGAGGGGGGTAAGGAGAGGAGAGAAAGAAAGATCTTCAGACCTGCTTGAACAACCTTGCAACCTGACATGCACAGATATGTTCTCATCTTTTTCTATTGCCACTTCGAAGCAATGTATCTTCGTCAGATGCGAATACTTGGGTCTCACTCAATTAGTCTTTCTATTATTTAGCATGGATTCATGCTGCCTAGTTCCTTAAAGACCGGCGACCAGTTCGTGCTTTCCTTTTTTCCTCAGATTCCCCCTCCCCCTTCTACCCTGTCCATTGTTGCCAGTTTCCTCCTCCCCTATGGCTAGGAGGATCTTCTGCCTTGCAGAATCTCAAGTCTGGTGGTCGGCCTTTATGTGCATCGAACCTTGTGCTAACAAGTTCTCTACAGTAGTGTCTTTTCGACAGTATACACTCTTTGCTGCTTAGTGATGGTGTGCATATCCAGCAGCTACAATCACTGACAGAATGAGGACAGCGGGGTGCGTCTTTCAAACGCCTGGCCTTCCGCAGTGTTTTGGCTGCATTTGAGCGTTCGAGGTGAACGAGATGTCGGAGCGTCGTCGAAGGTAGGCTTGCTCTGAAAGGCGGGATAACTGAAGCTCGTCCCTGCCATCCCCACCTCGTCAGTTGCTGTGGCGAGCCATAAGGTTCCTGCACTTCGTGCCGGGGACCTCGTGCAAGGTCCTTATAATTCGCTGTTTTTCCTATTGGTGCAGTCTTTCTTAGCAATTGCGCATTTGTTTTATTGTCGCAGGACGACTGTCCGTCGGGGACCGACATCTACTCAGAGCTGTCCGTACCCGTTGCCACGTTGTTGGCCGAACACACTGCCACCTCCGAGCTCGGAGCCACCATCCACCTACAGGATTTGGACTGACCGCTCGCCACTGCACTTGTAGATACGACATCATAAAACAAAAAACGTCTGCCCAACAAAAGCTCTTTCATGTCTTGGTGCTCAACAAGTCACACTGGTAGAGACGTGCGTTCGATTACTGAAGTAGCAGTTTAATCGTTGGTCTGGGAGAAACCGTCGTAGAGGTTGCCTTGAGTCTTGCTCGTAGAATACCCCTCAGATCATGCCAAAGAAATCTGCAAAGGTGTGTGCGTGCAACAGAGATGAAGGTTGATGGGTTGTGGTTAGGTGGCCGAAACTTTGTCATTGGGAAGGGAATCCTGGCCGATAACGTGAACGTAAAGGAAGGGTTATGGAGGAGTACTAGTTATGCAGTACTAGTTTTGGGGTTTTAGCATTGCCCTACAAACCAGGCTGGGGATATGCTGCAAAGGGAACATAGCCATCCGTTGTCTTGTACCGTCCAGAGAGCAGAAAATAGAATAGTTGTTGGAACCAAGGTTTGCTTGCAGAACATTCCCTGTTCGGTTCAGGCACGCAATTACGGTATCCTGGCAAGTCTGTGCTAAAACTCTGAGTAACAAAAAAAAACGCACAATGGCAATTCATATGTTCCCCGCAAAAGCTGTACAAGAACTGTTTATAGTCGTCGAGGGATGGGGAATGAAGTACATTCTCCACCTCTAGCGAAATCTTTCTACCATCAGTAGCACTCCAGCGCACTCATAGCCAAAACGCGACAGAAGGCAGCAGGCTCCTGCCGGAGGTGAAGTTGCTGCATTGAAAATTTCACTGCCAGGGCCTCTACTCTAAGCTGGTCTTAAACAGCAGTAAAAAGTTAACTGCATTTCCCCACTAAATAGGTATAAGTACCTAGCCAAGTTTGACAAGGCCTAGATGTGCGATAGCTCTGCTTTATTGTGGGGTGTTAGCTCGTGTCGCCTAAAGATTCTAGCAAATATTAGTTGCTTTCTTTTAAAACAGGGACCCAAGCATGCACGCTTTCGGATTTTCGCAATGCAGTGTGGTGTACAATTGAGCTTTAAAAAAAAGACATTGTTGCTCAGGGTGCAAATAATCATGTAAAACCCAATCGACCAGTGTTTGGCAAATTATTTAATGGTTGCTGTATGAAGTGAACAGGCTCGGTCAAATTTCCTTCCTAGTGTGAAAGAAGACTAAGAAGTTCAGTGGTAGAAAGGATGAAGTGAGCAGTGAAAGGTGGGAGGCATACTGACAGCATAATTTGCCAGCATGCAAGAACAATACATAAAACCTTCATAAAATTGAAAATCGTGTACTTTCCAGTGGAAATTGGTACGCAGTCTGCTTCTGCATGCCATCAATGCCAGGTCGATCAAGACAATCCACTAGGGGTTCCGAAGACGTTGACATGTCGACAATTGCCATGTCCCTTTAGGCTTAGGAATGGCCAGAATTAAAAGGCAATTTTAAAGATACGGCGAGATTATTACTCATGTTTTGCAATTAAGTGAGCTACGGGAAAGTGACAGTTTCCTGCACCATTCATTGATGACAAATGCATCCGATAGTGCAGCGAGTACGACGTATGGGATCCAAAGCGAGTGACGCTCGCTCAGAGGGACACCGCCATATTTCCCCGCCGTCCCTACTCTGCTGGTCACGTGACCTAAAATTCCCCCTCATAGAGAAATGCGGTTAACTTTCTGCCACAATTAAAGTTAACCAGCTTCGAGCAAACGGACCCTGGGGATGTTGAGGTGCAACCGAAATCTCGGCCTTCTCTGCAATAAGTCTCCGTCAGATTGCGGACACCTCATTCGGGATTCGAACCCACCACCTGGGGATTTGTAGGCTGGCGCTCTGCCTCGGATCCACCGAGGCAGTAGAGCTAACTGCATTCTTAGCCTGTCACCGAGTATAGACACCAAGCTCTTCCTTGCTGACATGGCACCTCAACAGCTGCTACCTTGCATGTGGCTGTGCCTGCGGATTTGTATTGCATCTTACCTTCTGTGTCTCTAGTTCCTGAGGGAACAAAAGGAAAAATTACAGGTGTATAAGAGTGTTTTCGGTTGTCACGAGCAACGCTACCTTCGCTGAAGATGAGCATGTAGGCCATGATGCAGAGGCCTGCAAAGACCATGATCACCGCAGCCCCGCTGCCAAAATAGACCACTGAATCTGGGATGATGGGCACTTCGTTTCTGCAGTGGCAAAGACCGCGAGTGCCGTCTTGACGGTGAAACCACATGGTGGTAGCGTTTGGTACCCAGTGCAATACTTACGAATATCGGCTTGGGTATTTCAGGATTGCTGTATAGCCAACATGTGAGGAAAAAAAAGAATGTTTTGCTTTCTCTGCTTTTTGCAATGATTCATTCTTAGTGAAAACAGGTAGGTGCAGTGACACCAGAAAGTGTACAAAGTATTTATTGCATTTGGAGCTGATTTATCAGTAACCTGCATTGAGTATCCCTGGTCATAACAGTTGATATCATCTGGTATTGAAGCAAGTGGCAACGTTATTAGATTGGCAGTTACGGAACGGTTCATAGACGCTGCATGCTCTAGCAGTACCCCCCTCGCTCGCCATGTCTCTCCTCCCGTCGTTCGACTCGCCGGATGGCTGCTTTGGTAACAGCAGTGTATTCTCTGGGATATGTATGTTTCAAAGCGCAGCCGTCTAGATGGCATTCCACCATACTCTATGGAACGCACAGTTCCTAAACGAAAATTCAGATGGCGCTTCGAACGATGGGAGGCGGGCTGAAGTGAGTGAGGGGGGGATACCCCCTTCCATGGGAGTTCCACAACTGAGGTAATCTAGGAACATTGGCAAGCGGTGAAAAAAGACGGTACAGGGTGTCCCCAAAAAGACAGGTTTTCTTTTTTCATCGCAAAAATAAACTATGTATCTGTGAACGATCATTCTCCACCAAAGGTAGCGCTAGAGGTCCGAACCAGACGCAAAAGTTTCAGCACAAACCAATATTTTATTCAAAGCTAAGAGTGAGTTCCAGAAAATTTCAATAAGAAAAAGAGGGCAGAAGGAGCTTTCGAAGGCATGGAGCTCTATGGCGCCAGAAACCGAAAACGGGTAAGACCGCGCAGCGTCTATGAACCGTTCCCTTTTTCATGTTGAAATTTTCAGAAAATCACTCTGGTTCGTTCCAGAGCCGTATATTGGGGGGGTTTGGCCAGTTTATGATTTCGTTGCTGTAACGTCCTGCCCCTACCCTACCCTACCCCCCCCCCCCCCCCCCTCCCCGCTCCAGTGAGCCAATCAGCCCGCTGCACAGAGAGAGAGGCATGAGCACCTGTATGTGTGAACTCCCAGCTGCTCCCAGCGGTGTGGGGAGGACCGCCATTTTCATTCATTCGCCCGGTGCAATGCATGGGATCGACATCCAAATTTCGCTTCTTTCTTTTTATTGTGCTGGCTCTGGCAAGAAAATGGAATACTCTAGTTTTATTCCTTGGTGGGTTAAAAAGCTAAGAATGAAGCTAACCTTTATTCAGGTGAAAAAGAAGTAGGCCCGTAGCAGACGACGCATAGCCTCAACAGCGCTCTGCACCGAAAGCGTGTTGCGTCAAAATGGCGGTCGTTTCCTCTTTGCTCCCTCCTTCCCCTTTCAGTTTTTCGGCACCCTCCCCACCCCATTTTCCTTCACTTCTCCTCTCCAGCGCCTTTGTCGCCATGCCTACAGGCCAGACTCTCCGCTAGCGCTACCTTCAGGAGGAGAGTGAGCGTTCAATAATGCACACTTTTTTTTTTTTTTAGAGCGCAGTTTTTAGTTGTTTGTTTTTAGCTTGAGCGGCGTCGGCGTCGCCGTAACTGCGAAGTCACGTGAACCCCGCCCCCTGAGGTCACGTGACCTCAAGGAGTTGCCTATTGGGCAGGAGATCGAACTATAGGGGGCGCTCTGACCCCTTTGTTGTCCCCACCCTCGGTGTTTACTCAACACAAGGCCTGCGCACATGCCAACAGGCCTTATGGGCATGTCTATGCCATCTTCTACAATAGAGCACGGGGCACAGTTTAGGGTAAAAAATAGGGATGCCGCGAACTTTTTTCGAATCGAAGTTTCGATGATCGAATCAAGCGGTTCGAAAGGTTCGAAAGATTTCGATTTTTCGAATTGTCTATATCGTAAAATTCGACGGAGGTCGAACTTTCGAACTTGTTAAGCTAAGAAGTTCGAAGCTTTTCGAACCGTCGAACTTATTACGCTAAAAAATTCGATATTTTTCGAACTTTCGAACTTATTGCGCTGCAAGGTTCGATACTTTCGAACTGGACTGACCAAAAAATTCGATGAATTTCGAACTTATTTATCAAGAGAATTCGAAAAGTTTCGAACTTTCGGATTCTGAAAAGTCAGAAGTTCGACGAACTTCGAACTTTTAGGGTAAAAGTTCGACGTTCGTCGAACTTCGAAAGACCGGCGGACGGTTTCATTTGATTTCAAGTAGTGGGGTACATTCGTAATTTTTTTTTCTCGAACTTTTACCCGCGGTGCTGCGTTCCTTACGAAAGACAATGTCGTTTATTTCAATGTTCTGGCATGCTTAGGTTTAAAGAAATAAATCCCCGAAGGGGCGAGGAAGGTCGACGGGTTTTTGACGATTATCGTTTGTGCCAGATTTGAAGCACGCTGCAGCCGGAGCTATATATGGTAGATATGTTATACTTTTTTGAAGAATGATCTATGTATAGCCTAGGTAAGTGCCGTCTTAAGATGTGATTATTGTTATTCAACGTGAGTTTCGAAGAAATGTCCAAACATGTATCTGCATGCAATTATAACCTAAACTTGATATTTATTTTCGTCTAAGTTGTTTGAGGTATCGCATTTAAATTAACACCACAGACAGTACATATCATTGCTATCTGCAGAATACGAAATAATATATTTATTGTTTTTTTTTTTTTCACGTTAAGGAATAAATTAACTCATGTGAGAAGATTTCTAATAGTGTTCAAGTTCAGCACGTCATTAAAAGAAAACTTTTTTTTTTTTTCGCTTCACGTTCCTGGGACGTGTTTCTTTTAGCCTGTGCACATTTTGGTAAAAGAAACTTGTTTCGAAGTTCTGAACCTCTGAATATGCAAGAATAGAACACTTCCGACGAATTCTTGATAGTTTTTTTTTCTCCTGCTTTTTATTCCCGCATTTTTTTTTTTTTTTTTTTTTTTTTTTTTTTTTACTATCGGCACAGGTGTTTAGGTCGGAAAGACAGCTTTGAACTTCCGAACCACTAAGCATGCGACGAGCAGTGTCTTCTGACAACGAGTTTCTAACAATGACCATCTACGCAATCTTTTATGCAGTGAAGAGCGACAGTAGCTATACACATGCATAAATAATTTCAGATTAAAATAAGCTCGACCACGCCCTCTTTCCCCGTACTGTTTTCTTTAACGGTTCGAAATACCTGCAAGAAGGAAAAGGAAACTGAAGCCCCCCCCCCCCCCCCCCCCCCCCCCCCCCCCGCTACCCCCCTCTTTCCCCCCGTTTTTCCTCTTCCGACGCCACTTGTATGGTAGAACGCTCCGCGACCTCGAGTTGTGTCGGTTTTTGTGCTTTTTGCGAGGCGATTCCTCCGTCCCAGAAAATAAACCTCCAGGACAATTATAAACTTCACCGGATCGGATTACTACCAGCGTGCAAGGGGTGGCGAGGTAGTTTGCCAGGTCGCTTCACGGTTTTTCTGAGCCTCAACCTCCTGCTCGCCCGTGGCCGTTTTGAACTGGATGAGTCTCGTAAAACAGTGTGTTCGCGCAATCACTACTGCGTGATGCAGGTTAACTTAAGACCCCCCCCCCCCCCCCCCCCCCCCCCCCCCGGGGCTGGCGGTCACAATTCTTCACTGGCAAATATTCTAGCACGTCCGGGACACTCGTCGTCTCATGTAATTGCCTGACCAACTTCGCGCAATCTGAATATCACACCCTAACTTTTCGAAACTTGATTTCGTGAAAACCAGTGAGGCGTGAAAACGTTATTTGAAACTGAAACTGTGGCGGAACATGAAAACCGGACTTCGAACTTTGAAAACTTGGATTAGAAAGAAATTCAAAATCTTCAAAGTTTTTTTTTTTTTTTTTTATTTTATTTAGCGTTAAAAGAAAATCGAAACCTTCGAACTTTTCGAACTTTATGCAAAAAGAAATTCGAAATCTTCGAATTGTTCGAACTTCATGTCTATAAAAATTCGAAGCGTTCGAAGTTTTCGATTTTTTTTTAACAAAGAATTTCGAGATCTTCGAATTTATCGAACCTGAAGTAAAAAATATTCGAAATAATCGAACTCGAAACTTTGGAAACCGTGAAAGCTTCGAAATTTTCGAATTCGAAACTCCGCTGTGGTCAAAAGTTGCGAATTTTTCGAAATCGAACCTCGGTCAATACGAAAATATCGAAATTTTTCGAAATCGAACCTCAGTTCGCTTCGCAAATATCGAAACCTTTCGAAATCGAACCTAGGGTGGTTCGCGACATCCCTAGTAAAAAATACTAACAATCGAGAGCCGATCTATCCTCTGAGAATGCGAGCTTGACCCACTTTGGCTTTTGTGCGGTACGGAGCTGGGACCGTGCATGCTGCATTGTTCATGCAGGCCAGAGTGGAAACAAAAGAGCCCCTCCTTCCCCTCACTGGAGAACATGAACTACAGCTGAACGCTGACACCGCGTTCGGTTATGTCGGCCGAGCGCTGAATCATTGTATTTGCTGTTCCGTGGTTGTCCCCATCCGTGTAGTTCTAAAGTTAACCGCTTTGGGCGTCACAGTCGCTCCTCCTCCCCAATCCCTCAGTACGCTTCCATCCTCCTCCTCAAGAGCTGCGCTCTAATCCGGCGTTACAGAAAATTAATTGTAAACAGCTTTCTTTTTTTTTTTTTTTTTAGATGGACATTTTGTAGGAACCATTTATTGATGTTATTTTTGTTTTACGCTGTAGTAGTTGCAATACTAGCCCACCGGTTCATTTTAGTTGCATCCGTCCTAAATGACTGACTTTCTTTTTTTATTCTGTTTGCTCTGATGGAATTTGAGAATTTATTACTACTGAAGAATTAGTAATAAATTCAATGTTCTCATCGGCCAGCTGGGTTGTGCAGTAGCTTTCACCCCTGGGCAACACGAGACTGTTGCCTCAAAGCATAGAGATCGTACCCTCAAAGACGCCAAAGAATTCTTAGAACGCATACCACGCAGATGTGCCAGTAATCGCGTTTTGTTTTCTCATTTTCTTTTGGAGGACGGAAGTGGGTTTATTGGGATCTACTAGGGCTTACCGATGTCGGGCACGCCTTCTTGTGGAGGTCGCTGGCGCATCTCGAAGGCTTGCTCGATTCCAGCCGCCTTGTTCATTACGCTGCTGAGAGTGGCTGGAGGTCGATGGAACTTTTTGCGATTCTTGCTTTTAGAAGACCGTCGTAGGGTCGTAGTAGTTGTACAGCTCCCGCTCGGTACAGGACAGTCCCAGGCGTTCCAGGTACCGCGATATCGCTGCTAAAGGCTTGACAATCCCACGCGCAATACCTTTCTTCTTCTTCTTCTCCTTCTTTTTAACGGACGCGTGAATTTTTGTTTGTTAAGCTTTGAATCGCGTTCTTTTGAGTGCTATTTAATAACGAAAACGATGATTTCTTTCAAAAGAACCGCAGATAAGACGCACAATGGCCGTCGCGCAGTGAAATCCGTGAAATCATATAAGAAGCATAGAAGCCATATTAGATAGAAGCTAGCCGCTGCACTTTTAAACTTCATTTAAAATAATGTAAATATTTTCACAGCTCTAAAATATTTTTATGACAACTTTAAGCACTAAAAAGGAAATATTTAGTAGGATAGGAAGCTTGCGCCACTGCCGTACAAACAACATTCATAAAGTAATAACAGGTCTATGCGTATCAACGACTCTTACTTATTTCTGCCCGTAGAGAGTTGTGAATTGATATAATGATCTGGTAGAAAGAAGAAAAGAACGCCTCGCTTGCTGGCTTGCTTGCTGATGGGTGATGGCTGCTACCAACTGATGCTGTTGTGAGGATTTGGCGTCGGTTGCGCTGCGTTGCTCTGTCGCCATGTGGTCAGCCCGCACAGACGCGTAGAAATTTCGGCATTGTTCGCTTCTGGCTGTTCCCATCCATGGACGGGGGCTGCACTGGTTCTTGTGAACTCCCGTTCTCGACTGAAACGGCCGAATGGTTCCGTTCTGGCTACAAATGCATCTTGCTAGGTCTTGCTAGGTCTTGAAGCTTGGTGCGACGTCGGGCTTCGAGACAGCACACTTCCGTGGAGTCGACTGATAGGTAAGCCAGCTTCGGATTCGATATAACTTAACGTTTTGTCATACTCAATGGAATAATAAGGAAACGGTGTCCTGGCGTGTCGAAAATCCTCGCTACGTTTGCTGTCTGCGAGCTTTTCTTCAGCAAGTTGCTTCATCTTTGGAGAGCTCGCACCAACTTGCAAAAATACATCTCAGTTCAATGGATAGGTTTCTTTTTCTCCCGTGGTTTACTGCTGAGGAGACCGAGAAAGCAACGTCATTATCCTAATAGTATGTGTCTATAATCTAAGATAGTCTCCTTTTTTGGCAGAAGACGTCTTGCCTGGGCAAACATGGTGATATGTCTATCTTCTGATTTCAGAAAGTGAACAGTCTCCAACCAGGCAAACAAAGAAAGAAAAGCTTGATCTCAAGATGGCAGTTCACTCGGCACCTCCCAAGAGGAAAGAAATCTACAAGTATGAAGCTCCTTGGACGGTGTACAGCATGAACTGGAGTGTGAGGCCGGACAGGAGGTTCCGTCTTGCCCTGGGCAGCTTCATCGAGGAATACAACAATAAGGTGAGTCCACCGGGAGTGACTAGCACCTCACATGGATGAGCAAATGGAACCTTAGTGGCACCCCCTACTACCGCTCCTACACTATAGGACGAAAATGGTGGGGAGAGCTCTCAGCTGTCCTCCTCCAACGTGCGCTCCTCGTGTGCCTCGGCCTCGAGGAGCTGATGTATGGCGGTGCAGCCGATGTACGGCGAAATACCACAAGCGCTTACTGGGGACCAAGTGTTCTGAAGAAATGACTTCTCAGTCATCTCAGCTTGTCAGTGACTATAGTAAAATAATATTGGTGGTTAACCCTCTCAGTTCTTGCAAATGGACGTCTGTAGACACCAGAAACCATCGTCCAACTTCAAAACTTGAAAAAAAGAAAACTGTTCAACCAGGACGCGGTGATTCATTGTGCCACAGTATGAAAAAAAGAAAACTGTTCAACCAGGACGCAATGATTCATTATGCCACCGTAGTTTCAGAACCAAACGTGCCTTGTAGTTACTTGTGTGTATTGGCTTCTGTGATTATGTTTAGCTTGACTACTGTATGGAAATGGATGCTCAGTGGCAAGGGGTGCACAAATTCAGAATGTTGGTGTGCACTGGTACACTATGCAACTGTGTTATTGTGAATACAACCTTGAGGCTTTTTTTTTATTTTGCTTTGAAGGGGGCAGGCAAGGCACCAGATTCTACCACATACCATAGCATGCTGGGCAAGCACCCACTCAAAATTGGAGATAATTGCAAAAAAAGGGGAGGATAAGTGCTTATGCAGTCATCAGTTTTACATATAAATGTACTGTGCATAGTTTCTCAGCTTTTACGAATTTTGGAATAGGTGCTTAGTGTGGAAGGGGAGGGATGCACAGTAATCTACAATAGGTTTGTGGCCCAAATCAGCACTTTTTGCCACACTACCTAGTGGTTTCGGCGACAGCGTTTCGATTCTGAGGAAAAAGCAGGAAAAACTGGTGGTCGCTTGTTCACGCTAACAGTGTCACCCAGCATGGACACCATCCCTGAGCTAGGTTTGCTCTTTTTGCTTACTGTCATTGGGGGGCTGGGGAATAAAAGTGGATTCCTCGCAGGTGCAACTGGTGTCTCTGGACGAGGACACGTCGGAGTTTTGCGCCAAGAGCACCTTCGACCACCCATACCCCACCACGAAGATCATGTGGATCCCGGACACCAAGGGCGTGTTTCCGGACCTCCTGGCCACGAGCGGGGACTACCTGAGGGTGTGGCGGGCGGCCGACGACACGCGGCTCGAATGCCTGCTGAACAACAACAAGAACTCGGACTTCTGCGCCCCTCTCACGTCCTTCGACTGGAATGAAGTCGACCCCAATCTTCTCGGCACCTCCAGCATCGACACAACCTGCACCATCTGGGGTCTCGAGGTGGGTCTTGTCCGCCCTTCAGCGCTTGCCAGCCACCCCTTCGAGCTTTGAGAGCATGCTCACAAGGTGGAGCGAGCCATTACCTGATTCGAAAGGTTGAGGCCTCATCTGACCTTCTCCTTCATTTATTGCCGTGGCTAGTTCCTATACCTGAACCCAGGAAACTGATGCATGGACCTGGATGTTCTGTTTAGGTGTAGATGAAGGAAAAAGGCTAAAAGGAAAAAGGCTAAGTGGTCGCCGACCGGATGAGAATGGGAGGGAGGTCATTCAATTGTCCTGTATCCAGCACGAGCCTCCTAGGTTCGAGCATGCCGTAAAATGACAAAAAGCAACGGGGGTGTTCTGGAGGCAAGGCATCTGAAAGGTACGCCTCACCGTTTTCGTCCCATAAGTGACTATTGCTTGTTTAACTTGTTCTACTGAAAAGCGATGTGTTTGCCAGTCTCCTGCTCGTAAAACGGGCGACCGATGTGCTTCTTAGTCGTCCTCTCTCGAAGCAGACGACTCTAGTATGGCGTCAGCGACCTTGAAATGGCCCCACTTCAAGAAAATCGACCAGTTGACGTGCGTCGGCAGTTGTCTGGCAACATTTAAAACAGGTGCCAAATGTTGTCCTCTGCATGTTTTAGAAATAACGCTGCTTCTCAAACTACAGACGGAAGTATTCGATGCCGTGTTTTCTGTGGCTGCCCCTAGAGGTCAGCCACATGCCGTTATCCACAGATGGGACGCAGCATTGCTCGCCCAGTTCCTTTATTGTCTCTTGTCGTACAAGTTTGCCGCTTCTACCGACACACTTCATCGCGACACTTCTGTTGACACACTCCACCATTCCGAAAAGAAACAAATTTCTCGACGGGGAAACTCTTCGTCTCGTTGCAGACGGGCCAGGTTGTGGGCAGGACAGGACCGCACCCGCAGGGGTCCTCTCACGCGAGCTCCGGCGTCGGCCCCGCAGTGTCGGGCCACGTCAAGACGCAGCTCATTGCGCACGACAAGGAGGTGTACGACATTGCATTCTCTCGGGCGGGGGGCGGCCGGGACATGTTTGCCAGCGTCGGGGCGGACGGGTCAGTGCGCATGTTTGACCTGCGCCACCTGGAGCACTCGACCATCATCTACGAGGACCCCCAGCACCACCCGCTGCTCCGCCTGGCCTGGAACAAGCAGGACCCGAATTACCTGGCCACTTTTGCCATGGACGCCTGCGAGGTGAGCGTGCCATGTCTTCCCTGCGTCTTTCGGAAAGGGTCGCCGCAACAAAAGTCCACTTCGGATTGCAGTTTTCCGTAAGGGGTGTTATAGCGGTGGGTCTTACCGGACAAAGTGTTCTCGGCGAGACGCAACGGGACAAGGCCGAGCTTGTCTCCCCACTGGTGCTGTGGCATTCTACTCTGTTCCCCGGCATTTCTGGGCCATCCGTTTCCTTTTCCGAGTGCCTTTATACTCTGCAGTTATTTAAAGTTTTCAGCACAAAATGTGTTTTAGGGCTGGGTTTCACGAAATGAAATGGTTGCCTTATGAGAGATGGTGTCCATGGACGGGAATCAAACCACTGACCTCGCGCTCACTAGTCACACCCCACCCCTGAGCTGGTGGAGCGGCTTCATTTAGTGTGGTTATGTTCAGCATGTGTGTAGCTGTGTTGCCAAGAAAACTTTTGTCACCTCAGTGGTGGGGGAGCTCGAAACAAGCTATACATCCAGTGACTCCCGCCTCTATCCGTAGGACCAGGATGCATTTATTTATTAACTTTGCAGCTGTGTTTCTGACCATTGTGACTGCAATAGACGCGTTGCAAAGCACACAACACCCTCTTCGATGCCAAAGGGACTTCTGGGAACTAGCAGTAGCAGACTACACAGGCAATGTGGGCAATGGCAAGTGCGCAGTTGCACTCTGCTCGCTCCTTTCGGTGTCGCGTGGCAGGTACTGCAGTAAAAGGGAGGAGCATTTAGGGCGTTCCCTCGGTTAATTTGCTCGCTTTGCGCTCGGTCTCGGGAAATTTTTTGGGCATGTTTTGTCGGTCGCCTGTGGTGATGTCAAGTCGCGGTGTCCCTCCCTATTCCCAGGTGATCATTTTGGACGTGCGCGTTCCTTGTACCCCGGTGGCCCGGCTCAACAACCACAGGGCGTGCGTCAATGGCATCGCTTGGGCGCCTCACTCATCCTGCCACATCTGCACCGCTGGTACGTCGCCGCTGCAAGTCGCTTTGACGGGTCCTCGGATTTTCAAAATTGATGGTTGGAACCAAGATGTAGCTCGGTGGAGTCAAGCATTGATTCCGGAAATCGCAACAAGCGGGTCACTGTGTAGCTACTGGCCGACTTCTCTCCGTATACACATGGGCATGACTGGCCGATCGAAGTTGACCCATTTGTGGAGTCGGCAGAGAAGTGGGGTGGTGAAGCAAATGGAGCATTCTTGTCCTGAAGGCTTGTATGCAGGTACTTAAAGGGCTGCTGAACCGAAATTCGGACATCACAGATCGAGTCTGGAGCGATAGACGGGACGCCGCACGACCCAAAAACATCACTCGTACGGATGACCATATTTTCTAAAAACAAATGCCCGATTGAACACTGTCGATGAGACCGACTAGACATGTGACGTCGCGATTCTTACTCACTCTCCTTTTCGCTTTGTTCCGTCAAGCAGGTGAACAGTAGCTGGGAGGAGAGGAGCAGGGATCCTTCCCCGCATTCTCAACTGTTCAAAGAGAATCCTGACGTCACATTCCTCACTTGATCGCGCCCTTCTTTTCCAAAAATACGGCCATTCATTTGAGATCTCGATGTATGAATTGTGTTTTGGAGTTTGTAGCGTCAGATTCAACGCTTCTGCAGCCTTATTTTGCGAAATTCAAATTTCGGCTCTGCATTCCTTTAAAACATTTTAAGTTTTTTGGGGGTTTTCTGATATACCGAATGTTTTAGCAAAGGCTTTCGAAAAGCCCTAAAAAATGGGCAGTTTAGAAGAAAAGTAACTCTTTCCGGCAACAAACTACCAGTTACGGCGAATGTAAGATATTAAGAAACGGTACTAATTAGCTGAGTAATTAACATATTTACTAATTAACATTTTAATTAGTGAAAATAAACTTGCACTTTCATCAATAAACTCGTTAAGCATCATTGAAAACCACTAAACCAACTTGTTTTAGAAAGGTATAATGGCAGGGGCAGCATTTTGCGGTTTTCCGGAAAACATTCAATTTATAGACGTGTTTTTAGGTTTTGGTTTCTTATCAGAGCACATCTTTTGGACCAGCGGCCCTGCTCCCCGTTGACTGATGTACGAAGCTGTGGCCTCGCCATTCTCGTAGAATGGGGGAAGTACGGCGCGCATCTGTGGCGTGTCCCGGCCACTGGACCGCTGGCACAAAGTCGTGCTCCGATAGAAAACCGAATCTTAGAAACGCGTCCAAATTGAGTGCATTTTGGAACGCCGTGAAGTGTTGCTTCTGCCTTTATATCTTTCTGAAATGAGTTGGTTTAGTGGTTTTTGGTGGCACTTAGCAAGCTTCTCATTAGAACCATATGTCTATTTTCACAAATTGAAATGTTCTAGAGTAAATTTTTGTTAATTATTTAGCTATTGGCTTTTAGATTTTTTTAAAGCCTTTACTGAAATACCTTGTATAAACGTATGGCTTTTTTTTTAACCTTGTGTGTAGCTAGTCGTTAACTTCTAGTATTATCGTCTACCCCGTTTTGGATCTTGTTTGTTTGTTTACTTCCAGCGGACGACCACCAGGCCCTGATCTGGGACATCCAGCAGATGCCACGTGCCATTGAGGACCCGATCCTGGCCTACACGGCCGAGGGGGAGATCAACCAGATCCAGTGGGCCTCGACTCAGCCAGACTGGATAGCCATCTGCTACAACAGCTGCCTGGAGATTTTGCGCGTGTGACGGGGCTGGCCGGGCACTCTGCCCTCTGCTCGGCATCAGGCCTCGTAGGGCAACACAACGCCAACTAAGTCGGCAAACCATGTGTCACCCGTCAACTAAGTCGGCTAAGCACCTGTCACCTGTCAACTACCGAAGTTGACAAACCATGTGTCACTCGTGAACTAAGCGACAAACTGTGTCTCGCCCGTCAACCATGTTGGCAAACCAAGTGACACCCATCAACTAAGTTGGTAAACCATCTCTACCCTGCCAACTATGTCGGCCAACAATGTGTCAGCCATCAGTCAACTCAGCAAACCTTATGTATCCTGTCGGCTTAATCTGCAAAGAATGTGTTACCCATCAACTAAGTTGGCAAGACATGTATTTCGATGATTGCACATCAATCTGTTGCCTTTGTCAATTAAGTCTGCAAACCATTCATCACCCGTCAACTATGTCGGCAAGCATGTTGTCACATTTCAACTATGTCGGTAAACAATGTGTCATTCGTCAGCTAAGTCGGCAAACCATGCGTCACCTGTCGACTACCTCAGCAAACCATGTGTCACCTGTCGACTTGCTCGGCAAACCATTTGTTGTCCATGAACTATGTCGGCAGACTATGCATCGCCTGTCAACGAAGTCGGCAAACCATCTGTCCCGAAGGTAGCACGTGAACCTGTTACCTTCGGTCATCAGACTCTTCTCATCAGATTGCTTGGCACACCATATGAAACACACTGCTTTATTTTCTGTGGTCGCAAGCCACTACCCATTGGCTAGAACTTGTCGCGTCCATTGAACTCTGTGCGCAGAATTTGTGGCGCTGGCTCGCACAAACAACTGCCCAGATCGTGCGTCGTCATTCGCCAAGACGAGTGGAGCTCGTGCAGTACCTCCGCTCGCTTTAAATCCATCTTCGGCTTGTTGGTTTTGAGAAGTTTCTGAAGCAATTTTGTGTCGTGCTCGTACGTGAAGTGCTGCTACTTTCGGGAGTAATTCACAATGTGAGCCGCATTATACGCTTCTTATCGGTCGACATAGAAAGTTCATGAAAGTTTGTTGTCTGCTTGCAGGGACTTTTCTGAAACAAGCAGACGACATTCCCGTGGCATCCCTATGTTTGAAGGGATATTTTGGCTTTGTTGCCACATACGTCTTCATAGACATTGGTGTTTGTCTTTGTCATCATGTGGGACGGGTAAAGCGGTCACGTCTTTCAGGATATCGTAATCATCACAGAACAAAGCTTTTAGGCCATTGCATTGTTTCATTGAGTAGAGGCAGTTTTCATTAATTCAATGGGCACCGCCGCTACTTGGTGGCGGTGCCTATTCATTCAGTAGCAGTAGCACACTTCAGTGCAGAGAAAGACAGTTCCGAGTCTCAATGCTACGGTGCCAAGATATGCGGCATGCCTTGCCGCGCGATGAACATGTATGATAGCAAAGTCTGAACTGAGTGTTCTGCTCACACCTTTGAGATCGCATTCATTTGAAGCCCCGGTCTGTATTTATCTATCGGCGTAATGCGTGTTTTAATGCTGATATGCCTGTGACATAAAAATGATTTGGTGCATGAAGCAAAGCTGTCATTTCTTTTGTGTAACAATGATAATTTTATTTGCACGTAGAAGGGCGCAGATAGTGGGGTGTGTGTGTGTTTGGGGGAGGGGGTAGGGTTGATTATGAGGATGCCCGTGAAGACCCATACACCCTAAACAGCTCATTTGAGTCTTCTGTCGGTTGGCGGCTTCACGAACCATGGTCCCATGGCACCCGTGGTTACAAAAGGCATGACCAGTGTTAGGATGGGAGGCACTTACTTGATCGAATGACGTTTTAGCGAACGCCCACGTTTCATCGAACGACACTTTAGCGAATAGTCAGACACCGCGAAGCGGCGTTTTCGGGTGGGCCAAGTGAGTTCATATTTTTGTAATGAGTTGCCGTAGACTGTCGCCGCGAAGCGGCATAAAGCGCAGCGCGATAGATGGGTTAACGCGCGCCCCCGTTATTCGCTAAAACGACCATTCGCTCAAATGTCGCCTTTCGCTTAAATGTCATTCGCTCTTCTGATATGGACCCTGTTAGGATGTTGCAAACTTTTATCAAACAGGATTTTCAGGTCAGAGTTTTGGGGTTTAACTGGTTCGATGAACCTTCGACCTTTTAAACAAATTCGACCAATTAAACTTTGTAGACAGTGTGGCCCGACCTTGATACACTTGTTGATACAAGCATGTGTAGGTGTGGGGAAAAAAAATATTTTATGAACAGTTGCAATAAAATGAAACAAATTCTAATCACTGAAAAATTTAATTTTTTTGTACTGTATTAACTGAAATAACCAATCAGTGCTGCCCTTAACCATCCCTATCCAATCCGAAACCAACTGGCCAGCCTGTCGCGCATGCGCATAGTAGTCGAACCTGAGTCGAACTTTCCACAAAAGGCCGAACCTGGTCGAACTCACCCCTCGACCGTTTCGCGCACTGGTTTCGCGACATCCCAAACCAGATTCATCTAGCGGCAACAGAGTCGGTGCAACAAACGCTCGGTAAACAGAAAGGGTTCTAGGAGTAACCTGTGGTCACGTGGTTAAGTAAATGCTGAAATAATTAGAATCGAACGCACCCACAACAAGATCAATGTGAGTAGCATAATTAGGAATCCCGATGTATTAAACTGGTTAATAAGTCCGTCTCGCTGTTTTCCTCGGACTAAAATAATAATAAAAAAACATGCGATAGTTTTTTTGTATGTTTTCAAATTTACTAAAAATGAAGCTTGTTTTGTTTTGATTTAAAATTAAAAGCTAGAATTACTGGAATGCAGTGCCAATTTTGAGTGGTAGCAAAAAAAAACAATCAGGCGGTCAAGCCATGTTTTATCTTTTATATGTGTATATTTATTTATAAAAAAAACATCCACCACTCTGGGAGAGGAGGTCGTAGTCCACTGTAGTCCACCCAGCAACCAGCTGTAGCCACTGGGCTACGGCCTTTTCAACCCCAAACATTTTAACTCATTAATCAATCATTAGTGGCCGAGAGGAAATTGGTTCTTAAACCTTTAGAGTTCGCCATGGGAGTCATCCGAAATTTCGCCAATTTACCCGATCCATTTCATCAGCCCCAGGACGTCCTTGAAGAGTGAGTGTCATTCGCGCGCCAGCCATATCGGCCACTTCCCCGCATTCTTCTCCATACTTGCAATAATTTCGCACTGCGAAACGTTGAAATGAATCACGAAACATCCGACGAAGCATCTCGGTGCAAGCTTCGTAACTCGACTCCGTTATGCATTAGTTCTGGTTCCGATTCTGCAACAGCGCTTCCCCCCAAGGCGCATCTTGAAATGGAAGGGATAGCGCTGAGATAAGGTCCGTGAAGGTTGCAGAAACTAAAAGCTCGAGAACCATATACCTTACCTGTCCGACACCGATTTAGCGACCAAAACGAACAGGAGTCTTGTACAAGAGTACGTTATCGGACTTACTTGGTCCGCGCCACTGGGGAAGTCGTGATATTTCGACTCACGGATGAACATGCAGTCCGTCCTTTAATTTTATGTTATCTCCCCAAAAATGCGCTCATCCCGAGATTGACATTTAGTCGCGCGCCTTAAACTTTTCCATCTCGCAAACTCTTCCTTTCCTAGCGCGCGACAAATGAACCGTATCTAAACACGGCTCTCTATGTTTCTTTAAAAATGGTGCGTTGCGCGACTACGCGAAAACGCAGGCTGCTCGGTCAAGGAGACGAAAGGGACCTCGAACAGCCCCCGGCGCAGCCAGCGCAGGGGCAGCAGCAGCAGCGGCGTCAGCGTCGTTCGAGGTCGCAGCCGCAGCACAACGACTGCTGCATCGAGCTGGTCGGACTCAGCGCCAGGGGAAAGCGCAAGTCGGGCAAGAAGGGCAGGAGGCTCGAGAACGGTACTGCTGCTACGAACACTTGACCCCGGTGTAGTCTTTGAACTCCGACGGCGACGGAATTGTGGAAAATGGAATATTGAAAAGGACAGAGGCATACACTTAAACAGAGTGCGACACGCGCACGAGACGATTAAAGAAAAGAAATTGAAAGATAACTCGTAAACGTAGACTCGAGGATAAAAAGAGGGCAAGGACAGAACGGGGGTAGTATGGGCGCAACCGCCGGCAACGAAATTTGTTGAAGGAAAAGAAAAGAAAAACTGATATATGCAGACACCATGCAGCTGCTGCCATGTAAGTAGTTTTTATTTATTGAATATATTTTCGTGAAAGTATTTAACAGGGAGAGATGGGCACATGATGTCTGTCGTCGTGTCTGTTTGAGCTTTTGCTTCTTGCATTTTATTTGTGACTTATAAATCGAGAGAGAAGCGCTTTGGGCTCACTTCCTTACGTCCTTGTCCTCTTTTGCCAGTTGTGAGATATGCTTAGGAAATCCTGCCAGTTTTCTAATCGTTTCGCCACATCCGAAGATGAGTTTGTCTTCCAATTCTTAAAGGGCTAGTCTGGTCGAAAACGAAACCAGAATAAATGACTGGCATCGGTTTAGTGGCACAAAATATGATCGCAGCCGAAATATTACATCAAAGCGAAGCTGCAGCACCACCGTGACGTCACGTCCCGGCCGTACAGCAGATGATGATGTGTGTTGTCATTCCTCTCAATCAGAGTTTTGGTTTTGCGGTAGGTGCCTGAAACCAAACTTTGAGCTGCAATATTTATAAAACTACACACAATATATATATATATATATATATATATATAAAAAATCATCCTTTGTAATTTAAGGACACTGACCGAGCTGAAAACAGTTGCAATTCCAAACCCTCAAAAATACTGACCAGGGTTTCCCCTTTGAATTGCCTGGGGTATAATTGCCGATGTTGGTCCTGTGTCGTACCGATATATTTCACTGGCTAATTTCGTAGCCAAATCGAGCCGCCTTTGATTCCAATAAAGGCTGAAAAAAGTGGAATATTAGGACATATACCATCTCTTGCATTGGACTCTATTGGCTGAAAAAATTAATGTTATTGTGCAGGAATCCTTTAAGAAAGACATACTATAGGCTGGGGACGATTCTGGACACTCCTTCCAGATAGAACCGCTCTGGAGTAAAGAGCATATATGTTTGTTTGATTTACTTATATCCTGTGCATCAACTTGCAATTGGTACATACTGCTTCATTCAATTTACGAGCACATGCCTACCTTAAGTATACCGCTCTGAACTTTCGTGCACCAGTTTCTACTCGTGGAGGTAAATCAATATTTTACAGGCAGTGCCTTGCCAAGAGAAGGCCAAATGCACATTCCATAGAAGCATGTGCGGTCGGCCAATAATGTTGATGCCTTCATGAAAGCTAAAAGGTTTTCGCCACATATACACCCATATTTCGGCACGTCAAAAGGTCCCCAGGTGGTCGAAATCAATCCCCAGTCCTCCACTGGGGCGTGCCAGATGTCATTAGTTGGTTTGGCCCATACTCCCTCCAAATTTCACTTTTTTTTTAAATTGCGACATTCGGCCATTAATTATGTCACTCGCAGACAGGGAGTGTCCAATGGGTCCCTACGTCCATGGTACGTGCTTTCAGCAACGAGGACAAAAAATTGTTTATGGGTGTTTGCAGCAAACTACCTGCAGAGTCTGGCAGACGATGACGAAGTCGGCCAGCTCTCGATTTACGACTTCGTCCGGGACTCCGTGTCGGCTTTCTCCTGGCTTATGGCTGATCCGCAGAACCGAAAGGTGCGGCTTTGGCTCTTCTGGGAAAGCTCATGCGAACAAAAGGTGTCGCACTGTCCGACGTGCAGATCTGGGACGACCTCCTCGACTGCACTGGTGAACCGGACGAGGAACCAGAAGCGAGCGAGAGACTGCACCCGGTTGCACACGAAGACCTGACGAAGGCGACGGCGGATGCCTGCTTCCAGAGACTGGACACAGCACTGAGAAGCCTTCTTTGCAGACAGCATGTGCCTCTGGTAATTCAGTTGCTATGCTCCTTTATGGCTTTGGAATGACAGGAAAGGTAGTCGGTTGACCTGCCCCAAGGGTGCTTTGAGAATGTTCTGGTGTCACATGCCGTCTGGAGGTAGGAGATCATAACAGCCTCCAGTTCGTGTCTGATCAATCACTCTCAGTGGTGTTAGATTACTTCTCAAAAAGTGAAGGAAAAAGAAAGTTCCCTTGGGTTCATGCGATTCGCTCCATGCAGAAAAATGGTTGCGCTGCTGCTCTTGTACCCTTCAGCTGCTTAGCTTTTCGGTCACTTGCTGCGACATTACCGTAGGACGTGAATGAGGTTTTTGTTGGTGGTGACATGCATACCGATTGTTGAGCGTAAATAATGGACAGAATTCCAATATGAGCCCCAGCTTTCAAGCTACACAATTTTAGCGTCATGACGCAGCTCTCGTGCATTTTTTAAGCAATGCCGAGCGCAACTGATGTGGCACAATCTCGTTTTACCAAGCAGACTACGGGGCGACTGACCCCGTAGCGGCCGCTGAAAGTCAGGCCTATGAGGATACTTGCTTGCATCACAAATTTGCAGCATGTATACCTCTGAAATTCCTCCACAACGTCCCGGATGCAAGTGCGCTGCAACAGATGATGATGTTGAGAAGCTTTAAGGTGTACCGGTTTCTCGTAGTGCTACTTGTTCGCAGACGAACTTCAGCACTGCTTTTGGTGTTGACTCTGGGCCTTTTAACACAAGCATGGTCTATGGTGCGCTTACGAGGTCATTGGCGACTACTTCTGCGTGTTGCTCGTTTGGATCCATACAGGGCACCTTGTGCGTCCTGGAGGAACGGCTGGCCGAGAGCTTCCTGAAGGAGCCCCGCTCGGAGCAGTGCTACTGCCTGGCCAGCAGCTTTGACAGGCTCCTGCTGCACGCCCTCTGCCAGTACATGAGCCTGCTGGCTAGGAGTGAGTGCACCAGACTCGACGCTATATAGCCTTAGAACAACGCCGTGGCTTACCATCTTTGCGTTAGGGATTCAAAATGGATAGGGTTCGTCGCTTTCTCGTTACATATGTATTACTCAATTCAGGGAAGCAAAAAAATTCAGCTTCATTTTTCAAATATAATTTTGGGAGCGATTGGACCTTTTCTGGGGAGTTTCGGGGATCCAAAACATTCCACTTAAACAAAGACAATGAGGCCCTCTCAAGTAAATGAGAGGGCAGCAAGACGTGGCATAAAGTTCCACACGTATAGAACGCTTTGCGACTCCCCATTTGGAGGGCGAGATGGAACCTAACGTTCGCTCGTATCAACAGGCTACGACTCCGACGGCGAGCGCTGGACGCGCGTGCGCAACCTCCGGCCCAAATTTGACCTCCCGGCGGAAGCGCTGTCCACCTACCTGGAGAGACGCCGGTGCTCCTGAAGAAGCCTGCGGCCCTTTCTGCAACCCGCGTGGCGGCGTCACTTGCTCCCGCTTCGAGACGAGCTCACCCACCTGCACCCAGTGCTGCGTCGGTACAGTGCCCGGGACGCCAGCGCGCTTACCGCGTCCTAAAAAGTGGTTTCTCGATTTTTGCCCGGCGACGTCGTAGAGGGGTCACGTTGTTGCCTGCTGCGATCCTGGGGGCGTTGCAGCAACGACGGAGGGTGTGGTAGATGGCCTTTCTGCTGCAGGTTGCTCTTCAGCTAGACAGTTCACGGAAGCTTTGGCAGTCGGTGGTGGGGACGCCGAAAGCGTGAGGCTCGTTTTTGCTCGAACTTTTTTCCGGGACTTCTGGCGCCAACCGCCAAGATCGCTACATCGGACGGCATGATGACCCGGCTTTTGTGACGTCGTTCGTTGAAACTTCGCGGAACCACTTTTGATGTGTGGGCGGGATAGGACACTAAAATAGGAGACACGTTCCAGGCACCATTCGTCAACAATGTGCGCCGTTCCCGACACACTGTGGCCGGACCGAGGTTCGGGCCAAGACTGCCAAGGGCGGTGCAATTTCGAGAAGGCGGGACGGTGTCCAAACGCACGCGCACTCGTCGTAGTTTTACTTTACGGTGTGAACTTGTCCCTGGAGTCTTCATACATTACAAATGCTTTTGATAAAGTGTGGTTGGTGGCACCTGCACCTCGTTTGCATTACTGCTCGATTGATAGAATCTAGAAACGCTAGATACAGCGACGGTGCTTGGGGTGCGTCGGCGTCCTTGCCGGAGGCAGTGACGATGCTTGCCAAGCTAAAACAAACAAACTTCGGGGCAACACAATATGGAGCCTCATCTTATCCAGAAGCAGTCGTGATGTGTCAACATGAGATGGCAGAGGCAAGACATTATTTCCCTGCTGGATGGATGGTAATGGCTGTACATTTTATAACAGGTGGTAGCTTGCACCACCTAGAGTCGCTAAATAAGCACCACCTACCCTAGGAACTAAAAAAAGGACCTAAAATCTAATTCCTCCCCTCGCCCTTCTGGGCCAAATTGCTTCCCCTCTGCATTTTTGTAACTTTTACCAGGCAGTGTGGGATATCGCCAGCATGACCTTTGTGGGATTGGGCAAAAAAAACATCACCCCCAGTGAGAGTTTCCAATTTTCTTCTGAATGGATGTAAATGGCTATACCCTTTGTAACGGGCTGTAGCTTGCACCACCTAGCCCAAGTCTAAACAGACAAACATATGATTCCTTCCACCCTTCTAAGCCAATTTTCTCCCGATAACTATCACCAGACAGTGTGGGACATCACCAAAACAACCTAAAGAATAATAAAAAATATATGTATTTTTTGCTTTTTAGCCCCGGTGAGGGAGCCGCCAATTTTCCTCTGATCAAACCTTGTCGGTGTTACCCCAATACCGCACCCACTGGGGGACAGGGTTGAGACTTGGGGCTGGAGCCAGGCGGGAGATTCCCAATTTTCCTGTCCTGCCTGTCCTCCACTGTGCTAGCTAGTTGTGCATCATTGTTCCCTATATAATTTCCACCAATCTTCTAATCGCCTCTTTGTGACTGTAATCCTTTTTCTCTTCAGTCTTATCGTTGCCAGCAACAGCCAGGCCTCCTGCCAAATCTGTTACCCCTTCAGGGAGGGCAGGGCAAAGCCCGGTACACTTCAAAACCAAGGTTTCAAGTGTCTCACTCTCATTATGGCAGGCAGCACGTAATGTGTCCGTCCCCTGAAATTTAGCCCTGTACGCTCTCGTCCTTAAAACTCCCGTTCTTGCCTCAAACAGTAAAGAACTTCCCAGTGAATTGTCGAACACATTTTCTTTTCTTATGACTTGTTTCTATGTCCTGTACATTTTTAAACCAATTTTTCCTGCATTCTGACCTCCCATTTTTCTTTCTGCCTCTTTCTCGCCCTTTTCCATTGAAGTAGTCTGCTCAGCCCGATCACTAGTGTGTTGATATTTAAATGCATGCGTTTGGTTTGTCCATTTTGTGTTTAAACTTTTTATGTATAAATACTTAAATGCCTCCCTGCCCACTGCATACCATCCATTTCGGTCAACCCTTGTTCAGATTTCAACTTGCCAATTGCCTCCCTGCTCTCAAAAGATGACCAGCCCATGTCCCCCCGTTTTCCCTCATATGGTGTCTTTCCATGTGCTCCCAGTGCCGATCTGCCTACGCTTTGTCAAATTTCTAATCCTGGTTGAACCTCCGATTTTATGCACAGTACCCCATTACCAAAAGAGAGTCCTGGTACCATCACTCGGTTACTTGTACCTCTGACTACTTCATATCTATTATAATTCCATAGTGCCTGGAGCTTGATAATAGATGGATTTCTTGTCCCTTTTCGTATATTCTCCTCGTCTTCTAGATATTTCCTTCCCTCATTGAGCCTCTGTCAGACACCCATCCATGGTTGCTAGACTGTCGGCATGTTGGAAAGGCTGCCAAACTCGCCCAGTATAAAAGATTCTGGTCCGTGTTTCGTAAGCATGCCATCTGGAAGGTCTCCGAAAAGTCGTAGACACCAAAGTGTGCTAACAGACCCCTTGCAGCTCGTGTAGGGCCGCACTATATATCCCTTGCAGACCGAATCAAACAACATTGGTGGTTGCCATTTCTCAGGTGCAAGGCACGCAATGGGATCGATGTCAATGCCGAACGGCGACCGAACACTCGTGTTCAATGCTTGCTCGGGGTGTGGGCCCAAAGTATGGCGGCCTCGGATAAACGACGCAGCAGCCACTAGATGGAGCCAACTTTTGAAAGAAAGCGTCTAGCGACGACTGCGGTGAAACTGCCTTCCCAACATTCTTTCGCAGGTTCACAATTCGACCGCATAAATTTGATTGTGGCCAAGAGTCGATAGATGTAGTCATTTTTACATGTATGCGCCATGGTATACCTTATTGCTGCAGTCAAAGCTGTACACAAAAGCACGAAGACGCGCGACTCTACTCACAAACAAAGCGAGAGCTGCGGGGGTATCTTGTTCAAATGGCTGACCTCCAGCAAGCGCTCGTTGCCTGCTGACACGCTTTTGCTGTGCGTGCGTGCTCGGAGCTACGAGACTCCAATATGCGATGGAAGGTAGGAAGCTTGCGCTCAAAGTGGGACAACCGATTCCTGCCGTTCTCATACTGTCGGCGACCATAGCAGACGACGAGACACAGTGTGAACAAACAAAAAAGAAGGCTTTTTATTTTTAGTGGGGATAATAGGGTAAACCAACCAAAAAAAATCGATTTTGCAGTTTCAGTTCAAAGCCAGTAACATATAGAACATATGTTCCAAATTAAATGAGCATCCTATTTTTTTTAATGCGAAAGCATTAACTGTCCCACGGAGCAAGCCGACGTCATTAAAACTGATGCGCCGCAGCCAATGGAAGCCTCGTCGACACGCGCCAGCCAATGGTATTGAAGCCGAAAATCCATCAGCTTTACTCCGCTCCTTTGGGATCGGGGAAACTAGGTGCCGTTGTCTAGGCTTTTCGCATAGCTGGGAGCTGGCTTCACTTGGAGAAAGGATTTAAGGTGCCATTTGGCGCATTTTCGAAGCTGATGGCGTCGGCTCGCTCCATGAGACAGTTATGCTTTCTCGTTAAAAAATAAAAAACCAAAATTACTCGTTTACCCTACCAACCCCCCCTTAAGCCCCGTCCCAGGCAGGCAAAGAAGGCCCATGGCGGCCATTAGAAAAAGGCAGGACGATTGAGGGGCACAGCCCCGAGCGCGCGGGATCGGGTCCCGCGCCGGAAGCGGTGTTAGTGACAACGTGGAATGCTCGACGCGACTAGGAGGAGAAATAAAAACAACAACAACAAAAATGCGGCCTGGAATGCAGAGCTGGAGGAATGGTGCGTCGCGTGGGGGTGCCTATTGGGCACCGGGAATGTAGTCTCTGGCCATGAGGCAGGCAAACACTGTCATCACCATCTTGGGCTTTCCCTCCGCGATGTCTTCGGGAAGTGCGTAGATGCGTGCGCCCAGTTTGCGGGCCATCGAGATGGCGTACTTGGCATTGGCCAGTCGCTCCTCCTGCGAAAGAACGCAGCGAGAACATGCGCGGTGAGGACACCCCTCGAGAATCCCCGAGCAACACATGCTCCAGGTGCGCAAAACGAGCATGACATGTTGCTATAAAGTGAACCTAGAATGTTTCCTCGTGACCAAGTTTCAGCCACTGTTTGCCATTTAAATCTGTGGGTGTCGAACAAATGTTTAGGTCTCTGCAATACCTTATCGTGCTCCGTGAAGAATAATTATTTATAAAAGACACTATTTTAAGCGCACAAATTCAATTGATGTCTGCATGCCTCAAACCTACGACGTATTTCTCGTATTGTACTTTTCGAGACGCGGCACTATGCAGTGGCACCTCGACCTGAAGTCGGGTCGCTCTTTCGAGCGGCCCGACTCTGCGTTTGTTTATTAAAACAAAAGCCTTATACGTCTCATTGTTCAGTCGACCTTCAAAGTCCTTGAGCAAAAACTCGTCGGCGATACGAAAGGTACTAAAATGTTTACGTGATCACTCAGGCAAATTAAGGATAGCAAAGTGAAATAAGAGTAATTAAAGTGAATGAAGAGTAATTAAAGAGAAGTAAGGGTAATCAATGGGAATTAAGAAGGGCTATAAAACGAATAATGTCAAAAAAGACAATGTGAAACAAATTAAATCATGTGTCTGCCTTTAATGCATCGGCACTTGGGCTTTTGCCTTCAGGTCGTCTTGAGGATAATGTAAGAGACCCTGTGAATTTTCAGAACTGCAACATCCTTGTTTTCACAGTCATTGCTTACCGAGTTTGTTAGTAATTGGTAGAACTCGGTGCAAGCCGTCGAGTGCCAGGCTGAATGACATATATTCACCATTCTGTAACAACTAAGAAGCATACCGAAACGGAAACCGCCTAAGCAAAAAAATACTACATGCCATCCATAAGTGACACCCCAAACAAAACACAGTTTTCATCACTTGCTTATACATGCTGCTACACATTAAAAAAAATATATATATATGGAAGGGAGCAAACCGAAACCACACCGCAACGTGCCTGTTTTAAGGGGCTCATCACCACCTAGATACAAGGCCTTTGCACTGCTCCCCCTACACAGCACTAAACGTTAACACTAAAATGTCCTTGGACACTGCTGGCTACTGGCCACTCTAACAAGGTCGTGCAGATATGATAAGTAGAATCGAGAGCGTGCTGCACGTTATCTGACTTGGTGGGATGTCGTGGGGGAGAGCAAGCAGGCCCTTATCCAGTTGGCGTCGTCGCCGTGCCCCAGAGACAGCACATAAAAGCGTGGACGATGCAGCATCCATTTGATGCAACAGAACTTTCTTCATTCTTTTAGATAAAGTTTGAACCGGCAGCTTCAGAGCATGCATGTGGCAAAGGTGCTGTCGGGTTTTAAAATGGTCCAACGATCGACCGTTCGCATTAATATGTTTACAATCGTACACGAAATGAAGTGGCTGATTGTTCAGTGTTCTGCAAACATATACAGTCGTGTCTCTTTGATACGGGCACTTTCGTTCCCCACAAGACTTGTCTGTAATGCGGATCATTTGTAGTAACAGGACAAAAATGCGTGCATTTCTCTGCAAAAATACGAGGGTGCAAGTTAGCTGATGAAGGTTAAACAGTGATTTTACCGGAGACTAGGGTTTTACTACAGGATGATACAGACACATAGAAGCTTGAGACGTCTATGTATATGTGTTGTCCTGTAGTACAATTCCAGTGTCGTGTAAAGTCACAGTCTTTAACATTTACCCAGTTCGACCCTGAAAATTTAGTTTATATATATAGACCACATTTTCAAATGACACCTTAGCATATGCATCGTATTGATAATTACTGGGTATTGTTGTCGGGGATAACGGAACATCTACTAAAACTCCCTACTAGTGGTGTGCCCTATTAGTCAGGTACCCGTAGTAACGAAACATGACTGATTAACCCCTTAAACGTTTTTAATTTTGGGAAATATCTGACCCTCAACTACTTAATTGTTGTCTTCAAAGATCAAGTTTCTAGCCACAAAAAAAATTGGAGCAACATGCAAAAAAAGGTGCTGCCGTCTGTTGGCAGAGCCTCTAACTAAGCCACGAGTGAGTCTGGTTCATCCAAAACGATTGAGTGCGTGAACCGGAGACAGCAGACGAGCTATACTCGTCCCAAACTGTTTGGGGACTAGAAAAGCCCCACGCCTGACCTAGAACCACAAGGTCAGAAACACTCCAAACGGCCCAGTGCCAACTGCAAGGTGGGGCAGATCGCTAGCACAATCCCCAAGCCTTCCTGGGAATGGATTGACGGCGGTGTTCCCTCACCAGAGTCGTCCCGGGCAGCACCTGGCTGTAGTTGATGCAGCCAGGGTTGATGGCGTCGACCAGGTCCACAATGGGCTTTGCGTCGCAAATGCACGGGTCTTGGAAGTTGCGGATCTGCGTTGTCTTCTGCGCAGACTTGAGCTGAAGGGAAGAGCCGGGGAACGCGTGAACACACGGAGATCTCGGTGATGAAACTCACATAGCCTTGGAAGTAAAGGCCCATACAAAATAAGCAGCTCTTTCTTATCAAAGAGATTGCGTTTATGCGCTCATCTCCATGGGAAAACCTCTACGACCCAGCGTCTGGTGTCAGCATCACATTTAGCATACGGCGCCCATAAGGAACATAGACCACGGGACCCATACGAATGTCGCCATGTTACGTGACATTGTGCGACACCATAAGATTGTGCAACACTGTGCGACACCACGAAATCATGGGATACCATGGCCTCGCGTACAGCATGTACCCAGCTCATTTACAACACATTCTGCGAGGCTCAGAGTTTATAGAATATGATCAAGACATCCAGATTTTTTCTTTTTTATCCCATGAAACTCGCATGTTGCAATAACCCCCTATGACACCCCCATTTCAAGGTTTTCCAAACTAAATCAAACCCTACGTTCTACAGAAAGGAACTAATCCTTCTATAGGACTAAAAGTGTTCAACCAGGTGATGACACTGCAGAACTGAATTCTTGTCGAAGGATTGCATTTCATAGTAACCCTTTTCGGTGTTTGCAGCTCAAAGAACTATTGTGAAATACCGACTGTATGAAATGAATCGCCCTCTGGAGAGTGTCCTTGGGCTAAGTTTAATCCCTATTGTGGAGTTTAGTTTCTGCGAAATATTCCCAGAGATATAGAACATCAAAAAGTTTACAAATTATTTAAAGGAACCACGAAAAGAAAGGTGACAGGGGAACTAGTCTATTGATTTCCCGTCGTGATTATCTCGTCGTCGGGATTTTGAGCCGGTGCGTATGGATTTGAAGTTGTTATTGGCTGCAACATTCTTTCTGCATTTCCTACTGCTACACGCAATAATGGTACAAGTTCACTCGTACCTTTTCTTATATTTCTGTTCCTGGAGCATGGGCGAATTTAGGGGGGAGGGGGGCAGCCTAGTTTCCATACACCAGTTCTATATTAGGAAGAAATTATTAGTTTTTTGTGGCAACAGTATTGGGTCAACAAAACAGATCTGGGCAATGTTTTGCCCGTGATCTCGTCTCCTTGCAGACCACCCCTGCCCAAGCATGGCCTATAAATTCGCCCCTGTCCCGGAGGCTCGAACTGTAATTGCAGCGCTTTCTTTTTGCTCGTGTAACATTCCAAACGTTTGTTCCTGTCCGGCTGAATACTGATCTTCACCAGCATGGGAGAAAGGAACGGGAAGCTTCTTTGGGAGCGGCACTTCCACAGTCAGACGGCTATTGCACGTAGCCCCTCAATATTTACGACAAATTCTGCAAGTCTTTCATCTCGAGAAACCCTCGCGTGCTTCGAGTGGCGGCAGACGAACCCTTTTTGGTCTCAGCATTGGTGTATTAAAGCAATATGGGAGACTAGGGACCTTGTAAACAATAATGCACATACTAGGGATAGGCAGCATTGGGCTCGTAGTTGGGAATCGACGAGTGGCTCAGATCTGCTAAACCAGTACTTAAACCGGAAGAATGCTCCACTTGGGGGATAGGGATGGTCGAGGAAATTTGGGAGCTTGGGGAACCTATGAGAGTGTGAATTTGGGTCTGGGGAACCTCAGTGTTTCTAGGAACCAAGTTTGAGAACTCGTCCCTTGAACTATGGGTTCCCAAACTGGGTTTTTATGAACCCTGGGCTTTCCCAGGGCACTTTCGTGGGTGCATGCTCTGGGAAACCCATGCGGGTGGTCAGCTTTCTCGATCGTCCCTGCCCCCAAATAAAGTATTTTTCCAGATTTTATGCACAACCGAGCCAAACATTCCTTAGTATCTGTATTATTGTTTACAAGGCTTCTACACTGCTTTACCGCATCAATGCCAAGACCTGGAGGGGTTCCTCGGCTATCAATTGAGAAAGACAAACGCTCCTCGACAATGAAAAGTTTGACAATCTTTGGTTTAACCACCGATGTTTAGGGATGCCTTCTGGATTGCCACAAGCGACGGGGGACTCCATCCATCGGGTTGAAGGACAGGTATTGGACGATTACAGTAAATGAAAGGATGAATGAAGGAAACTAAATGTGTGCAAACCAACCTTGAATATCTGAACCGGAGAATAATCAACCCTACTTTTAAAGGCTAAATAGGTTTGACCTATTTAGCCTTTAAAAACAATCGGCATCAATAAAAACACCAAAAAACATGGTTGTTTGAGTTAATTGACTGCTGAGACCTTTGGGGATTCCAAAGGGTCAGCGGTCTCCCATCCGAGGACCCGTGGTTTAAGGCATTAGGAAGGGTACCAGCCACCCACCTTGGAGTTTGCCCAGTCAACAATCTCCTTTTCGACGATGGGGTGCCCCGTGCCGGCGAGCTGCGTGAGTACTGACAGGGTGTAGGCCCGCATGAGCTGCCACACCAGGGCCAGGGTGAGGGTGGCGTTGCCATCCGACAGGTCCTGTCCCGCCACGCCCACAAGCGAGAAGCCCAGCTTGCGCCCCAGCTCCACTGCATAGTTGCAGTTCTCGAGCTTCTCCATGAAGCCCTTGAGTCGGCTGAACGTGCGGTGAACGCGGGTCCAGTTCACCAGGCCCGGCCGGATCACGTCGAACAGCTGCAACGGGCAAAACGCGTCAAGAATCTTCTACGAATGATGCAGTATCAGTAAAACAGAAGACTTGCTCCAACCCCGCTTCCTTTCTCGCAGACGGCATCACTCAAAAAAAGAAGATTGGGCCTCTCTCGTCTAAAGCTGGCATCTTCAAAAACTCGTTCATTCCACGCACCGCTTGGCGCTGGAACGAGTTCACAGAGACAAATAAAGTCTCACAACAAGAAAAGCGACAATTTTTTCCAATCCTTGCTCTGTCCCTAACACCCCATACAGCTGGAGTGTTAACTTTTTTTTTTTAAGTCCTGCATTCGCTGTAGGCAGTGCGTCCTTTCTTTGATGTGTCGTAGTGTCATTTACATAGTTTCACCTCCACCGCTCTAATGCCCTCGCACACCCACTGGGGGCCGACTAACTTACTGCTGTCTAAACAAATATGCGCAACACAATTTTAAATGTGGCAACGCCGTAGGCTTCATGTATCCAGTGAAAACTCAATTTTGTCGGCCAACGAATGCACTCCCGTCGCAGTCAAAAAGGGACTCCGGTGAAACTAGTTTTTGTATTTCATTTTCTTCATTTCTTCTCTTCTTCTATCCTTTTCTTCCTCTCCCCCTCCCCCCTCAACGGTGACCTACGGGCCTGCATGGTCGCGCAACCCATCGTTTTCTACAAAATAAGTAAAGTAAAGCTAAACAACAAACAACAACTAGTTTTTGTTTTCGAGTTTCGGAATCCGATGGTGATGGGGTTGCAATATGTTTCGTCGCATTTCTAAATGTAGTAATTTTTTCTTCCGCCTGTCTCTAGATGTCGCACTCTCGTTCAAGACCTGAGCAGAGTTGACAGAATTTATTTATTTTCTTTTCAACACGCTACCAGCTGTAAGGTCAAAGCAGGCTGGTAGGTATGTTGGAGGCTTCTCAAGTAATTAAATAATATTGAGAAAAGCAGACACTTTTGCACTAATACAATACAAATTTAAAAAAAAAATTGCCTCAAAAACAGTTTGTGTTAAAGCTAAGAAAATTACTTCAAAAAATAATGTGAAGGTAATCGGAAAAAGACTTCGCACGGCAGACTGCATGCAAGTACAAGCACAAGCTGAGGTGACACCTAAAAAAAAAATTGCAATGATATGTTCAGCGTGTTAATCTCTACATATTACTGCAGTGAAAAATTATAGGACAGCAAGAGTTTTCTGACAACAAAAAAAAAGAAAACAGTGATAGTGCAGTCTTAATTCGCATCCGGCCTTCCAGCGAATTACACAAGCCAGTCAACAAAAATGCTGAAGACATGTTCTATCCCTAACATTTTACGGATTCCCGATTGCTCTTTACCCAGAACAGACATGCCACAGCTGCCAAAATGTAGGCAAGCAGAGGTAACAACTGAAATGCGACCGAACGAAGCCAGACACAGCACACAACGTAGCTCCGCATACAATTGGGTCATCCATCTCTGTCGAGTGCTATTGTGTAATATATAGCCTCTGGTTGCCGCCACAACACGAGTTGCTCGCATGGAGCAACATCTCTGTGGACCCGATGGATACTATAAACATTAACAAGTGGCCAGCAGTCTCATCCCCTAGCTTTGCTCACAATAAGCGAATCATACTCCATTTAATGGAACACCTGGTGAATTTCGTCACCACCAAGAGAGCTGCCATCCAATTTTAAGCGAACCGGTGTTACGAAACTAGTTTCCTCACAGGGTGTACAGATTTTAATTAAAGATTCCCAAACTTTTGCGGGTTTTCCCCGGCTCTAACCGGGGTTTCCCAGCTAATTTGGAGGAAGGAAAGGAGGATGACTTCTGTTGTATCCGACCCTGCAACTGGAAAAGCACAATACAAGATTCGTGTTCGCACAACTGTTGAGTCTTGACACAACTGCATATACGGGGATAGGTTAAGTTCAGTGTACAACCCTTCTGAACGTGTGTGTCAACCGAAGCAAGCAACAGTAACATTTCTTCAAAATTTCTCTAGACTCTCCGAATGTGCTTGTAGTTTCGCTTTTCGCTTTGGCTGAACAACTTTTTTGAGACAGACTCACCTGGAAGATGATGAGTCCATCCGCCAGGTCGCTGTACAGCCAGTTGACGTACGGTTCGACCCCCATCGAGTTGACCCAGTTGCGGTACGTCTTCTCCTCCCGTGTCTCCTCGAGACCCTCGAGCATCTCCAGTGGACCCTCCGGCAGATCCAGCGCAGGATGATTGTTGAAGAGGTTGGCCACAAACGCCACGTTGAGCTTGTAGACGCCCTCCACGACGTCCTGTGGCGTCAGAAACGACCGACAGTTGATCTTGTCCGCCTGCTGAAGCATCAGCTCGGCCCGGGCCGTCAGGTCGGACTCCCGGAGCGCCTCCGTGTGGACTCCAGACCCCAACGGAGCGATCTGCTTCAGCAGGAGCGTGTAGACCTCCGAGTCGCGCACGTCCGACGTGAAGTTGGCCACCCGCCGCTTCGTCCCAGCACGCTCCAGGTGGTAGTTGCACCAGCGCAACAGGATGGCCTCCGGCGACAAATGAAGCAGATGGCTCATGTCCTCTCCTGGCTTCACCAGCTGGACAAGGCCTGGGCAGTGCTGGAGACTGATCTGGTTGAAGAGCCCGATTTTGATGATCTGCCAGAGAAGACCAAGCACCAAATGGGGCTTCCCGCGGGCCAGGTCGTGGGCGTCGATGTTGACGATGCTACAGCCGATGGATTGCGCCGAGCTGAGGGCTAGCGTCAAATTCTCGTGCTTGGTGTAGACCGTAAGGCCCTTCTTGTTGATGGCCCGCTCGTCGATGGTCTCCGGACACGAGTGGTTGATCATCTTGCAGAGGAGGATGCCGTCCCGGACGCGGTCGTAGAGCGCCTCCCCGCCGGCTTCGATCGGCAGGAGGTGCTTGAGGTCGGGGTCTGTGCGGAGGTTGCGGTTGATCCAGTCAGAGAATGCGGCCTGCTCTTCGTGACGCACCGAGTGGGTGGTGCCCTCGCTGGAGGCCTCGGACATGCCCCCAAGCGTCTGGACGTTCTCCTTCTTGGACAGCATGGCCTTAAAGCCTGCGGACACCTCCTGGGCACGCAGCTCCGAGTACAGCTGTTCAAATTCCGAGAGGGACAGACGGCCCGGTTCTGCCATCGCCTTCCGCCGCTCCATGTCCTCGATGAGTTGCCGCACCTTCCACTGGGGCAGCTTGAAGCCCACCGCGGATAGGGCCTCACGCAGGGAAGAGAGTTCCACATAGCCACGGTTGAGCTGCAAAGCACATCTGATGCTGGACTGGCTCTGTATATTCTCAGGAGACAATGGAGCGGATAGCCGGCTTGCACAGACATGAAGTTATAGACTACAAAGGCGCTGCCATCTTGAATTGTCGTCACTTTCAGTATGGACGAAAACATTTGCCGTCACCACACCAATATAAGCCATTTAGGATATAAGTGTAACCGTAAGATTCTCGTTTTGCCTCCCCTCTATCTTTTTTTTACCATTTACAGGTTGAAAGGTTTTATTATTATTTTCATCACCCATATTGGGTACACCTATTAGGTAGCTGGGGACGAGAGCACATGAAAAAGGTAGCAGCTTTAAAATTTATAAATCACAACAGACAAGGGCAATCTGGAAGTCCAAAAGCTTCAATGCGTAATGGTCCATCTGATATTGTTAATATTTCTAGAATTGAGGAATGCTCCATTTATATTTCATACTTTCGTAAGAGTAGTGCGAGAGTTACAAATTAGTGTGGGAGTTCCAGACCATGTATCACCATGTATCACCGACATGACTGAATCACACTCATAAGGCTGTTATCCTTCACAACCTCTATATGCACCTGAGTCACTTGTGTGCTGGAAGTCGGCCAGCTATTCGATCCTCCGCGGCCCCCGCAGACGAACTATCAACAACAAGGCAATAGATACCGGAGCTGCTTATGTTTTTTACGAAAAATAATAACGTCCCGCCGAAACTTTTGTTTATTAATGACGTTACCGTCATATCGTCTTCAACAACAACAAAAAACGCCGACCTTTGCACGTTGAAAGGATACACGACGACGTCATCGACGCGTTCCTGGCGTACGCAATTTTCTGGCAGCATTCCAAGCATTTCAACAATCGGCGCTCGCAGCCAGAGTGGTGACCACTCCCGCTACAAGTTCAACAAAATTGACCGTGCCATATGACGTGTTTTTTTTTTTTTTTTTTTTTTTTTTTTTTTTTTTTTTTTTAGAGTGCCGCCGCGTAGACCTTTCTGTCGTGACAATTAAATTGAAGGAGAGAAATAAAAACAACAAGCGGGAAATCGTGGGTATCTGTGCTTCGTGAGTCAAATTTCATTTCAGAATGGAAGGTGAATTAATTAGTGATAAACGCAGATTGCGATCTGGCAAAAAACACGTCACAAATGAATCAAACTGCCGCCGTCGCGCTTCCCTCTCTCTCCTCTCCTCTTTCCTTTTGCTAATTATTCCTACTGCGTCGCGTTCGTCCGGATTTATTTTATTCTTTCCTCCGTCGTTTAAGTCAAATAATTGCTTCTCTTCCCGTGTCGTAATTTTTCTTTGAGCCGCCATCGTGTGACTACCGTTTATTTATTTTTATTTTTTCCAGCAAGTGCATTATTTGAATGAAGAAAGTTAAAAACGAAACCGAACCTTCTAATTACACGCGCCTCATTAGCAGACGAAATCAGAAAGGACAGCGATCGCTCCTCCCACGGCGCAAGACACTTATCACACATTTGTTCGAAGGAAGGAAATTTCGACTTTTCATCGAATGCGACTTTTGTAACCTGGAGCTTTAAAGGAAAGAGTTCAGACCCGCGGCTCGGACCCGTGGGACCGGACGGTTAAAGGCGCACCTGGCAGATGCGTATGTCAACTGCCGCCACGCCCTCTCCGGCGGGCATGTATTGCACCCTTTTGATAGCAAAGCAGTACGGGCAGCGCTCGTTCTACGCGGTTCTACAGAATGGCCGGAACTAGCACTTCCCGGCGCAACCTTTTCCCGTAACAAAAAGAAAAAAAAAATCGCAAATTCCCCGGCACAACCCCGCTTTCAGACCAACCACGTCAACGACCCACCGAGGCACCCTTCCCTTTGATACCCCTGTATTCTTTCCTCCCAATTATTTTTTTTTTATTATTGTTGTTTCTTTTTACATGTTCCGTGTTTCGCACCCAACTTATTTTTGTTTGCCTGACTTTTTTTTTTTTTTTTTGCTGGCGACGGGAGATGATTATCACGCACAAACGTTATCCTCAACTGTCAACCACCTGTACGAAAAGAGTTATGCGAAATAAGTGACACTTTTTTTGTTTTTGTTTGACGCAGTCGCGAATTCCGTCGAGGATAGCTGTGAAGCTACGCGTCCTTGCTTGAAACCCGGCCGCGATTACAACGGAAAGTGGCCGAGTTCAATTTTATCGTCGTACTCGCGCCATACACACATCGCGCGATCGCAGTCAAGTGCTCGATCTCAGCTAGACGAGGAATGCTGCTTCCCACTTTTTTGTTTTTATCCGCTTGCTTGTTTAAACACGACAAAACAAAAGCGGCAAGTGTCAATCACAACATGTACGCACAAGCGACCTTTGTCAAATATCCGAACTACGAGCGGAGCCTGTTTGGAAGAATAGTTCATATTTTCCTGCATGCATTTTTTTTTCTTTTTTTTTTTTCCTGCGCGGCACGGACAAAGTTAGCGAGGCAGTCCGTACGGACCGCCGCGCGGCAATCCAGAAAGGAACACCACCTGTTCAACCAGCGCCAAAGCTCGACGGCTTGGTCATGCAGGGGAGCGGTACGCTGTGTTTGTCAGCGAAACTCACCGTCTCGACGTGTGCGCCAAGTTCCTCCCGCTGATCGTCCGATAAGAGTAGGGACTGTCGAATTCCCGCCATGTTCGTGTCGAGCGAGAGCCGTGTCCGCCGCCGCCACCCCGTTTGCGGGCCTCTCCTGACTTCACGGGTACGGCGAGGAGCAGCAAGTAGCACAAACGCCCACAAAATCCGCGGTTACAGACGCACAGACACGCTGCCGACGCCGGCGGATGAATCACACGCGGCGGCCGCCCAGTTTTTCACGTGCCGCTTTGTGACGTAATGCGCTCTGTTCGATTGTTCCAGTCTGTGTGTTGTTGCTGTCAAAACGTACGACTCTTATCGTACAAAAATTATCTGGTGGCGTCATACAAGTTATTTATTAAAAATAAATAATATGTGTTTAAATAGTTTGAAATACTTATTTATATCTTTAATTACGTAAAAATAAATATAATTATATAACAAAAAGCATTAAATGATTTAGCTTTTTATTTAAACCTGTCGATTGCAGCGCTGCTAATAATGCGGCGGTGCTCATACGCCTTGTCGGTTAGCGAGCTGAAACTTTGTCTCGACTTTGCCCACTAACTAAACGTGTCAACGAGACAGCGGCTAACAAAATGGCGAATCGCACAGTAAAAGATGCCCATTCTGTGCGGGGAACGAATCCTCAGTACCTGATCGAGAAAATCATAAGATCTCGTATCTACGACTCGAGGTACTGGAAAGAAGAATGCTTCGCGCTGACAGGTTCGTACGCACATGACTCGCGTAAACCTAATTCAATCCTTCGATAAACGCGTTGGAACTGCGATTGCCCGTGTCTGTTTTCAGCCGAGCTTTTGGTCGACAAGGCAATGGAACTCAAATTTATCGGCGGCGTCTACGGCGGCAACGTAAAGCCCACGCCTTTCCTTTGTCTGCTGCTCAAGATGCTTCAGATCCAACCAGAAAAGGACATCGTTGTCGAGTTCATCCGACAGGAGGACTTCAAGTAAGGACTTGGGTGTTCTCTCCGACTGTTCAAACATCGCCCCAATGACTCAAATTCGATGTTTAGGTACGTACGCGCCCTGGGAGCCAACTATATGCGGCTGGTGGGAAGTTCCTTAGACTGCTACAAGTATCTAGAACCGCTGTACAACGACTACCGCAAGTTGAGGCGCCAAAACAGAGATGGAAGTAAGAATATCCTGGTCCACAGTGTCACTCACTATCTCTGTACCCACACTAACCTTCTTCCCTTTTATTTTTGTAGCCTTTGCAATAGTACACATGGATGAACTGATCGACGAGCTGCTGAGGGAAGAACGAGCGGCTGACGTCATTCTCCCGCGCATCCAGGTAAGACTACATGACTTTCCCCGTAAACATTGAAAAGGTCCAACATTGTACCGATCACATCCCTGTAAAATGTCGAGGAACAATCTTCCCACTAGACTAGGCCATGAAAGTAGCTACAGATGAGGTGAACAACTCCTAGATGTAGTCACTTGCAGATCTTGGTTCATTACCTTAGTCAGCAAAGTGCAAGTTGAACGTCCATAGATTTTCCTACCTAACTGTGATCGGCCTTTCATCCTCTCTATAATGTTGGAGTGCATTCAGTTCCATTGCTTGAGTCGTCGATAATGTACTCTGAAGGTTGACATAACCAACTCCCACCATACCCCTCACTAGTGCAGCACTACAAAGGCACATTTAGAATGAGCACCTTCTATGGCACATGCTTGTGCGCATGTTTTGCACAAATCTGCACACAATACTCTGCAAAAGTAGAGTCGAGTAAAAAGTTTTGGGATAAAATTTGACGAAGTTTTTCCTTCACTGCTCACAGAAGCGCCACGTCTTGGAGGAGACAAACGAACTGGACCCACGCATCAGTGCTCTCGAAGATGATGTCGATGATGTGGACTCGGCAGAAGAGGAAGAAGACCCAAAGGTAAGCATTCTGTCCCTAGCTTACCGCACAAATTGCGCAGGTTTTTGAGACAGCAATGCTTCTCACCTGATGGTCATATTGTCAGATCTCGTGCATCCAGCTTCCTCTGTGGTACTGGATATTGGTGAAGAGATTGAATTATAGGGCGTGCTCTGTCTAGCTTGTTTTTCTATAGATCAATGGTTGCCCAAGAGAAGAGTTGTGGACTTTATTTTTTAAGCCATCTTCCTCGACAGAGCGCAGGGCACAATGTAACGTGAAAACTGATGACACTAAACAAAGTGACATTGGCAGGACATGACAGGCTAGATCTCTCACAAAAGCAGGGTAGGTTGCGAGCTTGACCCACTTTGACCTTTGTGCTAAACAGGTGTTGGACAGATGCACGGTACATGCTGCATTGTTCACGGAGGCCAGAATAACTATAAAAGATCCCCTCCTCGTATGATGGCAGGACACTAGCACCAGCCAAATGCAAATGTGCGTTCGGCTGCAGCAGCCAAGCGCTGAGTCATTGTTGGTGGCCCCATGGGTATAGTTCTGAAGTTAGCCGCTGGGGGTGCGACAATTGGATCTCCTCCCCAGTAGTTAGCACTTTGACATGCCTCGTCGTTCTTGCACTGTTACCATAAATTGCTGCATCTGTCGTGTTCGTCTGTAGGTTCCGGCAGTACCACAGCCGAAAAAGGACGCCACCCAGAGACATCGATCATCGCCATCGCGACACAAGACCAGACCATCGCAGCACGGCGTCAAGGAGCACCGGGAGAGGGATAAGGACCTTAGAGACAAGGGGGTTAAAGAGCATAGGGATAGGGACTTTAGGGAAGTGCACGCTCCACACAGCAGGGACAGAGATCCCCGAGAGAGGGAGCCCCGGGATATGCGGGACAGGGACCTGCGAGAGAGGGACTTTAGGGACAGGGATATGCGAGACAGGGACCTCAGGGACCGTGACTATAGGGATTATAGGGACACGGACTACCGAGAGAAGGACTATCGGGAGAAAGACTACAGGGAGAAGGAAAAGGACTATAGGGACAGGGATTACAGAGACCACCACACCCGAAGACACAAGGAGGATCGGAAAACAGAAAAGCGAAAGTCCAACAAGTAGGCTCCTTGCATGTGTCTGTAAAAAGAATGACCCTTCAGCCACTCATTCATTGTCATTTTCAATAAACATGTTCCTTCTAATAAGATTATGCACACATGATGTGTTTCAAAAGTTAATGTTTGCTTTTGGTTCCTTGTGCCAAGTGTGTAATGGGTCTTATGACGTGGGTGCAGTGGACTTTTTTTTGCATGCTTCTGTGTGTGGTAGAGTAAACAGTGACCTAGCAGCTTTTCGGATCCTGCCAATTGTGTAAAGCTTGTAATGTGTTAAGACATAGAATGATGGAGATGTGGCAGACAGAACAGCGCCTGTATTCCTTTGCAGTGGATCTTTATATTCTCTTTGGTAATGCTTGTGGTCACAAATGCTAATTGGGGGTACACTTTTCGAGCTGTTCACTTAATCTTCTCCACGTGCAATACATGGCTTGCACATGACGTCATTCAAAGAGCGCTCGGTGACCACCAGAGAAGAGGGGAAGAAGGAGCTCCCCTCCTTTCAGGATCCTCTTTTGTGCCTCCTAGATTTGGATAGACATCGCTCTTTTCCTTCCAGAAAATTATAGAAGATTAACCCGTCACTCAAAATTCTTACAAAAGCAGCGTCCCTCTCCTCTTACATGGTGGTCAAAAGTATGCGATGTGACGTCAGTGCAAGCCATGTATGATCACTGATAGCGAGTTCGTTTCACACGCACTGGCACCGTTCGAGTTCTCTCCCAGAATGCATCGCACTCACAGAGTGTTGCACGGAAAACTGGACTCAAACGAACTCGCTAAATGCACCGAGTGCAGAAGACTGATGCTGCCGCCATCTATGTTGTAGAAAGGGTACCGACTTCAAACCGACACTAGCGCCTTTCTGTTCCGAGTGATGCGTGGGAATGCGAGAATGCAGTCGCTACCAGCGTTTATCTGCAAACGTTGGCAACTGCAACCTGTAGTTTATAGTTGCGATGTCTCCAAGCAGCTCGGCTGCCGTAGAGATAGTTACAGACAGAGTAAATTTCCGCAACCAGCTGTCTAAAAAGCAGCTGGTTGCGATCTTTCAATCCTTATTACCGTTTACACTGAAAAAAACTGATGATGCTGTCCGAGCAGAAGCCTGATCCGTTTGAGCATGGTATTATGCGGGAACCACTGAAAGGGTACGGCTCAAAACTAGCCTGTAGGAATATCCAGCAAAACTGGGACTTTCGATTTGGATCGTCATTATAGGTAAATTAGATATTAGCCTTGGTGAGGGCGTCGAGAACGAGAGCTTTCTCGAACAAAATACGTCGGGGCAAGTTAGCTGCGTAGGTAAATGTTAAACATGGTGATGTTGCCCAATCCTCGGGTAAAGCCACCATATTTAGCTTTCTCTGATGCTTATTGGGCAGTCAGAGGTTTCTGCTGGGGGAGTTTTATCGACAAATGTTAAATTTTTCACCCGCACACGGATGGTGATAGACATCTCGGGGGCCGCTGTTGCGTTTGTTCTGAGCATTTCTTGACACACTGGTATTCTTCAGCGTTTGTACGGCAACAAAGCGATTTAAAACCTGCGAATAAATCACGGGTTGTCAATAGCTTCCTTCTTGAAATAGCAGACGCTCACAATTCAAGCTCGCGTTTGATTTCGTTGCCCGCGAAACACAATTTCTATCAGAATTTTTTTTTTTTTTTTTTTTCGTTCGGTTTGCGACACATTGTAGCAGACGAACCCTCGTCGTCTGCTCCCGCTCCTCGCCGGCCCCGCCGAAGCGAGGCATGACGGGATTGCATTTTGGCGCACTCCCGATTTTCTCGGTGCAGCGAGTGCATGCACGCGTGGGGTGTCAGCGCTGAAACGAACTCGGAGAGTGCAACCACTCGTGGAGCGCCGGCCGAAACGAACCCGTTCCACGCTGCGAGTGGGCACGCGTGGGCACGAGTGCCGTGAAACGAACTCGCTATGACTTATCAACTTCACACTTTTCCTTTCCGGTTAGCCATTGTGGTCTATGTTGTGTGAGGCACAGACCAAAGTCTTGTCAGTTTTGTCTTTAGTTGAATGCTACAATCTTTCACCAACAGGTGTGTGAATAGTGCTTGGCCCAGCAAAATATGCTTTCTGATACTTTGTTACTAGTAAGATGTGGACAAAACGTCAAAAAGGAGGCGTTAGAGAAGGGAATACAATTCTTTTAATAAAGTTACACGGACAAAATCGACGGTGATTGGGGTTGTACGTATGCGCACAGTTAACATGTATGTTGAAGAAAGACATGTTTGCGAGGAATTTACATTTCAACAGGCTTTCCTCCCAACCAACGCGGCCGTCGGCTCGCCAACTATTCGCGTCGGGGGGCATCCCAAGTGCGCAGTAACGAAAGGAGGTGACGACGACCTCGAATTAGCGAGACAGCGCCCGATGGGCTCGCGCGAACAGTCGCTACTTTTGTCGGCAATTCTATCTCCGACCTGTCAGCCGCATAGCCGGCATAGGCCGTAACGAACGACAAGCCGACAAAGCAGTCTCCCCCGTCCTCCTCACGCCAGCTTTGGCGCTTGCTGCGACTGCGATGACTGGGACACCTCGTTCTTGGACGTCGTTCGCGGCGGGTCTTCCGCGTTGAGGTTTTCGGGGTCTTCTTCACTGGCACGGCCCCAACATGCCGTCGGGAGTCGGCCGAGGCCGTATGCGTCAGCGCCCGTGACACGCTACAGCGGTTGGGAGATGCGCCGAAGTCCCAGCGAAGTCGACCAAGCCCCCTGGCTCGCGGCAAAGATAAGCGCGCTAGTTGTGGTGGCGGCGGTGCTGTTGCCGTAAACCGTGCATATGCCTGTGTCTCGACCGGTGCCCACGATGCAGTTCGTGGCCGTGGATGTCGGCACGCAAAGTGCGCGAGCCGCGCTGGTCAGCGAGAAAGGGAAGTTGCTTAAGACGGCGACGTGTCCGCTGGACACTTGGAACCCGAAGCCGGAGTTCTACCAGCAGTCCTCCGAGCAGCTATGGAAGTCCGTCTGCAAAGTGGTCAAGGTGGGCTCGTTTTCGCCTTGTCTCTTTTTTTAACGTGCATTCAATTTTATTGATTTCGCGCAGTTTAATTGCCGATTTAAGTCTGAATCAGACGTTTGGAAACTCTCGCAATGAAACAGCCCTAGGGGCATCTAAAATGGTCAAAATAAAACAGAATATACCTTTTTCTATTGTTATTTATTGTACTGGCTTTGATTCTTTAACTATCGACCTTTAGTGCACTTTGCCTTCCCTCCGTTCGAGTGCTCTTCAGGTTATTTGTCGTATTTTTGCAGACAGACAGATAAGTGATATGATTAGAATGTGCAAAAGATGCCTTGCTCTAAATTTAGGTTGTAACACGAAAACCCAACATTCCAGCAGAATGATACGTGCTGAAAGTTTAACAAACAATTAAGCAAAACAACCTAACATTCCAGCAGAATGGTGTGTGCTGAAAGCTAACAAAATTGTTCAATGCATAGGAAACATGAAGAATGAAAGAGCCAGAAGGTCAACATATCACATATGCTTCTAAGCAGTCTTGTTTACATTCTTTAATAGTTACATGTCGTAATCAACCTTCCCAGTGTTTTTCCATGCATATAATCTCTTTATAAGGTAAAACATTAGCTACCTGTAATTTTAAGTTGATTAAAATGCCCTTTCCTTCGTTTGTTGTTTTAGCACCAACTAAAGTATGTTTATTAAAACACTCATTAACAATAGCCTATCTAATAAATAGCTCGCAAGTGTCGCCGTTGCTGGGTGCTGACGGTTATTTCCACTTACTGGTTTCTTCGAACTACATCTTCTGCGGTGTGAAACTAACACAGCGAACCAAACTCTCGCGGCTCATAATTAATACTGGCATAGCCGCGAATGACGTCCCATGCAAGCTATATAGGTTGCATTGCACCGAGTGCAGGAGGTCATCAAGGATGCCAAGAACGTGAGGGGGATAGGGTTCGACGCCACATGTTCCCTCGTTATCCTGGATGAGGACAGGCGGCCACTTAGCACAAGTCCCACAGGTGAGGATGGCGCACTTTTAGTGTTGTGTCCACCATATTCTGTCAAGACCAGTTTTAACGAAGTCAGTTATAACGAAATAGCGGCTACAGCGAAGCGATCACGATTTCCCATTCCGTTTTGCGCTTCAGTAATCCGAAGTCGATTATAACGAAATAGCGGATATAGCGAAGTGATTTCCGATTCCCGTTGACTTCGTTATTACAGGTATTGACAGTGTATTTACCATATTTCCCAGTCTATAAGCGCACCATTATATAAGTTGCACCTATATGTACGATAGGCGTGATGAAACTGCATTGATAAGCCCGCGTACGCATATTTGCGCAAGCGGGTGCCAGTTTCAATATCCTCACCAATTAATTTATCGAAAAATATAACCCTGCTGCAGCTTCATTTAGTTAAGAGACGTGCTAATAGAAAACAATTAATGCAAGTTGCACCGCACTTACGAAAAATTTAAAAAAAAAAGAAAGTGACTTTACATTGGAAAATATACATTGTTCATTGATTATTGTAGGAGAGCCTGAACAGAACATCATTTTGTGGATGGACCACCGGGCGGTCGAGCAGGCAGAGCTCATCAACCAGACCAACCACGACGTCCTGCGCTTTGTCGGTGGCAAGATGTCTCCAGAGATGGAGCCACCTAAGCTCCTTTGGCTGAAACAGGTGTGTACAGTTTGTTTCGCCCTAGGAACAATCCCTCAGTTCTCAGTGATAATTTCTTATTATGCTTAATTGTGATCTTGGGAGAACAAACAAGAAAACATGCGTAGTATATGCATTACCATCGTGCACTGACAATTACATTGCATTTTACACTTTTTATGTAGGCCTTCTATAAGAATTTCTTCTAGTTTTCATGGGTGTCTGTTCATGTTAGTAGTTCAGAGATCAGTCCTTGGATGTCTTCAACAATGCATGTGCTTCCTGGGGGTCTTCGTATTTGCTACCCTTAGCTTGCTTTTCTGAATTAAAATTACAGCAGGCAGCATTAGTCGATTGTTCAATGACCACATGCTGCTGTTACTCTCTAAATAAGTTTGTTGGTCTTCTTCAACCAGCTTGGTGTAGCAGGCTGAACTCATGTTTTAGCCACAGGTTCATCAGAAGCAGCCTAACTCTCCTGCAGAACATGCCATCCACGTGGGAGAAAATGGGCTTTGCCTTTGACCTGCCGGACTTCCTGACATGGCGTGCAACCGGATGCGACTCGAGATCCCTGTGTACGGCTGTCTGCAAGTGGACGTACCAGGCCGGATCAGCAGAGAACCAAGGGTGGAAAGACTCCTTCTGGATTCAGATCGGCCTGGAAGACCTGGTTCAGGACGGCTACAGGAAGATAGGTGATTGACACACGCATGCTATGCAGCTAGAGAGATAGCTAGTCAATCATTTTGTAGGCATTCCAGGTCACAATGGTCTTGTTGTGGTTGTAAGCGCGAGTGGCTGCAGTTTGCAGGCTTTCAAAAAAGGCATTCTTTGTCAGACTGGCATGGGGCGTGTCACTTTACGAGAGCTTTGTCTCAAAATGCAAGCAACCAAGATTACTGTTCAGGGTGAATTGAATTGAAGCACAGTTTGGGTAACTTTGATGAAGAGATGAATTATAATTGGTGTCATCTTTGCAGGAAAAGGGCTGTACCTTGAGTGTTTCCGTGCCATTTCTCATTAAATTATATATTGCGAGTTTAATTCCATGGTAACAGATCGCGACAACCAATATGAATGATGGCACAGATATTGCGCATCGTCACGGAGTTGTCAAATTTTTTAATTGTAGAGTATGTACCTATGAATGCTGCAGGTTTGTCAAAATAAAAAAAAAAAAAATATTTAAATTGTGATTTCTTTAATTGCGTCGGTGAAGAGCAAGCAGTTCATCACCTAATTCTAGGGACGAGCTTTCTGAACTGTTGCAATTTTGTCAATAAACAAATAATGATTGTGGTTTGATATCTATCATGCTTATTAGCTGATGCAGAAAGTTCCTCTTTCTTGTTTTTCAGGAACAAAGTTCTATGCTCCTGGGGCCCCCTGCGGCAAAGGTCTCAGCGTGGAGGCTGGCATTCAGCTGGGCCTCAAAGCTGGCACTCCCGTTGCCACCTCCATCATCGATGGGCATGCCGGAGGGCTTGGTACGATTCCGGGCCGTGTTACTTTTGCTGGAAGGGACGCTGGAAGGGGGTCCCAGATGGCCAATTTCTTCCTTAGGTATTTTTGCACATATGTACAGTCTAAGCTCATTACAACACACCTGGTTACAACAGACATTTGGATATAACATACCGATTTGTTAAGTTTGTTTGGTTTTCCTCTATATAGACGCTTTGCAGCAGCTGTGCATGGACGCCGCCATAACTGACCTTCAGTTTTTGTTTCCTCTTATTCCGTTTATTTCACTGCATCATTACCATAGCAGGCCAGGCTATTGCCACATTAGATTCAACTGTGTCCTTTTCTAAAGCATCGGCCTTTGTAGAGGATAGCCAACTACCGTTTCAGTTGCTCGGCATCTCGGTAAGACAAGAGAAGGTCAGCTATGGCGGCTGTAATTTGGCGCCTGTGTAAAGCGTCTATACCATTGACTCAACTTCATATCTGCATACAACATACTCTTACAACAGACCGAAATCTTGGTCAAAATCAAGGTCTGTTATAACGAGCTTGGACTGTATATTTGTTTTGCTACAACACCACAAATGCATGCAGGAATAAAAAAAACAGTGCAAAAAGAACACGGGACAAGTGGAATCACGCATAAACACAGTGCCACATTCGTCTGTCTCTTCTGCTCGTCCCTGTGTCTTCTTTCGCGCTGTTTTATTTATTGTCGTCATGCACCGACTTGCCCAGCTACACATCTTGTAACAAACATGGGAATGAACGAAAACCAGTGAAACCAAAAGTTATGCCAGTCTTGGTTGACACGTACATAGTGCATGTCACCTGTGCACAAACAAATAATTGGCAGTTTCTTTTTTTCTTGATTTATATTTATTTTATTTTGTTTCGCCTAAGTGGACGCTACGAGCCATCGGAGCCACTCAGTGGTGTGCGAGTGTTGCATAAACTTCTGGAGGGCACGGCGATGCGCGGTGCACAGAGTCGCAGATACGCCTAAAGTGCCGGATTCGATCTGGGACGGTTCGTAGCATCCGCTGCAAACCATCGTAAGGTGACACGGAGCTTAATATGGTGGGAAGTGCTCGTTTTGGGCACCCACCCAAGCGGTAATCCTTCTAAAAGTAAAGTGGGAAAGAGTGTCGATGACGTGTTCGTGCTAGCAGTGTCGCGCAGTGTCGGGGTGTCTACCAACCTGGAAAACCTGGAATCGTCAGGGAATTTCAAAGCATCCAGAAAAGTAGGGAAAATCACAATAAGTCGGGGAAAATCGGTGATGGCGGGCGTCGCGGTGACGCGCGTCAGAGTGGGAAGGTGTGGCGTGCGGTGGCATGGATGGCCTTCACACTGAGGAACAGTTGCCTGGGACATCACAATGTGCTGTAAGCCAACCTCCCATTCACCAGATTAAACCTGAACATCAGCTGCAACCCCATCCTCTGCATCTTCTTTTGTAATGGTCGGGGAATTTAGTCAAAATATTCGGGGAAAACCTGGAAAAGTTGGAAAAATTGAGAGAGTGGGCCGAGTGTGCGTCGCAGTCCCTTTCTCCTTTTCTCGCTCTATTGATTCATGAACTCTTTACTGATTTCCATAGTGAAGGTTCGAGCCATAATGTATTTTCAACTATGCTGTGCATTGGATATATAATAAAAAGGTGCAGTTCATACCGCACAATTTCATTTTGAAATATACTGCAGAAGCCCCTTTTAACCCTTTGACGGTGAAGTTTTTTTTCCCACTAGAGCTGTTTCTCTGTGGTCCAGTTTTGTTGGCAAAGGAATACTAGTGTAAAGAAAGGGTCAATGCGGAAGTTTTTTTCTAAAATTATCTAGCGGGATCACATACAGGGCTTGTAAACTGTTGAGGTTTAGAAGCATTGAAGGAAAATATTGAAGACGAAAAGTTGTTACCTTTCTTCCATTCGGTTTCATTTTGGTGTGTCCACTTTTGCGACATTCCAGCGGCTTCAGATTCCTAACCGGAGCTACTTTACGGAACTTCTCCGTTGGATGCTGAGCTCTTGTCCTCTAAATTAAATTCCGAAAACAGTTGGAAGTCTAAATCTGAAGAGCCAGTGCTGCTGTTGGTACTACCGCTAGAGCGGCCAGTATATGAAGTGAGCATCACGTGCGCGGGTTGTCTAATTTGAAAATTGCCGTAGTGTCCCTAGAGATGCCCCACCCCTTAAAGGATAAGTTGCCTTCTGTATTTAACTTGATTTGCTCTTTTTTCAAAAACACCGAAAGATAGCCCACTTCTAGTAATTGCAGGGCCCTGGCCAACGGTGACCTCGGCAGCAATGGTGTTACTTAGCCACGGCGGTAGATAAGCGGACATTGCTGACTGAGAAAGACGATCATCTTTGGTTCATCGTCCCTCCCTGCGATAACAAGTTTTGCAGGTCACAAAACCTAAAACTAGCATTTTTAAACTTTTTTTGGTTGCACACTGAAAGTTAGCTCTCTCCTTATTTCCACCCGGTTTGCTTTTGATTTTAGGTGGGTTGTTTCTCAGAATTTTATGATATAAGAAGCCCAGCAATGCGAAACAATGTCAGAATATAATGTTCATAGTTCAGCATTGATATAATATACAGCAACACCTCCCGCGGTGCGAGCAGTTTCGCATTTCAGTGGGCACTTTCAAGTGTGTAATTGCCGCCATACATGTACGGAGACGACCGTCAAAAGGTCAAAAGGTGTAACTTGAAACAGGGAACATTTACTTTTCAACCTTCTACGTAATCTCCACATCAAAATCTGTCTCTCCAAACAGGGCTTCTCGGCTGCGAAGCGGACAAGGAGTTTGCCAAGTCATTCTCGAGGCGTCTGGCCGTTATTGCGGGCACCTCCACGTGCCACATGTTGGTACGTGTCTCGTTTCAATATGGCAGGACAAGACAAGAAGTAGTGTTGCTTATTAAAAAATCGCAAAAGAAAAAAAAAAAAAAAAAAAAAAAAAGAAGCAGGAAGTTGGTGTTATTAAAGGTACAGAACTTACTAGTTCGGCTGGAATAGAAGGGCGGTTAACGGAAGTAATACCGAAGAGGTCGATCCGTGCGTTGGCACCTAGCTTCATACTGTGGCATCTCGAATTAAGGATCTATGTCGAGGGGATTATGAAACGAGAGTTTTCCGAAAAGTTGCATAAATTTGGGAGTTTTGGGTCTTGCCTATTTTCTTCAACAGTTCCCTAACGTTGTTCGCTGATTGTAATCATGTGTAACCGGTACCAACTAGCTCAGCTCACCACCCTTCTACACCTCGCCAACGTGTTTTCTCACAAACTACATGTATACATACATATATTGGTACATATGTAAGAGTGTATTTCCACCTTCACAACTATGTACCCCCCCTCCCCAGAGTAATGCTTTCGGGCGCTGCGGGGTAACATGAAATAAACAAATAAATAAACCCCTAGCACATGAGAACAACATCCAAAATTTGTTTCATGCTTTATGAACGCTTAGATTTCATTTTCAACTCTAGTTAGAACGAGCGACGAGAGAAACTAGATTGTTTCATAGCTCCTCACAGTCATTTTCATTCGAATGCAGATTGAGAACGCCTTTGAGTTAATGCTTATCTATAGTTTTTTTCTCACTTCAACGGGATCATATGGAACATCTTCTCTATGGCAAATACCGGTCTATGTAATCTCAGAGATATACTAGTATTAACGGTCATACTTCTGGTGCATGCATTTGAGGCACTGATGTGGTGAAGGTTCTACTACTAGTGTGGTGCAGACTTTCCCGAAGAAACCCGACTTTACAGGGACGGTCTATTGAATTGCTTTTGAATAAAGTTTGGGTAGATGTAAGATAGAAATTTTTTTTTAATCTCCATGAACAAACGTACGACAATGGAACCTTCCCAGGCGAACGAAAACTGCATCTTCACACCAGGCGTCTGGGGGCCCTACTTTTCAGCCATGGTTCCGGGCATGTGGCTCAGCGAGGCCGGACAGAGCGCAGCTGGAGCTCTGGTGAGGCGCACCGCCTTTCTCGAGCGCGCTGCGACAATACTTGTTTGCAGCACCACCGACTGCCGAATTCTTTCGTGGGGCATTCTTGACCGCGATGTCAACTATTTCAGATCGACCATGTTCTGGCTACGCATCCTGCCTACCAAGCCGTCGTGGACAAGACGAGACCTGGGCGGTGAGTCTGGTGTGCACAAAAATGCAATGGAAGCATTAATTGTTTTCCAGCAGGGTATGGCAGGAAGCCTGACACTAATGCTTAAATGTTCACAATTAGAGTGACATGACTGTTGTAAAGGGATAGCAGAATGCAGTTTCTCAAATCATCAGGAATCAAAGAAACATAATAATAAAAAAAAAAGCCGGAGAGGAGCTACAAAAAGAATACTCTTCTGAAAACAGCTGTGCTGCTGCTGAAACATTCCGGAACTTCGTTTTTTTAGCTGTCTTTGACTTGACTTCTAGTCATTCATGACAGTCATCAGCACTGTAGTTCTTTCCTTGTTCAAGCTTTGGAGTTTTTCTCCAAGGTACACACTGGTATGCTCGAAATAATATTGGCATAGCTTGAAATGATGGTTTAAATCACTTCAAACATTTACGATTCCATTGGCCGGGGCAAACTGAAGCTGACCTACTTTTTTTGTAGACCCTGCCCGCAGTCCAACATTATATCTAGTGTTACCTATTTCGTGCTATATCGTTTTGTGGTGCTCTAACTCTGTCGAAGCTAGTTGATTGAGTCCATGCGAACTAGACGCAAGACAAGGCTGCATGCTCTCACAGCAGTGCGGGGCTGCGGCACTGGAAGCTGCGCTACCCTTGACAGTGCGGCACGAAATAGCTGATGTCGAGTACTGTAAGATGTCTGATCCGAATTCTCTGTCTCACAGTCTGTTCCATCCCTTTAAATAAACTTGGAACTTGAAAAAGTGTCCACAGAACCTATAAATTTAGTCAACAAAGTTGCAGAGACAGTGAGCTTTGTGCCGTCGTTTGCAGACGGCCGGAGGAGACGCTCAACGGCATCCTGGCCCAGATGAACGAGCGACTGGACCTTGCCTCGGTCTCGATGCTGGCCGCCGACCTGCACGTCTACCCCGACTTCCACGGCAACCGGTCGCCCCTGGCGGACCCTGGCTTACGGGGCATGGTGGGTGACGGCGTCGTTCTTTATTTAATTGCCCGCGGTCTTGTTGACAGCCGGGAATCATCTCGCATCATTCGCAGAAAGGGGTCAAAGCTAGCCACAAAGAAAAGGAAAACAAAGATGCGAGAAATTTCATACGGCGAGCAAGTTCGATCATTCCTTGCGCAGGGGGTGCGGTGCATTGGCGAGTTCCATTGTCACCTAATGGTTGTAGCAATGGCTGGCTCTCTTTTTCTGCGACTTTCGGAAGACCACCGGTTCTTTACAGGCAATAACCTTAAAAAAAATATAAGGGAACTTTTTTTTTTTGTCGGCTAACATTTACCTAAAATGGAAGCTTGGGCATGTTGGTAAGGCATGATGATCAAAATGTACATTGCACAAAGACAGAGCAGAGGAAAGACAACGCACAATTGCTGAACTTGCAACTGAAGTTTAATCGTCAAGGCACAACATTGTATTCATTGACCAACTAAGAAAAAACGCATCCCTTGATGATTAATCTTCGGTGTAAGTTCGGCGATTTTGCGTCCTCAAACTTCAGTGTAACTTCAGCGACTTTGTGTCCTCAAAGTTTAGTGTAAGTTCAGCGCTTGTATGTCCTCTTTCTTCTGTCCTGTCCTTGTGCAATGTACCTTTTAACAACTACCAGACGTGCTCCAACGAACGGAGAACTTCTGGCCGAGATGTTGTTTGCTGCCTTCTGAACAGAATAGGGCCAGCTGGGGTAAACACGTGATTGCTTCCTCTCGCCTCTTCATTTCTCTTTGATGTGCATAAAAGGACTCGTTACTTTATCATACCTCTGCCTTTCCACACAAGTGGAGGTGATTTTCTCAGCAGCATGAATTGCAAGGAAGCTTCGCTTTGTGAGAGTTGTGTCCTGTTTCCTCTGACAGGTCTGTGGCCTCAGCCTTTCTGCGGGAGAAGAGGACCTCGCACGACTCTACTTGGCCACTCTGCAGGCGCTGGCTGTAAGAATAATTTTTTTTACTCACAAATCTTAAGTAGTGCCATATTCTTCCACTGTAGATTATTCAGAAAAATCACGTAGGTTATTCGCTGTTTGCCCAAATAAAACTTATGAAAGGCCAATTCTTGAAATTTGAATTTTCAGGTATTCATCTACCCCGATGGTAGAGAAACAGGTCAGCAAACTATGTCGTGTGTTGGTGCTAGAGAAAAAAAAAAAAGCAGGGGGGTTGAATGCTGTTGAATGCCAGTTTTTAAAAACTGAAATGAAGGAATTGTAGTACAATCCTTTAGGCATGAAGTGGGCTGCACCCAAGTGCAGCCTGCTTTAATTTAAACATGGTGAACACGCAGGTACCTTGCAGGTATTCTATCATGCTAATGGTACGGCGTACTATGTACGGCTGGGTTGAGTAAACATTTTCCTTTGATCCTCTGGGGTTTTATCGTTTTATCACTAGTGCGTGGTTCTACCTAGGGCCACTGTACATGTTTGCAAGTACAGCCTCAGGGTACCGGCTAATTTGCTCCTTTGTAGGGAGCTTGGGCGCGGCCATGATCCAATTACGACGTCTTAGCAAGGCGTCGTAATCGGGTTACGGCCGCGCCCAAGCGCAGCCCAAGCAAGCAAGATGGGGAAGCCCGGAGTCCGTACTTGCATGCGCGTATATATAAGCTACGCTTCTGAGTAGCAACACCTTGGCCATCTTGGCACCTCGTTGTTGCCGATAATCTGAAGCTTTATCTGAGATAGTAGGAGACGCTTTTCTGTCCACCAGATTTGTTAAAGCAGTCTGCAACAAAGCAGAACGGCATCTCATGAGTTTTACTGCTTATCGACGCCGTATCAAAAGCTCGGATAGCTGCATTTCCGGATTGTAACGATTGCCAGTTGTGCCCATTCTGCACCAAGCGCCGAGACGGTCCCGCTCCACGAGAGAATCGAGGAACGAAGTGCCGATTGATACTCAAGGCGTGGCTTGTTCCGTGACCTGAGTTCTACGTTATCGAGATCTTTGTAGTCGTGGATGAGAGTAAGGATTGAAGGATAAAAGGTTGTGCGTGTCGTTTAATTCCCGCAGTACAGCACTCGCCACATCCTGGACGCTTTGAGCGACACGGGCCATTCCGTGTCCAGCATACTGATGTGCGGAGGGCTGTCCAAGAACCCCTTGTATGTGCAGCTTCACGCAGACGCCACGGGTAAGCTGCTTTGCCAACCTTACCTGTGAACCCATCTTCAGGAATCAGGGTAGTTTACTTTTTACTAAATATATAGCAGAAATCTTGGTGTAATACTAACAAGGCCAAATTTGTCTATGTGAATGCCAGAGTCCAACCTGTATTGGTTACCCATGTGATGAATAGTCAGTTTTTGGCCATAAGTGTGTGCGAATACCGATTTTATTTGGCTAGGGGATGCGGCATGATTTACATTACATGGGGTCATTTGATCACCAGCATAAAAAAAAATAGATTCAATATCTTCTCATGGTGTAGAAACATTCAGTGATGGCCATTTGCGCCAAATTGAGTCATGAGCGAAAGTCTGCTACATCTCATGCCAAAGTGCCATTTTTGCTAAGAATTGAGCCACGCCTGCGCCGAGATGGGCTTAAAGCAAAAAAATTAATGTTTTTATTATTGATCGACCATGTAATACTCAGAGAAGTAGAAGGAAAGAAAAAATTTACAAATATAAATTTCACAGCGTCTCTACTCACCGTATATTTTGTTTCATCTTGGGTCAGAGCACAATCGAAGGCTCAAACACATAAAACCACAAACACACATACTAAAAGCGCAAGTCTCGGAACATTCGCTACACTTGTTTGGTTTTTCCGATGAAAGAACACATACAAGGAGATGACGAATGCCGTGATGTCATGCTTTGATGCTGTGAATCAATCAACCGGAGCCGTTGATGCTGGGCATCAGCCGCTCTGGCCTGTTAATCACCAACATCGTCTAAATTTACAGATGATGTCATAAATGTCAGGAACTAAGAGTCCCGAGAAAACTTTGCAAAATAGTAGGATTGCCGATTGTGGCTACTTTGATAGTAAAACAAAACCAGGGTCTTGCACTCTTGATAAGGTCACTTGATTATCATGTCTGCCGCATGCCTTCGTTCCATGGCTGCAGAGTACCACGGCACTTGCGCCGCTGGCGTCAACCTTCACCGCTCCTCACCAGGGTGCACGTCGAGCTTCACCGTTTTGTATTGGAGTGCTAGGAGCAGCGGCTGAACTGGGAAAGTGCCTGGCTTAGAATGATAGGCACGCAAATTAAGATCAGGATTATTACAAGTCAACCCTCCTTGTCCCGAAATCCTTGCCCCTCTCTTCACAGGCTCTCGTGAAGAGAGGGGCTGCGCATATAACATGATTTTTGCTTTTTACAGCACTCTTGGCATCGGCGTTGTTCTTGGAGCCTTGCAAACCATGCATTTCTGATGTTGTTGCAATAGGATGTGTGTAGGTTTCTAAAAAATGAAGTCTCGCAAAAAACGCAGCCGTCTACTGTGTCATGGCGTCAGCATAAACAAACATGGTAGCGTCCATGGAAGAAAGCAGGCACCGGTCTAACTATGGTAGTCACGGTAGTTTCCGTGCAGCCGTCGATCGAAAGAGAAGCAAACTTTGACGTCACTCTGGTTCCTACGCCGCTAAACAGCAGTGTCGCCTTTAAAGCACGAGTGTAGGCTTTTATAATATTTTTGAGTGGTTGTTTTTGCAGTTTATGATGTTAGAGTCTCGAGTTTGGTAGGTCCATTAAACTTACGGGACAGACTTTTATTGGGAGATGCGTTAGCAGATAGGCTGGTTCTTGCTGGCATTCTACAGAAATGATATTTACAGGCTAAACAAACTAGCAAGTGTGGGAGGGGAGAGAGGGTTTATCCCAATCAAGAGTTGCACTATGAATCACTTTTTAAACATTTTTAATACCCATTGGATATGAAATCTACTCCAACTAGCCTTATTTAAGAAGACTTTGTTCACGCCCCTTCTATTTCTATCACGAACGGTAATAAGTAACATGCTCGAGTATCAAAGAGGAACCCTCAATCACTATCATAAATGAACTCATTTAGAGATGCAATCACATTTTTCATTCTTAAGTGATGCGCTAAGAGACGTTGGCATCTGCTCTATAAGGATCAGTTGCGTGCTTCAAACCAATAATTTGCCAGCTACGGAACCTGCTACAAGAGATCAAATGCCGCTTTTCTATCACTGAACATTGGACTAGTATGTTCAGTAATTAGGGAGCCCTATCTGTAATGTTTAATATAGTTGTCATGTATCCTATCACTTTGTTTTATACATATCAGAAAGTTGCTCACCTCGCTCTCTCTGCAGTGTCCGTATGAATAAATATAAAACTTGGGACTTCATTCGTGTGACATGCAAACAAATTTGTCATTCTGAGGATACCGTTGTTCATATCATCTAGTTCTGGTTCTTGCATGTGGTCGCTCGGTCTTGTACCACTTTGACTGGTTTGGCATGGCAGCCATGGCATTACAAAAGTTTGCCTTTTTTAGAGCGCAGCTCTTAGGCGCCTGTTTCTGGCTTGCGCGGCGTCGGCATAACCAAGGTCACCCCAAAGTCACGTGACCCCCAAGCTCACCCCAAGGTCACGTGACCCCCCCAAGGTCACGTGACCACCCCAAGGTCATGCCCCCCCCCCCCCCCTCCGAGGTCACGTGACCCCCTCCCCACCGACGTCAAGTGTCCCCCCCCCCCCCCCCCCCCCCCCGGAGCATATTAAAGAATGAGGGGAGGAGGAGGAGGGAGCAGGGGTATACCCTCCCCTCAGTACCCTTCCCTCCTCCTCCTCAAGAGCTGCGCTCCAATTCGGCATTACAGGGAGTTGTAAACGGCTTTCACTTTTTTTTAAGGTCCTCGGAGCTTATTTTGGCAATCACCCCTGTGCATAGTAACAGTTACAGAAATTCAGAAGAAAAGGAAATTGACTTGGAGGGGAGGAGTGAAGGAACTGGTGCATCTTTTTTAGCTTTTAGGCAAGGTATGTTGCATAAGCTACTGCCCATCATCACCAAAAATGCAGGCATTTATAATCATCCATTCATCCATCCACTGTTTCTTCCTTCATCTCCACGTCCTAAGATATCAAAACCTTGCAACCTCCAGGACTTCCTGTTCTGCTGCCCACGGAACCAGAGTCGGTCCTCCTGGGAGCAGCCATCTTGGCCGCCCACGCGGCAGGCCGCTACAACAGCGTCACGGAGGCCATGCTTCGCATGGGAGGTACCGGTACGGTGGTGCCACCCAACAAGGGGGACCGGCGGTTCCACGACGCCAAATACCAGGCCTTTCTGGCCATGCTGCAGTGCCAGCAGCAGGTGCGGGACACCATGCACGCTGGGTGCCAGTAAACCAATTATTTTTTTACGAGTAACAAGGAGAGTTGCTGGATTGTCGACATGCAGAGCTTGCACTGCTTTGCCGTGCCAGTGTCTTGGACTGCCATTCACTGTTGGGGTTAAAATTCAGTAGTCTCGTTCATGTGCGGATGTCCCCACGGCTTGGAGCTCATTGCAGTCTCGCAGTGTAGCACTGCTGTTCGGTAGTTTTGCGTAGCCTCGGGTGTTTCAACACTGCACCCATTCAGTGGCCAGCATTTTTAGAGGGGAAAGTGGGGGGCTCTAGCTTAATCCCCGCCCCCCTGGCTACGTCTCTGCGCCAAATCTGCTCCGGGTTCCAGGTGAATGCAACCAAAGCACAGCATCATGGTGAAACTTTTCCGAGCTTTGGAAACACCACCTGTGTGGGCAACCCATAAACCTACATCTAGGCACTCCAGAGTTCCGATTTCAGACAGCTGAAGCAGGCACAAAACTTTGGGTGTCTACCTCACGCTTTACAGACGCTAGAATTTTATTAGTACCTAAGTGAAACAGTTTGACACATTTGGTTATGTGGGGGGCAGTGAGGACGTCAACCACCGCCGTTGGAGAGACTAGGAGTCGTCTCGGTTCCCTGTCTCGCGTAGACTGGGAGACTCGGCCCATTCCTCTACGTGATGACCGTGGGCTCGCTGCGGCCAGTGTACCTCTGCAGCTCGGAGAGCTCCAAGGCGAGATCCACGAGCGGCTTCAGCATCACCTGCAAGGGGATTCGAAGAACCCTATTATACTCCGTTTCACTTTACGGTAGACCGCGGCGGAAGCTGCATTTCTCGTAAATCCTACTGCAAAAAAATGCCGTGCTACAATGTTTTGGAGAGGGGAAACTGGTGCACCTGCGCATCGAGTTTGCACTTCTCCGGGTCGGCTTCGTAGCTGTCCACGTAGAGGCGTACCGTGGCACCGCTGCTCCCCGTGCCGCTCAGGCGGAAAACAATGCGGGACCCGTCTTGGAAGACGATACGGATTCCCTGCACAAAGAGGGACAGTTGGAGCGCGACGGTATACTAACTCGTGCTTGGACGCTGTGGCTATTGCTTTCCACCGTCTATCACTTTATGCCCAAGTATATTAAATGTTTTACCATAGTGGCATTTCGGAAAAAGCAAAGAAACAATTTTTTTTCTTGATGTAAAATAACTTCGTTTTCTAACTTCTTTTAACGGGATACAGTGAAATCTCCTTAATTTTCATTTCATTTTTTTAAATTTAATTTTATTACCTCAAAGGCACTCGACTTGCGAGCGCATTACATGAGGGGGGAAATTCATAATATACAATTAGAACTTCAAAACAGTATTTTCGCGCATATACTATTTACATCTTAGAATAACACGTACAAAAATGCACTGGGGAAACTTGCACACAAAAGAGCAGGAAAAAGAACACATACGTGATATAGCACTGCAATTTCATATATTGCGACATAATTGAATGGGTGTAAACAAAAGTTAACGCAAAAAAAGATCAAGATGAAAATGCACAAATATACAACAGCGTGCAAGGCAAATAAATGTCAAGGTAGAGACCGCTTACTAACTGCTCATTCCAAGGTACTGTTCACATTTTAATTAATATGCTGCTAGGTTAGTCTCTGATACTACTTCGTATCCCATATCGTTCCAATCTCTAATGCACATGACAACAGGCGATGAGGAAAATAATAGTGTGCGTGATTTGGGCGGCTGAATCTTGAGTTGGTGATCCGTTCTGGGTGATATATAGGAGGGCGGTTTGCAGTAAGTTTGCCTAAAAGTTGATGTGCTATTGTGCTAACCCGAGGGGACCAAAACTTTGTTTGAACAATGCAAAGTTTGAATTACCGGGAGTTTCCTTTTTAGAGACAGATAGGATGGGACCTGCATGGTAGTTTGAATTATCCAAGAGTTTGAATTAACGAGATTCCACTGTAACAGCTATGGGAAAGGAACAACCTATCGGTATCTACCTGACATCACATACAGATGACTGGGTATAAGTACCAGAAATGACTGTCCAACAAGCAGATTCTAGTGAATGAGAATGAAGTTTCGCATCAGTATCCGCCACGAAATTATGTAGATGGGTAAACGGATGTCTGGCGTAATCACTTGCATCCCTGTGACGGCGTACCTGCCCCTTGGCAACGCTGCCGTCCACTGGATCGGTGTAGGCGAAGTTGTCCGCTTCTTTCACGACGTACGTCTTCCCGCCAGAGGAGAACTGTTGGCCCACGAAGCCCGGGCTCGTGGCCTTCTGCTCGAGGGCCGCCATCATGTCGTCAGAGGGCTGGCTCTCGCAGCCTTCGTAGTCGTAGCGCGTGAAGAAGTTGCGGCCGTAGCTCTTCCAGTGGGCTTCCAACAGCTCCTGTACCCCGAGACCGGTGTGGGCCATCACAGACAACCAGGCCAGGCAGGCCCAGACCCCGTCTTTCTCCCTGAAACGGAGAAGAGTAGTGGTGCGGGCTGTTTTCGAGACACGCCAGAAAGTCCCACAAGTGCTGCGTGATGCGAGATCTGTTTCTGACTTTGTTTCTTGTCCGACTTGTTATATTTTGGGCGGCACCCGCCAACTTCATGTTTACTGGGTCATACAATTATGAATGCACTGCTCACAAGAGACTTTGTGGTGTCTGCCACAGGTATTGTCTATAGTCTGTAGCAAGGAAAAGTGGGACAAGCTCCTTCCACAAAACCCTCCACTCTTTACACTTTAGCGGAGAGGGGGAAACCGCCAATTATGGCGAGCAGAGAGCATTGTAAGAGGAACTTGTCCTGCTATTCTGAACCTGCGACCGACCATGCCACAGGTGGTGTCGTCCACCAGAGGTGGTAACATCTGCCGCACATAGTGGCGTCTGCTACATGTAGTATCATTTGTAATGCTATCTATGGCAGACTGCTGTCTGCCATAGATAGCGTCACCTGCTACAGGTAGAGTCGTCTGCTTCGCCTACAAACAACTCGCCTGTACAGCGAGATTATTTCGCCCTGTTGTAGCATTCCAAATCTTGCGACTTCGAAGAACACGGGGCCCAACCAACAGGCTCACCGTATGTGGTCGGAGCCCGTGCCAAAGCTCTCCTCGCCGCACAGGGACAGCTTCCCCGCGTCCATGAGGTTGCCGAAGTACTTCCAGCCAGTGGGCACCTCGAACATGGCCAGGCCCTTCTTCTCGGCCACCCGGTCTACGGCACCGGCCGTGGGCATGCTGCGCGCCAGGCCCCGGACGCCCGTGCGCCGGAAGTAGGGGATGCACTCCAGGTTGTCTGCCAGGACTGCCAGCGAGTCCGATGGAGTCACGAAGAACGCCTTCTTCCCCAAAATCATGTTGCGGTCCTGCGGTGCGAGACACCCCTTGCACATTCCCTCCGGAAACGAAGACAAAAGATACCGTCGGACTGCTCATATATCATTTAAGGGACGTTTGTTGCAGGCACAATGACAAAATTACCCAAGCCTCAACCATGTTGGAAGCATGTTAGCTCCATGTATGCTTCGAACATGTCTGCAGACTGCTTTTGTACGACCAACGAGACGGGACTGCCATGCAAGGAAGAAGCATGTCTCGAGCTGTGTTGCAGGTTGTCTCTTGTATTACATATTAGCAGTGGGGCTACAGGTAAGTCGCACTCCCCCGTGCATATAGGTCGCACCTTTGTATCAGCTACGCTTTCATATTTCTACGGTCGGCATGGCGAAACTATATTGATAATTCCAGGGTATGTGTATTGCGATCGTGATAAATGCCCAGGCGAAAGCCGGGAGCCAGTTTCAACATTCTCGTTAATGAATTGAACGAGAGAACAAGATATGCATACCTCTGTATAAAACAGAGCAAAAAAAGTTTGTAAAAAAAAACAAAAGAAAAGCGATTTATCCACCTTCAGTCTAGTCACACGCTGCACGTAAGTGTTCCAGATCTACTCGATAGATGGCGCCGGCAGTTACAAGGGACCAGAGCCGTATACTGGGAGAGTCTGGCCAGTAGGTGGCGACGAAGGCGCTGGAGAGGAAGAGTGAAGGAAAAGGAGGAGACGCCGAAGGAGCGAGAGAGGAAGGAGGGAGCAAAGAGGAAACGACCGCCAATTTGACGCAACACGCTTTCGGCGCAGAGCACTGTTGAGGCTATGCGTCGTCTGAATAAAAGTTTGCAGTCAAATGTTGAGAAAACTCGCTTGTTTGCTTTTTAACCCAGCGAGGAACAACACTATATCATTTTGCTGCTAAGGAAGCGAAATTTGGATGTCTATCTCGTGCATTCTACTGGGCAAAGGAATGAAAATGGCAGCCATCCCTGCACAGCTGGGAACAGCTGGGAGTTCACGCGCAAGCACTCGCGCCTTTCGCTTTGCGCCATGGGCTGATTGGCTCACTCAGGAGGGGAGGTTTTACGGCAGCGAGATCATAAACCGGCCAAACTTTCCCAATAATACGGCTCTGCAAGGGACCAGAACGCACTTGGCACGGTCAAACACGAATGTGTGAACCAATCTTAATGTATTTAGACCAGCTTTTCTCGCGAAGTGCCGCTGAAATTTGCGAGAGATCTTCGGCTGCTGTTGGTCTTGCATCCCAACTTGAGAACATGCCAAGGACAATAGGGACATTCGAAACGTTTCCACACGCACCTCGGACTTCGGGATTCAGCTTATCAAACTAGCGCCGCTCGGTATCTATCCCGGACAAGTGCAGCTCAAGCTCGTAAGAGTGGCGAGAAAGTTGCCCAAGAAAACAACAGTGCACATGAGCAAGCGATCATGTGTCGGTGTACAGCATATACATGTTCCTCTTTGTTGATTGCTCTGTCCTTTCCGGTTACTGTTAGCACGACTCCTGTTGGAAAAAATGCCAACTTCGTAAAATCTACATACTATAAAATACCAGGAATGAAATTTAAAATGAATGCCAAACAGCCTTTCAAATGTCTGGCACCACTTCTTTGCCACCGCTTCATTGAGACGACAATTGGCATGCATTTATCTCCATTTTCCTGTATATAAGGCCAACTAGAAACCCTGTTTGAAGTACCTTGCAGTGCAAAGAGTGGAGCACTGGGTGCAAAGAGAGGAGCACTCTTTGCACTGCTACGTTCAAAAGTGAACGCAACAGAACCTACAAGAGTGAGCTCTGTGCTATCGGCATCTGAGCCAAGCACACACACTCGCGCAATATAAGTATCGTTCGAGGCAACATGCTCATGCTTGAAGCTTCGGTTTCGTCTCACATAAAGTGAAACAAACTACAGCACGACCTTGCGTTTTGTCATTTCCTTAGCCACCGCACTCGCCGCAGCATGCTTGTGTAGCTACCTACTGTGTACTACGCGAAAAGGTAGTGGTATTAGTGTCGGCACCCCGGGAACTGCTTTCCTCTTCGTAGTCTTCATGAGGGTCAAAGAGTACTTCCCCCATCTCCGTCGAATGCAGCACCAAAGTCGAAGACGCCCAAGGACATCACGTCCACGAGCTCTTTTGCGTAGGTCAGGTTTGGGTCTGGATGTCCGCCTCCAAAGTCTTCCAGCGGAACCCGGTTGCGGATGTCTCCCAACTGAGCTCCCAGCTCCTCGGCGAGGATCCGCTGACAGTACGGACCGGTCACCCCGTGGAGGCAGTTGACAAGAATGCGCAGTGCAGGACGCTTGGACGAGCCCTGCGTAGGAAGGGAGGGGCTGTATCAGCTTATGTGGTACTTTCATCCAAAACCACTAGGAGAAAGCTCAAGGTGCAGCTAAACTGGTATTCAGCACAATACATTCCGCATCAAAATGGCATCCAGCGCGAGTTTCTGTTGCTATTCAGATTTGGTGAACAGTTCAGCCACTTGTGGTGAACCTGCTCAAACTACGATATTTACTCGCATAATGAACGTACTCGCATAATGAACGACCCCCCACAACGTATTCTGACTTTTTTTTGTTTTCTTGCGTAATGAACACACTTTTAATTTTCGACTCGTGAGTCTTGAAGTCATTTTTCTTTTGCCGCCAAACGGCCAGGCCAAGTCAAGCCGAGCCAAGCTGCTCTTGTAATGGTTGCAATTGTGTGGTTGCGGAAGTAATGAACCGCGAAACCGAGCAGCACGCACGCCTGGCGAAGCTGGGGTCGACGAATTGCCCAGCCCCGGACGTGCTTCGTCCATTGGATCCTTTGATGTCAACAAACGCGCCGTCGTTTGTGATCCGCTTTCGGACAGTGATTTTGGGAAAGTAGTTAGGCCTAAGAACGGTTGCGTCACTCTCCATGCTGAATGAGCTTCGTGGGGCGCTTTTTCTTTGGCAAAAGGCACGCCAAAAGCGATTTAGAAAAGGTTCGCAAGTTTATAGAGCATGGTTACTGTGGCTTGCCCATGTCGAGCCATGGGTGCGCCTCTGTCAGTGGAGACGTGCCACAATACCCTGCCATGTCATATTGGCACCTAAAATGACATTCGTGCAAAGTCTGTAAATGCAAAACTTTTACCCTGCGTAATGAACGCATCCCTTGCACATATGTCCCAATTTAAAAAAAAAAAAAAAGTGTGTTCATTATGCGAGTAAATACGGTACTATAGCCGGACACAAGTTAAAAAAACACTGACACCCCACAAAAACTTTTTTTTATTTAATTACTTGCTCGGCAATTTACTATGGCGTCAGTCAACAATCAATATTTTGCGACAGCATCACATATATTTCTAAGAAAAACAAAAAAACAACTGCTTGAAATTGGACTGGGGAGGAAAAGAAATATAGAGAAGGAAAATGTTAAAAATCACATGGCTGTGCAACTTTTTTTTCAATCAACGTATTTGCAGCTTTTTAGAAGCCACAAAAAATGGATATCATATTTTGTTTCTATTCTTAATATTGAGTGTGTGCCTTTGATGACCCACGACTTTGATTATCTTTGATGGTTGTGTCTAAGCCATAGAAAATGATACATAACCCCTGAGAAGACAGTGAACACGACTCGAACCGGCCAGTTTTCAATCAACGGTTTTTGGGCAGAAAAAAAAAAAAAAAATTTGAGCCGCAAAGTGTGTTCTTTGTAGTTGGGCTCTCATATGTGCTAGAGACTGAGCTTCTGGCACATTCATAACCTCTGTCTAATTTTAATTAGACAGAGGTTATGAACACGAATCTGGATGCACCAAGATCAAAGGAGCGGCAAATGGCCAGCTTTCGGTGTTTTTCTCCGCCAAAACTCACAAAGAAGGCATTCCTTTTCGGGCCATAGTCTCCGAGAGGACAACGTGGCAAGCATGCGTTTCAAGGTTTTTGGCACAACATATCTCAAATATACACATACTGGATGAAGCCTTTAAAGTGGCCACATAAATCAGCTTAATAACGTACCACGCTGCAATTTACCACAGAGGTCCCCGAAGCTGGTGGTAGCATCGCACCAAAATTTCAGAAAACAAATATATCTGAGTAAAAAGTAAAAAAACGAACTTTTCCTACCTATGGCGCCTGTCTGCTATCCATGCACCCTCTGACCCGTGTAACAACCGACAGATGGCGGCGACTGCCCCGCCTCAAGCTTACCGCCCGCTGATGCCAAAAGCAGACAATGTTTCTGAATCAAAAACAACACGCACTGAATAAAACATCAACTGGAAACAAAACGAATGAAACCGACGGTTCATAATTTCAGCTACACATAGTCTGCTTTTGGTGCGACCAGGCGATACGCTTGATCCGAGGCCGCTGCCGCCGTCTATCGGTTGTTGTGCCAGTCAGAAGGTGTGTGGATAGCAGACGAGCACCCTAGGTAGAGAAAATCGGGTATCGTTGTTTTTTGTTTTTTTTTACTTTTTACTCGGGCAAGTTTGTTCTTTGAAATTTTTATACGATGCTTCCACCACCTTCGGGCACCTCTGTGGTAGCGCGATAAGTTACCAAGCCAATTTATTCGGTCAGTTTAAAGGCTTCATCTGGATTCATGGGCACGCTTTAGCACTGCCGCTGCTTCAACCGTATTTCAATGTTGCGAAACCGTCGTCACGAAGGAGATTGATCCTTGCTTTCTTTGCCTTGTTCTTGTCGGCAATATTGACTTCTTGTTCCTCATTATGCTAATGGTGGAGTGCTTATCTGATTTTTTTTTTTTTTATGTTTGTGAGCAACAAGTGTTACAACAGTAACCTATCCAAGTCTGGAACTGAATGGTGATGCTAAATCGAGGTATTTTCAGAGGAGAGGGGGGGGGGGGGGGGGGGGGGGGGGGGGCAGCATATCATAGGCTTAGGAACCCCCCCCCCCCCCCCCCCCCATTTACCCGGTCATAAATAATTACACATGCAGAATTCAAGAGGGGGCCAGGAAAATCAACCCCCCCCCCCCCCTCACCCCCCTCTGAATCCACCACTGACTACTGTAAGGTTTGAATCTACGGACCGATTGATCCCATGGCTGTGATCTGAAGCCATCACTGACTATGATTTGCTGCGGCTCATGCCCTAATAAAGTCGGAGCAGACGGAATTATTATGTTCGATTTGCTGCAACAGGGATAATATACACAAACAAGAAACCGACCTGCCTCTGTCTTCTGAAGCATTCTAGCCAAGACATTAGCCCTTTGGCTAGTGTCTTGGCTAGCGTCTTGGCTCACAAGAATGGTTTAAAGTATCAAAGCATCAGCTCTGATATCGATTCTCGTCAGTTCCATCATGAGGCTTCTAGGCACAAAAGTGGCTGGTCATCTGGCACTTTCTAAAGTTGCTTTGAGAAACGCTCTCTCTCGTCGCGGAGACCTACTCACCTTAATCAGACGACGGAGGGCGTCAAAGTCGAAGATCTCCTTCATGAAATCAAGATAGTCCTGAACAGAGTCCACGACCTCCACCGTGAAGGTACGCCCTTCACAATCGAAGGTCTGTGTGCCGAGCTGCCCCAGGTTGGGGTTGATGTCTGGGCAGAGGCTGTACTGCGAAATCTTCTTGGTCAGCTCGTAGATGGCATTGGTCACGCTGTCCGGAGCCGGCCCTGCACAGAATCAAACCATCTTCAATCAACACGCCCATCCCCACTGTATTCGCTAAGGCAAATTTGGAGCACGGTGTAAGATATATATATGTGTGTGGACACAGCACGCGTCGCAGACTCTAGATAAAGTCCTCTCCTTGCCTGGGTTGCAAACGGTGCCACCAGATGACTCTTCCATAAGCGGCTGATATGGTTTGTCGCTGGCCCAGTTTTCCACGCTTCTCTGCGGGAGACACGCTTGTTTTTAAACTCATTTTCTGGGCGTGCCGCATCATGTAAAAGTTGGCACTTGCACTATGTGAGTTTCTGCGTCATTGACCCTAGATTCGTGTTGACAAGAACCGTTCTATAAATGCATTGGAGCAGTGATATCTCTGGTGTGGTGTACAAGCCAGCATCCGTCGAGGTTGAGACGCTCCAAGTGGAATGTGCATATGCCAGGGTGCCATGACAATGAGACACTGATGTCTGAATAGACTACACTGCAGGTCAGGAGGCCATAGGACTAATTATCAGGTCGATTGCGTCACAGCGTTTGCCATGCTGTGTGTCCTCACCGACGTCACCAGTCGGCTACCAACCTGTGCTGTGTAATCTATACCTATCTGAACACTAAATTGCTAGCAGTCTCAGAGTACCTTCCCTCGGCCTCTGTAACCTATCTGCTTCTTCGTCTGGAGTGTAAACATAAGGTGCTGGAGAAGCCTACCTCCGTTGCCAGTGTTGAATTTGATACCAAAGTCCGCATCGATGCCTCCTGGGTTGTGGCTTGCGGTGAGCACGATTCCACCCAAGGCCTCTCGTTTGCGTATTATGCAGGACACTGCAGGCGTTGAAAAGATGCCATTCTGCCCAACGATGACGTGCTTCACCTGCATAATTGTCCACAAGGGCCACTTTTATTTTGATCCTTTTCGACAGCTAGCACGTGAAAAAATGTATACGAGTGGGTCAGGAGGCATTAAAGAATGTAGAAAATTTTAAGTAGCAGAAAAGTTGTGTGACTGTGAAGTGTGTCACTTCTATATTAAATTCAATTATAGTTTCTTGGCAACAGAGAGCATTCAATCCAGTAGGCTAGGCTGCTGCGAAAATACAATAGAGCTCGTGGTATACATGGTTTGCACATGACGTAGAGCGCTTCGATGACTACCAGAGAAGAGAGGAAGAAGGAGTTCCCCTCTTACTAGGACCCTCTTTTGTGTCTCCCAGATTAACCCGACGCTCAAAATTCCTACAAAAGCAGCTTCCCTCTTTCTTTCTTTCGTGGTGGTCAAAAGTACGCGATCTGTTGTCAATGCAAGCCATGTGTTGTAAATGTTAGCTTACAAAAAGGAGGTGGGGCTTTACATTTATCGCGCTTGAGCTGTTTTATGTTTGGAACAGTTCTGATCGGCCCTGCACCAACGCTGCCCAGCGCACAATCCAGGAATGTTCTGATTCTGACAACTTTCGTCAGTTGAATGTTCCTATGAACAAACAAGCATACACGCGCCAGCATAGATTAACTCAAAGGTGCACATCTAGACTGATAAGGCCACGTCGATCAAAACATAACGCTGCAATGATACAAGTACCTTATTTGCGGCGGCAATCTGTATGATTTTCTTGGCCGCTTCCTTGACAAAGTGCCTGCCGTCTCCGCCGACCACCAAGGTGCAGCCTTCAAGCTGAGGCCCGACGGAATCCAAGATGCACTGGACGAAGTTCTCCGTGTAATTGGGCTGCAGAAACGTCTTGGTGGACTTCCGAAGTCCGCTGGTGCCGGGCTTTTGGCCCTCGTACGGCTGGGTTTCGATTACCGTCATCTTGGAAGATCTTAGCAGACGCGATCCGAAAGTGCGCCTAGCAGACGCTCTTTGACCTAGGGGTCATTCAGAGAGGACGTCTTGGGACGAAAACAAACACGGAGATCGGGAATGTCGAGGGTCGAGGGGGAAAACTGGAGTTAAAGTAATAGAACTGGACAAAAATAAAGCAAGAATTGGACTAGAGGTCACGCCACCTAGATCAGATGGTTGGCGTTGTGTCACGGCTGTGCGTTGTTTCGGTTTGGTTTTCGCGCACTTCGACTCATTTCGATAGAGAACTTACCGCGGAGGTTCGGTGCGTATGATCCTGCGCAGTCATCCTTGTTTCGCTAGAACTTGTTTCCCTAGCACTGCGACCTCATGCCTGAATTCAGTTATTCCATGCCTAGCATTTTTTTTTTTATTTCTTTATTTTTGTGCGCGTGCCAATAAATAGTTTAATCACTGAATTATATTATTATTGCCGTGGGCACGTTTCACCCATCTGATATGCCACGATATTGTTTTATTATCTAAATGCCACTATAAGGTACACATTAAAACTCTCGGGAGAGTTTAGCGTGTATTTACGCTTAAAAGACCTCACAACGAAAAATTCTTCAGCCGCCGATGACGCGTTTGCGCGGAGACATTAACAAATCTCCCGTTTGAGACTTTTCGGAAAATAAAGAGGCTGTGACGAATCAGCCGAAAATCAAATCAAGAGGACTCATGATTCAAATTGTACGCGATTCGTTATATGAGGTCATCGCTATATACCGAAGTCTAGGTGGGCCCGGGTATTCGTCCGCTACTGGACTCGAGGGTCTCGAGCATCGGGCGTGGGTCGTCAGGGCACTCGAGCGAACAGAAGGGCCCTTAGGGGGGTGACCCGTACCCTTATCAACTGGGCAGATGGTCACCGTTCCCAAGCACCGTGCGAGGACGGAAGGGCTCGAGTGGCGCGGTCTTCGAGGGCGTCCATAAAAGCGGGACACGCGGTTCAAACCCAGGGAGAGAGAATCATGCGGCGTTTCCAGCTCGGCTGTCGGCGGCGCCAACCGCGTGAACACAAGCGTGATACCGTGCTTGGCTGAACTCGGGCATTATGCTAGTGTTCGCGGGGCTGGTTGCGCCTGGACTCACACATGCGAGTGTTCGCGCGCGCGAGCACCGCCGGACTAGGGATTTTGAAGGTACGTCAATCTGTTTGCCAATTTTATTACAACATGATCGCGTTTTTTTTTTTTTTCTCTCCCAAACTTATTGTTACATTTGTCCGTTGGTTTCAGTTCGACTTCTGCAAGATCTGCCCTAATCAAATGAATGAAGTCCTTGCTCACATTTTGTTTTCGTGCTCTGCTTGTGGAGCTATTTATGAAGATTGTTAATAGTATTAATAACATGCGAGACTCTTTGATGAACCAGTGAGTCACGGAAAGAATATCAAACGTGAAAATCGTCCACATAAAAGAAAGGTAGATGAGTGGCAACAAAACAAGACTTCAAACTAAACATTAAGTTACCGTAAAATATTGAGAGATGCCCCACCCCCGAAAAATAGCCCACCCCTATTTTTGGCTAGATTTGCTATAGCTTTTTAAACACCAACAGATAGCCCACTCCTAGTAATAGTAGTGTTGGGATCAATGATAGCCTCGGCATAAATGCGGCTAGTTATCTATGGTGGGATATAAGCGAACGTTGCTGGCTGCAAGGTACAATCACCTTTGCTTCGTTGCCCCTCGCCACCATAACAAGCTTGGAAGGAACAAAACCTAAAACTAGCAGTTTTTTAAAACTTTTCTTGATTGCACACCAAAAGTTAGCCCACTCCACATTATCACTTGATTTTCTCTTGATGTTAGGCGGGCTGTTTAGGGATTTTATGGTAATTCGAAATGCAGGTTAGGTGCTCATACGAAAATATCCTCCGTCATGCCACAAAAAAGAGTACCTTATCTCGACCTTCCAGACTGCAACGACATCACAAAGGCTCCAGCCACTTGTTTTTCTTTTTTTTTATAAAGTGCAACAAACATAACAGTGGAGACACAGTCACCAAAGCATCACCACTTGTTTTAGTTCCATAGCACTTCCACGTTGACCAAGATGGACGAGAGGATCAAGTCTTTAGAACACAAATGGCAGTGAGGTCAACTCAGAACTTGTCTTGCGAGGCACTGCTGCCATGATTGAAGCAGGCGTGGTACATCACGGGAGCGGGCTCATTGAGATGCAGTCTGTTTGCCCGGCGCTCGTTTTGCACGTTTTCTCTTCTTCTGTTTTTCCAGACTGGCATCCGAGATGGGGTCCCTCTGAGCTACGCTCTGCTGACTCTGCCTCTGCCGCCGCCTGCAAGCAACAAACCGAGGGCGAGGTTTTACAAAATGCCAGGCGAAAGTGGTGCAAATTAAACACCCCATGCCGGAGGGCAAAAGTGTCTTGCCGCGCACAGCGGCAAGACACTTTTGCGCGTAACCCTGCCCAAATCAATCAAACAGCAAGCCGGGGTCTCCCCGAATTGAAATTACGGGGGGTGTCTAAATTTTTAGGGGGGGGGGGGGGGGGGGGGGCATTGAGAATTGAGGAGTCGTTGAGAATAAAGGGGGTGCGTTCAGAAATACAAGGGGGGGGGGGGGGGGGGGTGTAGGGAAATTACTCCAACAAACTGCTTAACCAAGTCAGAATAAGTCTGTCGTACTCATTTGCGTCTGGTTGACTACAAATTTGGTTTACATTGTGTCAGATACGCAAGATGTGACTACGTATACGTGTTTATGACAGTTATCAACTTATCATATGTATTTCAATATGTAGGAAACCTTACTAACAGAGTAAGGGAACAAAAAGAAAAGACAAACCAAGTACATGTTTTGTGTGACAGGGCAGAAGCATAGAAGAGGGATGCAATGTTACTGACTGATGCCGGACCAGTACTACATAGATATCGGTCTGGACTCCACGGCGTTTGTTTTCAGTGGAACACCAGTAAACCCAGTTCCATTACATGCCAATGCAGTCAGTGTGTACGTTGGGCTGACATCTGCCTGAGGTGTAAGTTATATATATCGGGCCAGCTTATAACGTTGCTCGGCGCAAGACCAACTAGACCGGTTACTCAAACTAATAAAAACTGAGCACATTGCAGTGGAATCCTACTGCTAACACCTTTCTACTGGCAGTTCAGATCTGTGTGCATGTTAGTACAATATCAACCCTTTTACCATAAAACACAGAGCAAGCCCCCATCCAAAAGTTGAAGATAATCACAAGAAAAAAAAAAGGGTGATGGGGGCTTGTTAGGTTTGAGAACAGAAAAGCAGGAGGGGCACATGGTAGAAGGGGCCCTTGTCCGGTCCGATAGACCGCAATAGCGGTAGAGCGGTCTGGTGGAACCCCCAATTTTCAAAGCAGTCGCAGCAATATACTCTTGTCAAGCCTGCTTCGTGCTGGTGCTTTCACGTAAAGCTTCACCACTTTGCACTAGCTTCTCAGAGAAGCAGCTGATGTGGAGGAACACATCAGTCAGCTGAGTAGACTGAGAAGTTTGCTGAGGTGGGCACTTGATATGTCCTTAGCTGATATTGTCATGGAAGGAAAAGATTCGACCAGCGTAAAACTGAAAATAAAGGTTCAGTCGGCGAACTTGTGCTGAAAACAAAAGAAAGAATGAGCGTCGAGAAAGCAGCAGCAAGTGTCAAAAGCGGCAGCAGCGATCATCGAGGCGTCGGCGTGTGTTGGTTGGCCAACACCAGAGAGCGAAAGTGGGTTTGCGAGGCCACGCTGGGTTCTTTATCTACTATGTACACTCGGTATCTCAAACATTCCCAGAATGGTCTAGCATCAAAACTTTTGGGCTAAGAGTAAATGCGAATCTTTTAGAAATACAAAGAAGGAATTAATAAAGTGATGTCCGGCGCACCTCGGCTTCGCACGCGGCAATATTTAGAATGCTTCAAAAGTAGAAGTGGGCACCTGCTCGGTGTTTTACAGTATATACGTTGCGTGCATCAGGCTGGCTTGCAATACTTTACTCGGTAAGAGACGAAGTGGCTTAGTTAGTCTAACTAACAACGGAGAAAGCGCCGCTTACTTTGGCTTGCTTCCAAGTAAGTAGTCAGGCAGCGGCTGGCCAGATTCCCTCAGCAGCTGCACAATGCTTCGGAGGCGTCCTTCCAAGACGTCGTCTTCGGTGAAGAAGGTGATGGCGCGGCCCCTGTGGCCGGCCCGTCCCGTGCGCCCTGTCGGAGAAATCGGGGTCTCTCAGCGCACTGGGTCTCTATTGGATACATAAATAAGAATAAATACTCGAATAAATTAAAAATAAATATTTCAACTGAGGGGCCAGATGAAAGAATGCAATATCTATGTTTACTACACTACGCCTTGGCATTTCAGGGGGTGGCTTAGACCCCCCTAATGAGCCCCCTGCCTTCGCCACTGTCCAGACCGTTCCAACAAAGACCTTTAGGAAGGCGCCATCTTGAAAGTTTGTGCGTATGGCACGTGTTTTCCTCACTTTCAAAAGACACAAGCCCATGCATGTCTGTGGATTTGTGTACATCAGAATGGTGTATACAAGCCAAAGTTTTATTCAGAAATCGTGCCACCTACCGCTCCGGGCGAGCGCTTTTCCCTTAGCACGTGGATGCACTGCAGCAAAGCACGACAAGCGAAATCGCGATGCCTATTTTATGGTTGCCACTTCTCAGCAGTACACCAGTGCGCGCTGAGAAGTGCACTCAACAAAGCTAACTAACCCGCCTGAATAGACCACAAACATGAGAATTATTGCAAAACTTCTGAGTACTATAAATCTTTGACAAGAAATGCAATCGAATAGTGCATTATTTGAGGCGATATAGAAAAGTTCTGAAAATTCAAATAACCCTATCATAACGATTCGGCCGGGTAGCGAGGCCTGAGCTATTATATCTTCAGTATTAATTAAAGTGAAATTAAGTTTAAGTGCAATGTTGGCACAAATTCCTCACATTATGATAGGATGTAGCAGGGTAACCACTTTGGTGCAGTTTGGTGCAAATGGCGCAGCAATCGTATCACTGCACGTGTGCCGTCTGCTTTCGAAGATATGTTGCACCACCCTTCGATAGCAATATCAAACCCGACTATCGGGCCGATTCGGTCATCTGCATCAGCATCCATCATTCAAATATTTAACCACGCATTCTTAACTTTTTACAAAAATAGAGCTACGCCTTGAAGCTTCACTAAGAAAAACCCAGCACCAAACCTCATTTTTGAAGAAAATTAAATTTCTAATAACACTATAATTATTTCAAACTGAAAGCAACCTCCAAGAAAACAGAAATTTGCCACTATACTTCACCTCAAGTGTTTTATGCGGCATGGCAGTGAGCGACAGGTACAGACATGTATCCTTGGAAAGGATTTTAGCTGTAGAAAGCTCATGTAGACAAAGTATTCAGCAGCACCACACAAAGCTTATGGCATGGCGTCTTATATTTCTGTTGCACAGGAACCACACGGTCAGTACAATGCAATCACTAAGCTGAAACTGCAGGGTAGCAAGCCTGTTAAACCACGCTAGTACATAGTGCATTAATCAACTGAGTTGAAACTGGCATGCGTCAGAATCAATCTCGCAACCTTGGGATCTCAAGCTGAACGTTTACACTGACATCCCAAAACTTATTTTTTATTTTTTGCCAGGCGATTCATTATGGTGTCAGACGACTACCCAGTCAATATTTTGCTACAGCGTCACATATATTTTTAATAAAGCATAAAAATGCAACTGCTCGAAACCCTGGGGAGGAAGAAGAAATATAGAGGAGAAGGGGGTTGGCGGAAGTCACGTAACTGTGCAGCTTTTTTGTCTTCTACCAACATATTTGCAGCTTTTTAGAAGCCACAAAAAATGGGTATCATGTTTCGTTTCTATTCTTAACCCTTTGCAGTCATGTGTCGGGCCAGGCCCAACATCGGAGAAACCCCTTCCGGTCAGGTGTCAGGCGTCGCCCGACAAGTGTTTCCGCGTCCTTTTTGAACATGCTCCTTCGCTCCTTTTGCTGGATTGGTGGCGCCATCTCTTGGAAAACACTTCAATCACATCACTCTTGAAAGGGTTCGAGTTTCTTCTCATAGAGGGCAGGACTAGTCATAAAGAAAAAAACAAAAGACATGTTTTATGTTGTATTTTTTTTTGTGCAACGGAGGAGCGCGCAAATTTCAACTTCGCTGGCACGATGGTTATAGCCACGTTCCAGTCACGCTCGTTTTATGTAACTCTCTGCGTGATGCAATTGAAAGAGACGACGATTTCAGTGAAGAGGACGACTATATCCCTCCATTAGATGATGGAGAGGCGACCTCTGTGATTTGAGTGAAAGTAGTGATGAATATGAAAAGACTGCGCAAGACAGCGGCCGCAAAGCCACTCCGCCACAAATTTCGTTCCGGAGTTTGTACACAAACAATCTCCCGGACTTTCCTGTCCTTACATTCAGTGTGAGACGTTGCCTTTGTACGCTGAAATAATTTTACTTTTCTGGGGCCCATGCATCCAAAATAGTTCCTGACCGGAATGACCATTAAGTTGGTCAGAGTATCTGACCGCAAAGGGTTAATATTGTGTGCGTGCCTTCGATGACCAACGACTTTGATTACATTTGGTAGTTGTGTCTAAACTACAGAAAATGGCTCGTGACCACGGAGAAGAGAGTGAGCGTGACTCAAACTGGCCAATTCTCAATCGGCGGTTTTCGGGCGGAAGGAAAATGAATTTCGAGCCGCGAATAGTTTTCTGGGTAGTTGGGCTCATATATGTCATGTACAAATAAAAACCTTGGCGAGTATAAACACCCTGTCAGTGTCCCTTTAAAAAGATACTACAACGAAATTTCAGTGCTTATTTTTGGTCTATCTGTGTTCAAAGGAGCAGTATCACATTGGACACACCAATTACCTGTTAAAAAAGACACAAAAAAGAAATTTAAAATGAATTAAACGATTAGCGAAGAGCACCTGGTGGATGTTGTTAACGCCTTGTTTGTAATGCCCGTCTGGGAACCTTGACAGGTAGTGACGATAACTGTTTCACCTCCGGCCACCATGAGAGAAGGGGGGAACGAGGAACTCCCCTCTCTCCAGGAATCTCTTTTACGTGTCCCAGAAGTCGTTATTGTCCCTCTACAAGATTATAGAAGATTAACCTACCACTCAAAATTCGCCCAAAAGCAGCCGCTTCGGTGGCTGGAATGACTACGACATCAGCTCGACGTCAGCCTCGCCACGGCTTTGCTCGTCCCGAGACTAACTACGTCATGACTGTGGCAGATGTCACGTGATCTCCGCTGACTGCTTTCCGAGCGCTTGCCAGAGTGGGCCGTTTATAACGAAAAATACAGCCACCAGGTTCAAAATACAAATGTGTGATTGTCATTTACGAATATTGTGGACCATATTCAACCTATTTTTAAACACAACAGTATATTTCAAATTTCGTTGAAGTATCCCTTTAAATGAACTCAAACCACGGAGAGAGCTTGCACTTCAATGGCAGACACTTTCTGCAAAAATTGGATGCATGTGTGCATGCATGCACTGTCAGGATGTATGTTTTATATGAAAATCGCAAAAAAAAGAAAAGAAAAGGGGACAAAAATGAAAACATGCCCAACAGACAAGCACTTAGTTGAAACTGATGGTTTATTAAAACTTCGTACACAACGAAAAAAGAAAAAAATACCACCCCCACTTTGCCTCATACATATTACAATCCCTAGTCCCTAATCCCAGATACGAGCTACTACTTCCCACACTTTGAAAACTTTACCGAATAAACTGTTGTCAAGATCGCTTAACTATGAGCCCCAGTGGCTGTTGACAGACACCCTTTCTTGTGCGTTTTCACGTGGCAAGAAGAATATCGGGCAGACCAGCAGTGAAAAGCTTGGAGACGCTGAACGCTTTTGTCTCCTCCATGCATGTTGTATTGCAAACATGGCCCCTAAACCACGCAAGTCCAACTGAGTAGTTTGAAACCACCTAAACCTAGGTATGCTAGAACACAATAAATCACTTCCGACACCACCTGTGGGAGATGTGAGCAAGCTTGCTCTGGAGAAGGTGGCTCACTCACCGACGCGATGCACGTAGGACACGACGGAGGGCGGCAGGTCGTAGTTGAGCACCAGGCCGACCCCTTGGAAGTCGAGGCCCCTGGCCAGGAGTTCGGTGCAGATGAGCACCCAGATGTGGCCTGCCCGGAACCCCTGGACCACCCGGTCCCGCTGCAGCTGCGGCCGCTCCGAGTGGATGGCGTCGACGTTGATGCCGTCATACACCAGCTCCGCAAAGAGCTCCTTGGCCCGCTGCTTGCTTTGGACAAAGACTAGGACTGGGGGCTGCAACTGGCCCTGCAAGGGTGAGGAGGACATCGAGCTCAAACTCTTGAACCCGAGCTCAACCTCGGTCAAACTTGTAGAAACTCGCCCATTGAAACTTTAGTACTCAAACTCATAGAAACTTACCCATTCAAACTTTTGTACTCAAACTCGCTCAACTTTACACATAGAAACCCTCTCACTGAAAGTTATGGATTTAAACTCCCTCAAAGTCATGAACTCAAACTTATGTACTCAAGCTTGCTCGAATTCACTCTCACCCAGACTCATAAAAACTCGCTCCCTCAAACTCTCTCACTCACTCAGACTTGTAGAAACTCTCACCCACTCATACTTATGTACTCAAACTCGCTCTAACTTATGGACTCGCAAAAATTCATAGAAATGTAACTTAAACTTATAGACATAATAAAATTGAATTTCTGCACGGTCACTAGTGAAAAACAAACTATTAAAGGAAAGTAGGGTAGTCTATTTTTATTCAATAATCAAACATAATCATAAGTAGGTCAAATTTAGTGTGCAACGTCTATGCAGTAGACGCGGGATTCAGCCAGGACAGCACGATTCCTGATCTGGGATTCTGAGTGTGTATCATACACTCAAGTGTGCTAAACAAGTACGATCTCCGTCTATATCAAAGTGGCAATTGAACTCATGATGCATAGTGTCCGCAGCGCGAGTCTCTGCTCCATGTGTTGCCAAGCTGCGATGAGCTAACACGCTTGGTCACCAAAGCATCCCCATTAAACACGGGGGAGCAATGAAAGCCCGAGAGTACTTTAATATGGTTAAAACAAAAAAGGCAAGCTTGTTTTGCAGTATTTCGTTTCGACTAAAATTGAAAGCAGTGTTGGCAATGAAGGTTACCTGCTTGACCAGTGCTCGCAACGCCGGCAGCTTCCCAGACTCGCTGCCCACGAATTGGAGTTCCTGGTCGACCAGATCTGCGGCGGCATTCCTGTAGAAGCAACAAACTGCGGCTTGTACGAAAGCACGAAAACTAGAAGCTTAAAGGGGTCATGAAACGCTTTTCCAACTTTTTCTTGTTTAGCTTTCCTCTTGAACTCATGAATCGCGCATTTCACCAAACAGTTCAAAAAGACGAAAAGAAGGGAAGCCCCTCTCGCTCGGAATCTGGATTGTGTACCCGGACAGAGCCATTGTCCCCCTAGAAGATTAGCCCGTCGCTGAAAATTCAGACGAAAGTTGCTTTCCCCAGCCCGTTCACCCCGATGCTGACACTGCTGTGGAAGCTACGTGCTCGTTGGGCCAGCCACACTTGCCACGTGAGCGTGGCAAATGTGGCTGCAGAGAATGAGGTCAGGTGATGAAAGGGAGGCGGCTGATTGGTCCGGCAAGCGCGTAGCTTCGACCACAATGTCAGCTTAGCGGTGAAGGGAATCAGTGAGGTCCGGTCTCGTGTGACGTCAGTTTGGACCCAATGACGCGCCTGTGGGACTGCGGATGTATCACAGTGAAAAGGCAGAGAGCTTACGAAGGGGAGGAGGTACAAAATAGTCCGCTGTGTTTTAAAATTTTTGCACTGAAAGTCAGGCTTTTGACTCTCTACCTTTTTTCTTTTGGCCCATGGAACGATGTGCTATTAGCAAAATCCCAATCTGAAATTATTTATCCCAACCGAAAAATCGTTTCATGGGCCCTTTAAAAGGGACAGTGACTCAGTGATGATTAAAACGGCCTAAGGAACAAAAGAAGAAAAAAAAAAGAGTCCGCAGGCAGTTTACCACCAATGTGTAAAGATGGTCTCTTATGAGATAAAGCAGGCTATATCCCTCCGAGCAACTTTTGTCCGAACCCTCCTTGACAGTGAGTTCCATCTTCAAGATCCAACACACTATGTTATGAAATTTAAGCCGAGTATGATGTAGCCATGAAATTACTCAAGCAGTCGCTGCGGGTCCTGCGCAAATGATTTTCTACCTTGCATTAATTTCCCCCCTCTCTCTCTCTTTGCCTTTTAACATCTTTCCTGCACAAGTGCTACGAGACCTCTGGGTTAGCCCTCCCTAAATCTTTTAAGTTACGGTGTAGTCAAAGTCGCACCTGAGCAACGAAGCTATTAATTGTTGCTGTCAAGACCGGTTATAACAAAGTCATTGGGAACCGGAAATCACTTCGTTATATCTGAACTCCATAAAATTAACACGGAAAAAAAAAAAAAGACACGGGTTGTCATGGGCACATGTTTACCGTGCCTGCAGAAAGCGGTCAACACTTCCCTTCACGCACTCTCTGCCAAATCGGAGCCTTTTTCTCGCCAACTGCGAGAAGCTCCAATCGAGAAAGATCTTGCGAGCTAAGTACGGACTTATGCGCACTTCATTGAGGTGGCGCGCTTTTGTTTTAAGAAGATTGTCTTCGTCTTCCTTGTCAAGGTGCCGGCAGTGCTGGGACTCTCCATCGTTGAGTGGCGATGATTCGCCGAATCGGTGCTTTAGCGAAGTTAGTCTTTTGCGCAAGAGCGAACACACCGACCAGCGACGCTGACATGGAACACGAAGCAAACAAAATAGCGCACACGAAACCAAGTTCGCGCTCAAGTTTGTGCGTAGTTTCATGTTTCGTCGGTATAGAGAGCCTAGATTTAAGAGAGGGAGCAAGTGCTCAATCAGGGTTACATAGTTTCTGGGCTGCGTTTGCAATACGAGCTGCAGCCTGCAAGGAGTCAAAACTCAAAAGCGTTCACCTTCTGCAAAAAGTGTTCGCCTCACCGCCCAGTTTCCTCACCACACTGGTGACGCAAAAACCAAATGCAGGTGCGCTTGCGCTAATCTGTCCAGGAGGCATCTGCCATTAAATTGCAAATGCTACCTCTTTTAAATCTCGGTTCTTTTTGTTGTCTTCATCAGCATGTTGTCGCTAGCACTCCTAGTGCCCGTATCGGCATGCCACGACGGATCCTAGGCGTGCAACGCGGAAAAGTTGCTTCCCAGATAAGGAGCGGGGAGCAGACGAAGATGCAGAGGCTGCCGCCGGCGGCTTTCGCAACATCGTCTGCGGCCTGTTCTAGGTGGCTGGTCGAACGCGGCGGAAGAGTGCGGCAAACTAAAACTTTAAAAAATTTAAATTTTTTTTAGATCTTACGAATATTCTTTTGCTACATCCACGGGAGCTGCTCAATTTTCTTTGCTAAAAACAGACACAAATGCATTGAAAAAGTGCAAATGGGAATGGGAAATAGTGATCCCTTCGCTGTAGCTGCTATTTCATTATAACCAACTTTGTTATAACTGGTCTCAACAGTACTTCAAACGGGAAGGCATTGTATGAGCTCGAAAATGGCAAGCAGGAAAGAATTGCAGGCCTCTGCCTCCTCTTGCAGGAGGAACGGTGAAAAATAAATAAAGGAGATGGGGCTTTACCTTTCTGCTTGCCGATCGGCTTCAAAAGTGATAACATCCCACCAGTTATCAGTGTTCTACATTAATTACTTACAACACCTACATCACCTCAAGAGGCATTAAAGTGTGTGTGTGGGGGGGGGCACATACATACACAAAAAGGTACACTGTACATAACAATCAGGTGCTGTTTGTGCTCCATGCATAACAACCAACTTATTGGTGTACTACACTATGCAACAACGGCACAAAACGAATGGGGCATCGGCACTCTGCCAGCAAGGACCGCGAGGCCGCGTGCAGAAAGATGGCAGCACCCCACAGCCACTGGCAGGTGAATGAAGATTGGGGGTGCCTCTAGTACAACTCCAACTCACCGTATGCCGACAGTGAGCGTAAGCAGAGCGTCGAGGTGAAGCCGACACCAGTCCTCCACCTGGCGGGTCGCCGTGGCACTGAAGAGGGCTCTGCGCAGCCGGGGACTCCCGCTGCATGCTTGGCACACGCGTGCCAACTGCTCCCGGAAACCGCGAGCACCGCCGGCCGCCTCGAACAGCTTGTCCGATTCGTCCAGTACCAGCCACTCCACCCTGCGTCGCGGGACGACAAACGCGGCGACTGAGTCGGCGAAAGCGTCAATGAGGCCACCGTGCCCAAAACGTGTCTTCTGCCGGTGCGTTTACCTTCCCCTCCCGCCCGTGCGGAATGGGATGATGAAACGATTCAGAGATTTCGTGCAGCCGGTATTAGTTGGTCTCATCGCTGCTGGCATGAAGCCCGTGATTGGTTCCAAGTTCGCACCGAGCACTTACACAGCACTCGTGCGGAATGCGTTTCTATTCGAGTACACTTCGAATGACGACGAAGCGCTCGCGTCTAATGCGCTCGAGACCAGCCTGCTAGAAGTCACCAGCCCATGGCGGCCCCGCGAGAGCCACCGTCCCGAAGACCGCTGCTATGCCTAAAACTCTTCACCCTCTTTACCATCCCATCATCATCATCTCGCCACCCTCGCCCACAAGCTCCATTTAAACATATTCAGCACCATAAGATACCACTGCATCATCATTAGACGCGGTGCCCCAGGCCTTTCTTTGGCACCGCGGCCCTCCTGAGCTAGAATAAATATAGTATCACCATCAATATCAATACCGAATCTGAACGTGAGAATCGAGCGCCTAGCTTCAGTTAGGCAACAACCCTGTCGAGTCAAATCACGGATGCATTATTCCCAGCTACCGACCTGTTTAGCTCCAAGATGCCACCGCGGATAAGACACAGCAAGCGATTGGGTGTGCACACCAGGATGTCTGTAAAAAGAAAGAGGATGTGGTGTCAAGAACAAAATTTTCCAACAATTTCCATGAAGCTTTCGCTAGTTTAAACGGGAGCTACAGCAAGTTTTGGCGGTCGCCTATTTGCCTCGAAATTGGTCCGACGCATGAATAGAAATGCCTCGAAATTGGTCCAACGCATGAATAGAAATGTCTGAACTAGTAACTCAAAATACAAGCCACAATTACGTTTTTTTGTTTTTTTTTTTAAGGTTACTGAAGATTGAAATTTGTTCTAAAAGACCAAGAGGCTCCAATGGTAACACAATAAATGTGATGTCAAATGTGTAATACGGGGGCAGTAAAGCTTGTTCACGACGGTTTACGAGAAGTCTGGTGGTGCAAAATGAATGTTAAAAAAGCTCATGCCAGCTAAACAAAAAAGAAAGAGAAAAAAGTGGCATGCATATACTATATTTTAGACTGTCTGCTTGACTTGCAAGTTATACAGCGTGTCCCATCACCCCACTGGAAAGAGCAGGAAAATTTTAACGCTGGTTTTGGCATCACTTTTAAAGTCAAACGTCATTATATAGAACACGGATATATAGAATTATTGCTTATATTGAATCGTTGTCGAACTATCATAAGAATTACATGCATTTTAAATTTTTTTATAACAAACTCGGTCGGTTAAAAAATGAATACATCGAACTTTGCAGCGCCGGAAAGCCGCGCTCCGGAGACAGGCGGCAGGCTCTCCCGCAGCACATCGGAGGGTACGGCGGGCTTTTCCGCAACACATCGTAGGATAGCGGTGGCACAGCAGGCGTTTGCGACTTTTATTCAAGAGCATGCCCGCATAAAGCTTTATGCCTATGGTGCCGGGAACGCCATCCAGATTCGGCGGCATACGGGCTCAGTCAGTTCAATTGTATAGCCAGCATCGCTCTTTTCATGCCCTGCGCGTGGCCTCCGCAGTATCGTTCCTCCGAGTTCCTTCTTCTGATGTTCCGTCAAACGCATGTGGAGTGCTGATGGCAACAAACGTAAAGAAACATACGTCGCTGACGTTTGTGACGAAGCTTGAAATCATCCGCCGCGTTGAAAAAGGAGCAAAGAAGTCCAGCATTGCCGAAGCGTACAACATACCGCGAAGCACTTTGAGCACGCTGCTGAAGACGAAAAGCGACATCAAATCGAAGGCTGAACGAAGCAAGCACTCGGGCGCACGCTGTGTTCTGACACCAGCCTTCAAAATGGTGAAAAGATCACTTCACATAGGGGACGCAAGGGCTCGGAATGTTACGGCGTCGGGTCTGACGCCTCAACAGAAAGCAAAGAACTTCGCATTCATCCACCAAGCACAAAACGTCGCCGCAAGTAGCGGGTGGCTACAACGTTTCACAGCCTGTTACGACATTGTCGGGAAGACGGTCTCGCTTTTACGCCGCTACTGCAGTGCAATCGACGGTAGTGGTCTGGTGCTGGTGGACTGCTTGAAGACAGTGGAGTGGGCCGTAATTAGGCTAGCGGTCAACTCCATGAAGCAATCTACGCCGCGGTAGTTTTTTTCGCCGGTATGAAGAGTTCACCTTAACACTTCACACGAGTAGTCATTTTTGCCGCTAGCCTTTTTGGGGATGAAATCGCGCTGTACTTTAACGCTTTTTTTTGTGTGATTTTGTACATCGAATTTGGAATATATCGAACTATTTCACGGCCCTCGCACTGTTCAATATAATGAGGTTAGACTGTATTTGCCGTTTTCTCAATGGCTGTTTCGAATGTAGAGATAACAAAAAGCACACCTCCAAATTCCAAAAATATGCTTAGTTTAAGTAGCTAAAAAAAAAAAAAAAAAATCTTTGCCGGTTTTGATACAACCTAACACCTTATAATTTGCTAGACAGCCATGTGCAAAACGAGGTTCCAACTGCCAGTTCAAAGACGCAGAACGTCGCCGACGCTCAATGCCGCCACGAAACTGCCGGTACCTCAACAAGTGCTTCGTTGCCCAACAGTGTGACCTAGATCAGCCTTCGAGGTACACTGGTTAATGCTTCGGATGAGAAATTGAACCAGTGCAGTATGAACAGTGGGGTGTCCCACATGCATTTGCCTAGTGTTAGATAAAGCACATTTAACAAATACTTGAAGTAAAGTATAAGGGAAATGAGAGGTTACATACTTCAAATAAAGCAGTAAGTACACTGGGTGCAATGTACCTGAATTAAAACCTGCCATAAATACAATGAACTTTCCAAGAAAAGTACAAGTACAACACAATCTTTGATGATGCCCTTTCATTCCTGCGGTGTTTCCTAACTGGTATGCATTGCCCCAGGTGTAATCAAGGGTGCATCAGTTATGTTTGGAAATGGCGGCGAATACTGAATAAAGTCAAGTGGCCGGAAATGTTTTACTCTCGTCGACAAACTACATTTAATGCACTCATAAGGCACTTATATGTATTGGTCTCATAGCCGCTATTACTTCACTTGGAGCGATGACCAAATGACGTCTCAAAAGAAGATAGTACGCTTTCACATGATGATACACCGTTTTTTGTAATTGGTTGGTCAACTCTTAGACTAGCCCTTCCAGTATTTCTTCAGAGCTGACGAAGCATCATTTTGCGAAACAAACTCAACGAGACCAAATCTGGGGAACATACTTTGACATCAAGAGTTGTACATTCCTGGGAAGGTACCAGAACTGATACTTCAGGCAAAGAGGAAGTACATACTCGGTCAGTGTATTTCAAGTAAAGTTATTCTAAATCTACTTGAAGCAGTCCTTTAAGTACAATGTACTTAAAGCACTTCTCAACGCTGCATTTTTCGGTAATGATAACATGAGCGTGCACGCCGGTACGACGCCCGTCCGGAAATAATACCGGCAGCAACTCCTTGGGAGCATGTGGAGCAGTGCAAGCTCTTGCTCCCTGTGCCCTGAGCCGCGCTAATGCGCTTGGCTACCGATACCTCTGCGCAAGCCATGCTTACAGGCATCGCCACTCCGTTCAACAATCTTCTTCTGGACGTCGCCATTTTGATGCCTAGTGCACAGCGGGTGCAATTGGCAATAGTAGTTACGATACAGCTCCAGATAACTGGCAACAAGGACTTTAACCATTAAGATGGCTGAACTGTCGTTACACAGAAGCGAAGCCGACTTTGTGGCTCTACGCGTGAGTGTATGTACCGAGCTTGTGCTGAGCCGACGCCAAGCGTGTGCGCGCGGAGGCCAGCTTGCTGAGCAGGTAGACTTTCAGCCCCGTGTCCCGCACCAGCTGCAGGCACTCGCGGTACGTCTGGCGTGCCAGCTCCCGCGTCGGGGACAGCACCAGGGCACGGAAGCCGCCGCCGCCCGCGCTCTGGCCGTCGCCTTTGGTCTTGCCAGACTGTTGTCGCTGCAGTCGAAAAGGAAAGTGCCAAATGTCGCAACAGAACCAACGCTAAACGGACAAGCAAATGAAAGAGACAAAACAAGCGACGCCGAGACGGGAACTTAAGATGCTAATTTAATGAGCACTATGGATTCAACTCTTTTTTTCCCACAAGTAACTGGAAAAGGGAAAGACCTTCAGAGTTCCATTGTAAGTATGGTAGTTGACAGTTCTGATGTATTGTGCACTGAACCATTTATACCTGTTTATGTTGAAAACAAAAATAAAAAATAGGGGATTTTAGAACAGGGCGTTTTATGCAATTGATTTTCGTGTTGGTTTGTTCAACAGGCACTTGAGAAAACACAATTAGATCTCGAAATGATTTTCACTTTGAAATGCTTGTTGCACAAAAAATGGGGAAATTCGCGCTACTAATTCACGTATAAGGAATAGACATGCCGCAAACAGTTTCTTCAAAGAATTCTCTTTTACTATAAAGTCTTTGCTAGAGTGTGGTTCATTCAAGGGAAATTTTGCAGTATAGTTGGGTAAAGAGCAGAATGCTAGCCCGAGATGGCAAGCCAAAATCTTCCAACCATGGCGACTGACCTGCAGTTGTCCGATGATGGGAACAAGAAATGCAGCTGTCTTGCCGGAACCGGTTGGCGCGCAGCAGAGTAGCTCTCTTCGCTGTGGGGCAAGCCACATTGTGACGGCATGAGTGGTACTGACCGCCTCATAAGGAGAATTAAAAAGCAAGTACTACATCTTGGACAGACTTACCCACATCTATTTTGTATTCTCATTAAGTACAAAGGCTGCCAATTCTAAAGCATTGACACAAAGGCCAGTTCAGACATCCGGACTTGAGTGTGACCCACTCCATTGCAACTCCTTGCACTCCACTATGACATGTCACGCGGACTTTGGTTGCAATAGCGATCATCTCGCCACAAGCAGTCGTAGGAACTTGTAGAACTGTTAGTCACACCAAATGCAAATGTCTGAACCATCTTTCAGAATGATTGGATAACAAGGGAGAAATCAAATGAACTGCAGAGTCATATTTGTCCTTTTATCAAGGCAGGGATACATTGGACTACACCATTTCATGATACTCTTATAGCCACCTGATCAATATAATCAAGAAACGTGGCTCAAACGGAATGACGAATAGTTCTTTGAAGCAATCAGGGCTGCTTCTAACATTGCAATGCTTTAGCACTAGACATGCTATCTTTTGCGAGACTGCTCACGGGACAAGAAATGCCTAAGCCTTTTCTTACGACACCTCCAGCACCTGCTCGTTGCTTTCTGTAGGGCTTCAACTGCGCATGCACGTACGAAGCTCCTGAGACGCCAAAGTATTACCGAAGGCAGGAAGTTAGTGCCGATTGCAGAACAACTGAAAGACCTCCCTGCAGTCTTCATCCCCTCTTCGACTATAAAAACCCAACAACTGTGTAACAAAAACAAAAAAACAAAAAAATCAGGAGCATGCAGACTACCTCAAGCATGGCGGGAATGGCTTGACGCTGCACGGCCGTTGGTTCCTTGTATCCTAGCGAAGCAATGTTCCTCAACAGCGTCTGCGACAGCTTGTAACGTGGAGCCAGCTCCTCGAAGGACGACAGCAGCTCCGGGACGTCTGTGCCCTTTGCCCTGATTCGTTGTCGCTTGCATGCTCTCGTCGGGTTCGCCTGGTTAGACGTTGTCTAGTTGGTCATGGGCAAAATGTTTACTAATTAACACGGTGAGCGATCAAAAGTGTCGTTGCAGTCGATCGAACCAGAGACTGCTGCGATGTTATGAAAGGAATGTCTCGTGTCAGTTTTGTTTGCTTACCTCGTTCGCGTTGATGTCGGCGAACCCAGGTTTTTTGCGCTTCACCCCTGATTTGGAAACACCTGCTCGAGAAAACCAACGAAAATAAATGGGAGGAACAGCCACCCACGACGGTAGAATTGACACAGTTGCAGCGAGATCGCTTACCAGGTCCGTTCGCATGATCCTTCGAGGAGTCAGGAGATCCATCGCGAGGTTCGGAACTCTTATCTTCGGTTTTTTTAACCAGCTGCGAGTAAAAGTTACTGATAGAACCAAACATACGACGGATTTGACCAACACTGTACGCTTTCCCAAGAAAAGCAACAGCTAACCTTAAACCTCTCTGCATCGGGTCGAAACTTGGACACGTTGAAATTGACACCGACGCAGAGCTTCTTGAAGAAATCGGACGTGTTCATGCTAACTCAGATGACACGAACAAGATTGTGAAAGTTAACGCTAGAAATCAAGAACACATGGCCATTCGGTGCTTACCGCTCACCACCGCGTGTTCCCGTTCGCCGGCATAATCACAAGAGTTTAAATAACTCACTCGAGACCAACCGAAATTTACGGTTACGTCACAACGGTCGACTTCGACCACTGATCTCTCTTCGACAATACTTCGACATAAGTGACAGAAGCAACAGAAGTAGAAAAGAGTTACTCTTTGACAGTTTTGAAAGGAATGAATAAACGAACGCACGTAGCGACCACGGCGCCTCTGGTGGCGAATGAACGCGCGCCATTTTTAAGTAAAATCGTCGAAGCTTCACAAGCTGGGAGAAAGCTTCACAGTCGTTGGGAGGTAAGTCAGCTGTGTTATGATTAATTGTTAGACGGCTAATTTTACAAGACTTGTAAACGCCGCCGACCACTGTTCAGTGTCACCGGTGCCAGCAACACGATGGCAACAACGAGCCTGTTCACACGGAAAGAATAAAAACACAGAAAATATACGAAGTACAGACACACACAGTTCTTTCCACGAGTCTCGCTGCCCGCTTCGACACGAAGGTGGTATTCACATGTCGGATGAAGCTAAAACAAAACGTGCCAAAGGGTGAATAACGAAAGTCATCCACCAGAATGCACCATCAAACACGTCAACAAATACGTCAAATGCCAAGAGGAGCCAGTTTATTCCATTCCGCTCAGTTGTGGCAGCCAATGCATCGGCCAGACTGTAGCCAGACGGGACGATGCCTGGACGTTCGCCTTAGGGAACACTTTCTCGAAGTCAACAAGGCGTCATCCGACTCCTACCATCCGATTGTTGTCCATGCCCGTACTTGCCAAGATTGCTCTCCTAGCTATGAAAACACTACCGTGCTAGGCTCACACAAGGACAAGTATGGCCGAGAAATAATGGAAGCATTTAAGATCAAAACTGCCACAGGCAATGTTTTCGAGCCCTCGCAGTCGTTATCGACATCAGAGATGGATTTCTTAGCGCCGGAGTTGTCATAGAAAACATCTTTTCCAGTTTCTTCTTCCTTTTCAGTAAGTTAAATCAGCTATCTTTACTTTTATCGTTTTTAGTATCTTCTAGTATTTTCGTCTTCACTTAAGTTTCTCTGTGAACAAAGTGGTTCATCATAGTGTAATGGGCATCATTTAAATGTTGCTGCTCGTTGAAAGAGCTGTGTGTGTCTGTTCCTCGTATATTTTGTGTTTTTATTCTTTCCGTGTGAACTGTACTCCATTCAACGTGCTCTGCTACGTGTACCTTACTCCGAGCCTCTTTGATCTTTCATGTTTGCGCGAATAAACAAACCGAAAGCACCGAGGAAGGCAACGAGCACGTGCTCTAATTCTCTCAGTCACAATAGTAGTAATGTAATGATAATACTATAATAAGAGATCTCTCCATCCCTACTAGAGTCACCAGTTTGGACGATGAAGCCAACGCAGCCATCATTGAAGACCACGAATGCGTGGCGCGCCACATCAAGCTTCCGCCTCAAATTTCGAGCTTGGACATCGTAAAGAACCAAGTCTACATATTTTATGGAGTCATCACACCGCTCCACGATGGTAGTCAAGGTATAATACCCCCCCCCCCCCCCTCCCTTTTGCAGCATCTCATCACGACTATTATCATTGCTGTTACCTTCCTGGGCATTTCTTTTCTATGTGTCCCAGCGTGACTGACTGGTTCTTTCCACTATAAAACCATATCAAACTAAAGTTCCGGCATGTTTGGGAATCAAAGTTTTGAAGGGATACTTTATAGACTGAGTCACCAAGTGTCTGAAAGCTTTGCTAATGACTGCATTTGTTTCTAGATGAGTGCCTCGAAGTGACTCGCTTCACTTCTGTCAAGGATGTGGACCTGCCTCTCTATGGATCATGTGCCAAGGTCCGCCGGCAAATCGTCAAGGAAATGGATGAAGTAGTTGGTAACACGTTGGACGAAATCCTGAGCCAGCTTGATCAGGAATGCCAAGTTTTCGGGGATTGGAAGGCCGGCGTCCGGCGATTGGTCGCCAACGAGCAACAGAGTGATGCGCCGGAGACATATCAAAGCCCGGACTGTCCCACACTAGATCCCGGGATCTTTGTGTGCGGCAGTGATCCAGACGACCGCAACGTAAAGAAGAAGGTGTCGTTGGAACGGCTCGCCATGGACATCGTCAAAAAAGTTTACGAAGAAGATTGCGCCCGAGGCCAGGACGAAAAGGTTCACTGCCCAACAAAGCCACCGTAGCCAAGCTGTCGAAAGAATGTAGCTATGGTTTTGCCTTTGCACAACATCAAATGCTAGCAGAGTGCTTTCCTTGTTAATGTTAAGTCCCTGAATGCAAGTTCCCATCCCTTTTCTTCAGTGCCTTCAACTCTTAAAACAACAAGCAGTGAAACAGAAGTCCGTGCTTCACAGCACCATCTTGAAAGAAGACATTTAAAGCTGAAGGTATGCCAGGTAGGCTGCTTCGACAGATCCGAGGCAAAGCACCGGCCTACGGCTCCCCAGTTGGTGGGTTTTGATCTCGCCAAGATGCCTGCAATCAGACGGAAGCTTATTGTAGAGAAGCCCCCGTGAAGCTGAAATTTCGGTTACATGTTAAAAGATCCCAGGCTAACCGAAATTGACCCACAGTCATCTGCTGGGACATTGCAACACCCTTTGGTTTTGCACAAAACCCCCCCAAAATTTACTCTGTACCTATCAGTCGAAGACGACATGGAAACATATAGCAAAGGGATGCATGGATGGATGAATGGATATTGGGGACCTTGGTTGTGGCACATGTTGCCAGTTGGGATTGTGGTCAATGCCGAGAAGCTATGACACGGCTATGTCATTGGAGGTTGTCCAGATTTTATTGCCTGCCACAGGCCATCCTGTGCAAGAGTTGAGTAAAGGTATCCAGGGACAAATATTCTGGGCTTCTTTTCCCACAACTTTGACACAGAATACCGAATACAAACAATTGCCTGCCCAACTTTCACTTCTGGGTGTGAAGCTCGGCCAAAACCTTTGTAATTAATGTCAGTCTCCAAATCGTGGTGTACAAATATGGTTTTTGTGCAAAATATAGTAGAAACTAACTACCCCAATGTCACCTTGAAAACGTAGCAAAATTAACACCAGGAACAGAAAATAGTGCAAGGGATGGTGAATATTAACCATGCTGAATTAACCCGACGGCTAGAAAGGAAACATCAAAACATAGAAATTTATTTTGTTTCCCGACAGCCGGTTCGGTTTTTCTTAATTTTTATCCATTTAAAAAAAAAGGGGGGGGGGAGGGGGGGGCTGGGGAAGGTTATTAGGTGCAGGGTGTGCTTTTTGTATCAGAAGTGTGTAGAATGGAAGGGGAGAATGATCCTTTTTTTCCAGTTTGAACGAGGATGGGTGTTGCCTTAGCCCGTCGTCCTGTAAGGTTCTTCCCATTCTTACATCGTGTGATGGAGACTGGCATTTGGGCTGTATAGACTTCATCCTTTCTTTGTGTTTGTGATCATATGACCTTAAAGGCCGACGTACACTTCGCGCTTTCCATTTTTGCCTGCCCCCTCCTTTCCTATATCCTCTCCACTTTTAAGCTTGCCCAACTTGGCTTTCCTCGCAGATTAGGAGAGGGGAGCGCTAACAGGATTATCTTCCCTGCAGAAAACCGAGGTTGGTACGTCGGCCTTTAAAGGGGCGATGCAACCATTTTTGCACTTTGCGCAAATACCGCTTAGAATGGATCCCTGACGTTAATGACTTATGAAACAAGCATTCGTTTTTCACCCCACACAATAGAAGCTCCAGAAAAAATTAAAGAAAAACGAGCAGCGTTCACCCCCTCAACTCGCAGCCAGAACAAGCGACCACGTGATATGGAGCCGATTAAATGCCGCCAATGTTGATCACAGCCACGCGCTGGGGTTGGCGAAGCACAGGACATGTGCCGAGTTCCTGACATTGTTAGGGCTCGGATATTGTCGTCATTGCAGCGATTGGACACGGGCCACTACCCGAATGCTTCTCGAGCTAGTAATTTTCACGAGCCAAAATCGAGTGCCCACGCAATGCTGGGGTCCAATCTATGAACCGCATTCAAATATCGTCATTGGGGTGTACTGCCCCCACATTACGTCATCAAATTTTGCAAAGGAGAGATTGAATGAAAATGATCGCTTTTGTCCTTGAAATTACACGGCAGCAAAGGAGTTTCTTGGCCAGTGGCGTTGCGTGCGAGTATCCTTGAGTCCTACTAGTGCCAGTAAGCTCGTGTAAAGTGAAAAAAAACATCTGAATTGAATATCGCTGCACTGTATAAGGAGATGAACTAAATAAACGAGTTAGCACAGTTCGAGATGTTGTCTTGTCTATTTTCTGTCCCTTCTACATTTTGATGTTTCCTTCCTACCCCTGTCTCAGGATAATTACACATGACCAAAAACATATGTATCCAACACCCCTTGGGAAGTGCCATTTTCAAGAGCAAACTACAGCTTAAACTTCGTCAACTACTCTTAATCAGCAGTGTTGACAAGAGATTGCGTCTTACGGGAACTGATCAAACTAAATTGCCTACAATAAATGCATGTTTTTTGAGCCGGTTTCTTTTGTTAGTATTTCAAGCATTGATCGTGTGGGTTTCATTCTGCCAATGCTTTAGTTTTTTTCGTGCGGTAGTTTATTTGCTTTGGATTTACTTCGGTACCTGCTTCACGATTGCTGGTTTGGGTGGCTAAGGGCTAGTCAAGCCGTTTCCGCACTTTTTTTTTCCTAGTCACCTTTTAAAATTTGTTTTATGGAAATGTCAAGGAACTCTAATTCTGCACCTCTATTGGCATTCCGCAGCAGTTGGGGTGCTGTCACAATTCTCACCTTCGCAGCTAAACATGCTTTTCGCACATCGTTTCTGTTTTGTCATCGTTCTTGAAGAATCCTAGCTTCAAAGTCCAAGGGGGCAATCGCCAGTCAGTCAGAAGCCACACAGACAACGTGCCAACTTCCAAAGTTTATTTACACTGGACCGGCAACCGTAAACAAAATGGCAGCCACAAAAAAAAAGACGATGTGCAGGCACAAGCGGCGACCATCCTGGCTTGCGGTCGCACGGCACTTTCCAAACGTATTTTAATCGTTCCACAGCCCCACCAACAACCTCATTAAGTTAGGGTTAGTAGAGACTCAAAAGCAAGGATAGTAATGTACGGAACTCTCATTTTATACGCTGCACAATGACGGCATTCAGCAGGTTGGCGTCCTTCAGCGATGCCTTGTCGTCTGTCAGCTCTTTGTTGGGGAAGGTCATGAGGAGGGTGAATGTCGATGCTTCGTACTCCGGACGAGCTCTGAAGCAAAGGAAGTCAAGGACCATCCATCTTTTTTTATAGACAGTATTGCATATGTGACTATTGAAAAACAGTATCATAAATGACAGACGTTCCTGAAAACAAATTGAAAGAATACATTTCTCATACTCCAGCTGTATGGAATCTAATATCTGAGAAAAATGAAATGTAAACAGTACTGCCATATTGAGGCTTTACGGCAAAACACACAGACAGAGAGGAAACACGGGACAAGGCATTGTCCAGCATTGCCTCTCACTCTGAGTTTTTTTGGCATGAAACCTCACTGTGAATTGGAACCAACTAGCCCAACTCGTGGTCTTAATTCAGTAGTGCCTTTCTTCTGCTGCTATTAGAGATGAATTTTTTTTTTTTTATTCCCAATAATGTTCTGTGTATTCAAAGTATGTTTTGTCGTGCTGAACAATGCTGTTATGTTCGTCACGCAACTAACAAAACTGTTGTAAACATTTTCCTTGTACGACCAAAGCACACGTGTCGTTCCCCGGGTTCGTCACTTGACGACGCAACCCGGTAAGCGTTGCTCAAAAGGATACGCCACAATGTACTTGCGTATGTCCCCCACGGTGTGGCTGTGATTCAGCCGTGCCATCAACCTGCAAGCAGAGACACATAGATGCGATGCCGTTTCCTGTGCCCACTCTAATAGACTAAAGGCAGCCCAATTTCGCCACCGAGGAGAATTTAACTTCCTGAAATCAAACGACTGCTATGGCATACTTCGACGACGGGCAGAAAATATCTAATTGAGATGTGCCACATAAGGCAGACGTTTGAAAGTTAGTATAGTTCAGTTCATTAATTTGCCAATTACCTCAAATTTTGCCGATAAACTAGAACTGAACACCGGAGCATGAAGGCACAAAAACTTTACGCTTGCACTCTGGCATGCGCTGCAGATAAGATAATTCCAAAGGAATCACTTTTGTACTTCAAGTGCCCTCTTTCAAAAATCAAGATGAGTTTATAGAATGGAAAAAAAAAAGCCGACCTTCTGTTCGTGCTTTGTCCATAATTTAAACCCCTAAGCTTGCTCCTCAGAATTATGAGGACACGACTAAAGTGAATCCAATTTAGGTTTGGTGGCTAAAGGACTGAAGGTTAACTCTGAGACCAAACCAAGAAAGGGCGCCCCACGAAAAAGTGTCATCAGATTGGCTGTGGCCCTACCAAGACCAGAAAAGCCACTTTGCGAAAAAGCGCCGTCGTATTGGCTCCAGCCATGCCGAAGCTAGAAAAGCCGCTGTGCAAAAAAGTGTCGTCAGATTGGCTCCGACGTACCTTGAGCCGTCCGACAGCCGGATCTGGATCGTAGTGCTGGGCTGGGACTCGTCCACGAAGATCGCTTGCTGCGCCGTCTGCTCTGCATTTTCCTGGACACTCGCCGAGGGCCGGATGACGTTCGGCGTCATGCTGCAAATGAGACAACTGTCACCACTTTTCCAGACACCTAAGCAAACAAAGCGTAATGGCCGCTTCGTGGCAGGGACAGCTAACCAAAAGACATGGCCTTCCTTGGAATCCTCTCTGAAATGTCGAAACAGTTGCCATGCGTTCCGCGTTCAGTCACGTCGTCGGCAAAGCTGGTCGCGCGCCACAAAACAATGCAGGACATGCTTGTTAGTGCACCCACCTTCCGAGGCGGTGTCCCTCGCCGACGAACGCCATCTTGCCTCGCCGTGGTGCCACAAACTGCTCGTGGCGATGGTCCTCCATGTTGAGGCTCACCTCAGCTCCACGCGCCTGCTGCACCAGCTCGCGCGGGATTTCCCTGCAACCGAAGGGCAACATCCATTCGAGAAGAAAAGCACTTTGTCTTCCCCGGGAGAAACTTTGTTTAGTTATTTTTCTGAATTGCACTTTTCAGGAAGGGAAATTGGTACTACCGTAGAATACCGCACATCTGCCCATTCCACATTAAGCGCCCATTCCCAAATTTGTAAGATCTGAGAAAATGCGCACAGTACATTTATATGTAAAATTGATGACCGGACAAGCGCCCGTCTCCCATTTTCTTGTGATTATCTCCAAAGTCCAAAGTTTGGGTGGGCACTTGCCCGGTATTTTACAGTATCTGTTCACAAAAACGTAAAACAAAAGGTCCCCCTAAAATTTTTTTATTTCAAAATCTTAAAGTCTGAAGAAAACCAGGCATCTTTTATGATCCATTCTGCTATAGCTCATGGTTACGGAAAGAAACGAGTCGAAAAGGAAAACAGAACCCAAGTGCAGTAGAACCTCTGTATGGTAAAGACTAACAAAGAAACAATTTGCAAAAACTGCGTCTTTTACGAATCTTTGACCCATGCTCCACACCTCATGCATGTGAAGGCTTTATTCTGATCATCGTCTATTCTGTCTTCACAAAGGGCAAAGGCTTGGACCATCCCAATACAATCAGCTGTATAGAGCAAAGCAGATGAGAGCTTTTCACGTGAGGTATGCACCCCAAAATCCCGAATGGCTTGCTTGGGTTGCAGGTTTTACTGATTGCCAAGTTATGTTAAAACGAAGTATAGTGTTTTCTTCAGTTAGTCAGCTCACTAATTAACTCATTTTACCTCTTTTCATGAGATCGACATGGCAAGCAACTTGGCTTAGGGCCAAAAGTACCCTAATGCAAGTTCCCCTTTTAACCTGAAACATTCTTTGGCTAGGTGTTTGGCATTTTGTCAAGCCCGAAAGCAAAGCCCAGATAAAAGTGTGGTTGTGAGGCTCGACACTGATTGGTTAACGGGTGGGAGAGGAGCAGTGAAGTGCTCAATGCCGATTGGTTAACGGTGATGTCATGTGATCAGGGATCACTGGCCTAAAGGACCAGCGAGGCACTCACCCCTGCCGAATGGCCATGAGGAACTCCCGGCTGCCTGGATCGTCATACGCCTGCAGGGGCCCGTCGTCCATGCTGAAACCGTCCTGCCACATCTTCAGCACCCGCACCACGGGTGCCGGCGCCGTGGCACCAGCCGCTGCTGGTCCTGACGCCACCACCTCTGTGTCGTTCTCCGTACAGCCCAGGCGGTAGCCGGCACCGTGGAACCAGTTGCGCGATGACCGCTGCTCGGCAGGCTCGGCGGTTGCGTCGAGCACTTGAGCCCCGTGCCTGCAGGGATGCGCGAGCCGAGCGTTGACAGCGTGCTCGCGGTAGACCCTTTTCAAAATTCAGTCTGGCAACTTTGATCACCATCATCATTTCGGTGTATGGCGTCTGCGCCAAACTAAGGGGTGGCCTTCTTCAGACTGATGAAGGAAGAAGTCGAAGGTATTATCAAGCAGAGAATATAGACCGTTCCATTAGGTCATAGCCGAGAGGGCAATAGAGAGGAAAAATGCCCTTCCCCTCTCACCCCGAATGTCGTCTGCTCCGCCGAGTGGGCTGTACCTAGCATCCGGTTGGCGTGCAAACTCTGTTCAAAATTGCGTCATTTTGGAAATTTGAAGCGCAGATGCGCAGATTTTGGTATGCCAGTTATCGTGTAATACTATGCTAGATAAAAAGACTTACAGGGTCTAATTGCACTGTTATTTGAGTGCTAATAAAAAAAAAAAAAAAATAGGGAAAACTGTGTCAGATTGGCCGGTCTCTCCGGCGAAAAGTAAATCCGGTTGCTGTACCGTTTTACTATACAAAGTTTGTACTGGTGTAGGCCTTTAGCTACCATGAGTGGAAGTCTGAAATAATAAATAAAAATGTGCTCTCCTGCCGCAATACACGCAGTAGTTGACTGACTCAACTGCTATTTAAGTAACGGAAAAATAGATATGCTAGTTGATCATTTACCGAAATAAAAGAACAGAGAGCTATAGGCTGATTTTGGAGTAGCCATAACTATTTTAAGAACGCGAACCACACTTCAAAATGGCAGCCACGAGCGAGAGTTCGATGTTCCGTACAGCCCGCCGGTACAGCCCAAAGATGGAGAATGGCAACCTCCCAATTCGTCGTCTGCTAGTGGAGTCGGGCGCGTGCCCCCTTTCTCGTTTTACCTCGCCGAACCCGCTGAATTTCCCGGATGTATGGAGAGGGTGCTGCTGTCAAACAAAATGGTGCCGCCCAGAGAGCGCTAAATGGAATGGTCTATACGAGGTTTGTACGTCCTTGAACGTCGTACCGACGTTCGAGACGTCGGTATGACACAATGCATGAATTGGATACGATGGCTGTGTACACATTTCTTTCAGAGTGCAATCCAAAATAATCCTTTGGCACAAGTTTGGCTCTAAAGCCTTTTGACGGCGGAACTTTAATCAAGGGGCTTATGGATTAACGCTTTGTACCGCTCAGTTCCCACGTTCCCGCCGTCGAAACCGAAACAAATCGAGAAAGAATTAAGAGGCGATCGAAGAAGCGGTTCTTGTTTGCCACTGGAGCGTAAAAGTGATGGTGCCCGATGAAATATGGTTTCACGACCGTCGTCAGTTTGTCGAAAGTAAAACCGCTTCTTGGGTTGCCAGATGGTACTGAATTTCTAAAAGGGTCTATTGCCGAACACTCTAATCACCAAGAGGAAAGGCAGAGAGTAGTTTCGGATGTCCCATCCTTAGCGCAAGCTTCCTACCTTCGACAATGCTCGGGCATCTCAAATAATTTTAAGCTTGGAAACTACATCTTTGTAAAGAGAAAAAACAAATTCTATAAGCCAAATTTGTAGCTCCTGCGCTGCAGTGACGTCAAGACCACGGCCATGCTCTCCTAGTTTTTTGTCCTGTCTCGAAACAGATGTATTGTATTCTTCACCCTACCCATAATCCTCTCGAAGATCACACGCGAGCGCCTTTTTTGCACCGAGTTGATCGCGCTTTAGAGTAGTTGTTGTGCGCCGCCACGCTGCGAGAAAGCGGCAATGACTGATGTCATTGACACTTCCGGGCTCAGCTTTTTGTATTTTGAAAGGGTGTAATGCATTCGTAATTGTGTCAAAAAATTTGTTTCACGAGTGCTGTACTAAATGCTATAAAAATGTAGCTTACAAAGCCTCTAAATTTCTGTGCCCATTACGTCATTGGCAAAGAAGCAGCGAGGAGATTCTAGTGGGAGAAGAAAACGGCAAAACTTAAACGTCACGTGAGCGTGCCAAAAATGTTTTTTTGTTGCAAAGCATTTTTTGGGGGGTACATGAAAACTTTGTGAATCGTTGTAGACCACAAAGAAGTTACAAATTTTGAGGTGTCGGAGCCCCTTAACGCAAGACGAGCAGGCTGATCGTCGTCTTGGCAGTTTTCGTAAAAAAATATAGGGCAGGGATGCTATTTTGTTAGTGATCGAAGAAAAGATGTATGACGTGGGCAAAACGACGTTTTGGGAAGGCCTTCGCTATACTGAAACTGCAGCCTTTTGGCTTATTGCATTCTTCGTTTCATTAATGATCAGAGAAAAATAGGTAGGTTTTTTTCCATTTGGTAGGAAGCCGCCTATTTACCCATTTAAATGAGGTGTCCAATTTTAGGGATTTACGACACTAGGGAAGTTTTTCTTTTTTTTTTTTTTGCAATCACATAAAAAGTTTTACTTGAGATCTGGGACTTTACATCACTGCCTTCCTAAACATAAAGGTTTCTTTAGATTTTACAATCTGCGTCGCCATCGATGTCGAGGAAGAGAGATGAACGCGAAGGCTGTCTTGCAGTGGCACACTCTAAACTCACTTCTTGGCTGCCTTGAAGACCTCTACAACAAAGTTGTCCTTCTGCTTCTTCCCCGGCCCAAGCACCTGCTGGCCACTGAAAAACGAGAAAACATGCCAGTCAAACAATGGCTACACGACGGCTTCAAGTTGGCTGTATGTCGGCAGTGAAACCGGGCACGGGCTGGAATGTGCAGTGTCGTACCTGCGCTCGGAGCCGCCTGCATAGAACGCCTGGCCTTCTTCCTCATTGCCGCTCTCATCTTTGGTTAAGTCTGCGAGGCCAGCAATCCTGGAAGATGTAACCAGAGCCAAGAAAAGATGGAAGCCGCTGAAAATTTCTGCGCCAAGGTGCCAGGTTTTCCGAGACATTAGTCAAGAACAGGGCGCCTGTGTTCTTAGGGCGGTGCCACTCGTTGCAATACCTGATACCAACAGTATGCAATCACACACAAATATACAAAAACTGAAAACCAACCTGTTGCAATTCCACAGCAAGAATGTCCTTTCACATGCACCAAAGCAAAGAAATGAAAAAGCAGTGGTTCTCAACCATTGATGATTCACGGACCCCTTGTGGATTGGCAAAGATGATGGAGTACCCCGTTCGTGGTGAGGGGAAGAGAGATGTGTAGGTTAATTATGATAATGATTTAATAAATTGGTATAACTGAGGGCTAGTGAGAAGTAGACTTCTCTCATTGACATACAGATGGGAAAACTCGTTTGAAAATAGAAATGTTTCTTCTCAACCTGAAAAAAGACAACTTCTATTGCTGGGTTTAACTGATGATGCAGGGCTCCGCGGACCCCTAGAATGCCTTCGCAGACCCCAAAGGGTCCACGGGCCTTCATTTCAGAAGCACTGTGCTAAAGAAAGGATTTGATGTCACCATTCGATGACATTATGGCACCTTGGATGGGAGGCATGTTGCTTATGGCTTTCTTGCGAGTCTCTTCATTAAAATTTGGAGAATTTAATAACCTTGAATGTCACAATCAAATGATTCCAATTAGTCACGTGTAAGAGACTAGTATGCAAAAATTAACCAAACAAAAATAAAAGAGTGACTATTTTTTTTTTTTTTTATTAGATAACCCACATGTGATGAAATTTCAGTGCTGGTGACTAGTGAAAGGAGAGCATCTGTTGGTTCAGTGGTACCGTACAGTAGGATCAGTGCTCAACTTAGTCAGTGGGTGGAACCAGGGGTGCTATGTTGCACTTTTTGGACTCCCAGGAGACTAGGGAGAAGGAAATGACGTCAACGACACAGCAAACACAGATTGGGTGTTGATTTCGTTTTCTTCTGTCAACATCCAATATGTGCTTGCTGTGTCGTTGACGTCACTTTCGTCTCCCTAGTCTCCTGGAAGTCCAAAAAGCGCAACATAGCACCCCTGTGGCATAGCCAGAAATATTTTTCGTGGGGAGGGGCGGGGGGGGGCTGAAGTCCTATAAGTTCTCTCTCTCTCTCCTCCCCTTCTGGCTACGCCACTGTGTGGTAAACACCCAGTGACTAGATTTAGTAAGGAGAACAGGAGATATCGCTAGAAGGACAACTGTCAAGCGAATTTTATTATTTTTAATAGTTGTGTTACCTGCTAGACCTCGGCGGAGCTTTGGGCCTTTCAGGCGTAGGACTTGAACGCGTCGGCGCTTGGAGGTTCACTGGCGAGGGATCTCGCGAGCTTGGGCGCTCCAGCGACTCATCCGTTTCTTCGTAGAAGGAAGCCAGGGCGAGCTGGCAGACGAGAAACAACGGGTCACCGTCGGCTCCACCGTTAAAATCACTCAAACTCAACGGAGATCACCAGAAAGCACGAAAAACGCCACGTTTTTGACGCTTAATACCCGAAGCCTCGACACCGAAACGAACACCAAAACATCAGCGAACGGAGAAGCCGTGTAGCTCTAGGACGCTTTTCGGAGGATTGTCTGGAGAGATCGCCAGAAAACAAAACATTGGCGATCGATGTAGAATTTGAAAATCGGCCTACCTGAAGGTCCCATGCCGCCGACTCCAGGTAAAGCTTGGCCCTGGCACTTTCGACGCCGGTGACACCGCAGAATTGGGCGATTTGGTCCGAATGTTCCTCGCAGTCCGCCATGACAGTTTCTACTGGCTAGGAGCTTTGATGATTCATTGTTCAGTGGATCCACTCCTAGCGAGGAGAGTGGTCCAACAAAAATGTTAAACAAAACTTAATTAGCAGGTCATTTAAATTTAAATTAGATATATAAAGTTTAATATTTTGTACTTAAAATAATGTTTTTTTATTTAAAAAAAATATTGAGTCATTGTCAGACCTAAAAAGAAAAAAAGCATGGGCGCGCTGCCATAGCATCCGACACCGATCAGTATTATCATCATCGCAAACTAAAAAGAAAACTATATTTTTTAAATTTTTATTTGTTCTTAAGTTTATTTTTAGTTTTTTGTGGATGAACTTGTTGTCTTAAATTGTTTACGTGATACAACTTGCAAATTGGAACGTATGAATTATCAGACCATGGCGATTCTGAAACAATCGAGCACCGGTCAGGCGACCCATCATCATGACCGACAAGAGAGGTTATTTCCCTTGCTCATTGCACTTTCTCTTCTCAGACCATGGGAAGAGGGAGAGAAGGGGGGTTTCTTTGGGAGGGGACGAGGCACGACGCCGAGTGTATCCCACGTTGCCGTTAGCTGCCATGTCCTAACAGTAGCTCGTAATCCTAACCCCTCGTTAGTATTATTACTACTTCAACTTGTAACAACAATTTAAGCCGATCTCCGATCTCATTCCTATCCCCTCATCCAAACTTCTACGCTGCCGTGCCGCCGAGTCCACCGACTGCGAAGATGGCTGTTACCGCTGTATCCTGGGAGCTGTACGAAATGTTCGAGGCCTTTCTAAAGGTAAGTTAACATTCCATTCACGATTTCCAGACCTTACACATATCAAAGATTGAGTCCATCATGAGTTTGATCGAACGTTTCTGCAATTTTGTTTTTAAATATAAAATCAGGAAAAAAGTTAGCGTTTTTCTGAGCCGGAGAAAGTTTCGTGCTCAAAGCCGTGGTTGCCGACGGTCAGAGCAACGTTCGCAGCGTCGAAGATTGCGAACCTAGCTTCTGTTCTTTCGCTGAAACTTGATTCAAACTTTTCGTTCGCAGGCCCCCGTCTATCACCTCGCTTTAGAAGCTCTCCTTTTCGTCTGGGTGCTGTGGCTGTTGCTTAGAAAAAGTGCGCCGCTCGACGCGGGCGCCTCAAAGCTGACAGAAAAAGTGAGTACATGAACCTTCTTTTTCTTTCTTTTTTAACGTCGCTTGTGTCGTGGAAACCTCAAACTTTACCGCCTAGAAAATACTGCGGTGAAAGTCAGACGCGGGGCTCGTATCTCGCAGGAAAAAGATGAGCTGATTGCGGAGTGGACACCCGAGCCACTGGTACCCGACACCCCTCCAGATCACCACGCGCTCCATCCTCGAGTGATTACGAGGTTGGTGATGCGCTCACTGACTCGAGAGTGACTCTTTGTTGCCCGAGATAGGGTGGGCTGGAAGGGGAGTTGTGCTCATGGCCTGGTTCGACATGGAGGGCTGGAAGTGACGGTGTGGGTGTTCTTTGCTTCTCCGCATTGTGTCAGAAACGCCAGATGGTCATGGTCCGCACGGCGACGCTGATGCTATCATTAAAGTCACGCTTGGTACAAGGCACCTTGTTCTAGCTAATTAGGAAATTTGTTGTCTAAGATGAATAAGAAAAGAAGAGATTGAAGTAATTTTGATAGCAGCCTTTACGAAGGTGAGTTCCATCTGTTAAGTCTTCAGCTCCCGTGTGTACTGTCAAAGCTTTTATGCGCAGCGCAAGTTCGCTTGCTTCTTTTGCAGGGGTTGTGTTGGCATCAGATTGCCGAGCTCTGATTGGCTCTGATTGAAGGATAGTGCATAGAGCTCAAGGCACTTGCTTTGAGGTCAGCCCACTATCCTTTCAATCAAAGCCAATCAGAGATCGGCGTCCTTCTGACATCACCGCAACTCCTGCACAAGAAGCAGACGACTTGCTCTTCGCATAGACATCTCGACTTGGTTGCATGAGCATGAGGACCCTTTCAATCCTGTTGCATGAAGCCCATCACATTGGATCAATCTGGCTTATCATGAATTGACTGACGAACCCTTACCCAGCTATGACCGCACATTTCTACTGAGCCTAAAGTAATTTCAGCGCATAAAGGCAACTAATCCATGGATTCAGGACAAGTGGGGGGGAAGAGCACTGGGATTGAATCTTGTGCAAAACTTAGTTCTGCTCAGCCAATCATCTACCTGAGCCGCACCACTAATTGTTTTCAGATGGACAGGCATCGTACAGGCATGTGGTCATGTAATCACATTAGTTGGAACGGGGAAGTTAAAAAATGAAAAATATAGAACTTTCGATTGGTACCACCTGGTAGGCCCAACCAGTATTAAAGCCAATTTAATTTAAAGTAATTAGATCTTTGGATCAAATGGAAATTTTATTAAAAAGCCAATTGGGAATTGAACTAAGAAAGAACTGGGCCTTGCCAAAAGAATGACCCAGGAGGAGCCGACAGGTAGAAAGGACCCCTAAGAGCCCGACGCTAGCCAATCCAGCCCAACTTTGCAAAGGAGCACAAAAGAGCACCACAAGTGAGTCGACTATGGCCGAGGATAATAAGTGAGCGGAACAACCACTGCCGTAATAATTTTTGCTTTTCCCCTCCTCTCAAGGAGGAACCCCAAAAACGGGGTTCGCCCCCCCCCCCCCCCCCCCCCCTCCCCCCCCTAGTCATCTAATCACAGCAGTGTAGAGCAGATTTCAATCCTCGGAGCAACAGTCAGCCAGACTGTACTCGACAAGTTACTGCTCCACAGCGTTGAACCATGCCGCCAAATCTCTGAGGCGGATTGACTTCTCGCTGTTTAAGCGTTCACAAAGCCCGGTTTTCCTTCCCTCAATACCAAAGTAGAAGACTAAGAAAATTACAAAAGGCTCTGTAGGAGCGTATGTGTTGATAAGAATTACAACATAGGCTGAGTGAGGACGTCTGAACGGGGGAAATTCTATTTAACGTCGCCACTCTGCGCCAGAAAGAGAGCCCGGCCACATAATCTTGCGGGTAAATTTCTTCTCTACACCAAAAGACGAACTTCTGCTCCAAATCTGGAACACAAATATGCTCAGATAGCGGTCTGGAGAGCAGGTCAGTATTGTACGAGCTCTATTTTTGAAAGCCATTTTAGCCAGAGTGTGCCGGTACATTTATGTTAATAGTCGAGACGCCACAATATTTAATGAAGTCATCATACTGTCACGAGAAGGACAGCACCATGTAACCCGTCAACCCGCAGTCAAACTGCAAGTTTTTTTCTGTAATTTATTGTTTGCCAGCTACGATTCTCATGAAGGCTCGAGTTCATTCTCGTAGCGGGAGATAGTTACAGGAAACGAGGTAAAGTGCATTGAGTGGAAAAGCGTTTTTTTACAGCATAGAACTAAGTACTGCTGAGCACTACAATACCAGGCAATCCGAGCACATGTTGAGCTCCAGGGCTAGAAAAGAAGTAAAAAAAACTAACAAAAGGTCATATTGATAATTTTATTCCTGTTTTTACAGGCATTGTTCAACCGTAAATGGGAGCATGGCCCCTTATATGTTTCCTTAGTTTTCTGCTTGCTCCATTTTATTTAGAGCCCAACTTCCACAGTATCACCTGGTTTTTAGTAGCAATGCAGCCAGCTTACAGATGGTATCATGACGATAGGCAGACATGAGGCTTTACTTGTCGAACCACTTTCGGCGGCCAGGAGAAGTGAGTGATCACCACACCTCCCCTTCTAGGCCTCTGTGCATGAGAGGGAAAACTTCAGACAAGGTATCTGTATAGGTTTCATCTTTTCTGTTGCCCTTTTTGTGACTTTTATTCCGGCTCGTGCACCCTGCAGCAAGGTGGGCAAGACCATGGTGGTGGATGGTCGGTCGTGCCTCAACCTGGCAAGTCACAACTACCTCAGTCTGGCCGAGGAAAGCCAGGCTCAGGAGGCTTCTTTGGCGGGTCTTCGCAAGTATGGCGTCGGATCCTGCGGCCCACGGGGCTTCTTCGGCACTGTGGGTGAGTCATTGCGTAGCTGGATGGACATCAACGGCTGTATCCTCTGTAACGGGCAGTAGCTTGTGCCACCCAGCCAGTTCTGGTGCGCGCTGGAGTCGCTAGACTGCTGTGGGAGGGCTGTGTGTTACTGTTCCCTGCGATGTCTAAAGTGGGCTTTGATTGGTTGCCACCGCTCGGCTTTTTTAATAGACTGGTTGAGGTGTTTGTTGATACATACATAGCTTGCACACGGCATCAGTCCGCTGTTTCTGGTGGCCAGAAGCGCCTCGTTAATGTGGCGGAGGCTACTCTCTCACGCGCCCTTTCCTCATTATGGCTGACCAAGTGACGGTGCAAGCTATGTATGGTATGTTGTGGTAAAAGCTGTGGGAAGAGAACAAAGCTCGCTTTTAGTGTGCAACGTTGATGCTGGTTCGTTTCAGCATTTCCTCTGACTCTCGGTGCTTTGCTTTACTTTGTTGTTCAAGTATGTGTTGCATACTTGAACGTCCATTTTGGATATATGACATGTTCATATTTGATGAATTGTGATGTTTCATTTCTTTCATTTCTTAAGCCAACTAAAACCCACCTGTGTAAAGAGCAAGTGCTTGTTGGAACTTCTGGTGATCTTACTTCAAGTATGAACATACACCACGTCTATCAGAGTTGTACCTTGTACGAAGTTGCATAATTAGAACTTGTGCATAGTTGATATGCGATGGGGCACATCAGGCCTGGAAAGGACACAATGCATCAAAACAAGATGTCGCATCATTCCCAACTTTATGAGTGATTCCCTTATGGCAAAAAATCAAGGGCATTAAGGAAGTTTAAGCCAACAGGACACTTGCAACACTCTCAAATTCCAAGATTTGCTTGCGTCACTTGTTATTCCCTGTTCTGTTGGTTTATTTCTTCTTGGTACTGTTAACTATCCCCATTAATTACAGTTGTTTCCAGTTACGTATAGCGTAGCGCTCTGCTGGACGGAGGGTTCATTTGGGCGACAATTTACGGTGGCTATCGATGGACGTCTTCGACGTTTGACGCCATTTTTCGTCTTTCGGCTGTGCAGACATTCATCTGGAGCTCGAGAGTCGCCTGGCCGAGTTCATGGACGTTGAAGAGGCCTGTCTCTACTCTTATGGGTTTTCCACTATGTCCAGTGCCATTCCATCTTACGCCAAGCAGGGAGACATCATTTTTGTGTGGGTACTCGTCTTCGTACGATTTGACCCCTTTTCATATAGTATAAACTATCATTTCGGGTCACGTGAACAGAGACATATTATTGATGCCCCCCACCCCCAATCAAAAATATGGCTGAATGGGGGGGGGGGGGGGGGGGGGCAAATGGTTACCTGTGAAAGCTTGTCTGCATTTTGAGAGAAGGGGTTGCAGAGCAGGGGGTCAACAGGTCAGATTGCACGAAGAACGTAATGGATAGACATCGGTACTTCATGCATTGCATTACACGCCCCAACTTAACAGTTGTATTGCGGCGTGCTGGAATTGCCCCTCCACCAGCGTAGTACCGATTGCAGACGTCACGTGCTACTGGCCTCGATAAGTGACCCGTACAATGTTGTTTCCGCTCCCACCTCGCAGGGACGAGGAGGTCTGCTGCGCGGTGCAGATGGGGCTGAAGGCGTCGCGCAGCACGGTGCGCTACTTCCGCCACAACGACACGGAGGACCTGGAGCGTCTGCTCCTGGAGCAGCAGGAGCGGGACCAGGCGGACCCCCGCAAGGCGAGCGTGACGCGGCGCTTCCTGATCGTGGAGGGGGTCTATGCCAGCACCGGGGACCTGTGTCCCCTGCCCAAGCTGGTGGAGCTGCGGGCACGTTTCCAGCTGCGACTGTTCATCGAGGAGTCCTGCTCGTTCGGCGTGCTCGGCAAGACCGGGCGTGGCGTGCGGGAACACTTCAACGTGCCTGTGAGTTTTCGCTCGAATAACATACCATGCGTCGCTACGGCGAGAGAAAGAACGACTTACGGAAGCCATTGACACCTTACCAACAGATATTTGCTGTTGCATTTTCATCTATTGATCAAACCGTTGTATGCATAATTGCATTTTATGAGGAGCGCAGCGAATGCTAACTCCAATCTCGGTATTCCAGGCATACTGCACCGTGTCTAACGTTTCCACAGCCTCTTTTTCTACATTTCTATTTGTTTTTTTTGTTGTTTTCAAAGTTTTTTGGAAGTCTTCTCCAAGTGTGTCAAAGTTCCTTGTGTTGCCTCCTCTGTTTTTTTTTGCCTTTGTTGTTGTTTTCTGTCTTTTGCACTTGCATTGCACGGCACGAGAAATTAGCAGTGCAGGTGCTTGGCAGCCGGCGAATTCCCTTCGGCCTTGGCCGTTGTTGAATTCTTAGAGGCCGCAGTAGCATGCCTCACTACGAGATCAGCGTTAACTTCAGTGACAACGGATTCTGCATTAATATAGAACGGGGGTCTCCAAACCTGATGGCTAGGCGTCTTCACGGCCTCGGGGACCATAAAATAAAGGAGTAAATATTAATTAGAAAATTATTTTCAGATAAATAAACCTAGATAGGCATTTCAGTATAAAAATTCAAAGTTCAGTAAAATAAAAAAAAATAATCCAAGGTGCATTATTAGAAAACCTGCGTGCAAACAATGAGACTTGCGCATCTTTGACTTAACTTTTCCCGATCCATTGTTTTTATTTTTACCTTCACCTATAAATATACAGGGTGTTTCAGAGAACGCAGGCCAAATCGCTCCTGCGAAAACTACTTATTGCAACGAAAAAAGGCTTGTGGCATTGTGGTCTTGGGCCAGGGGCCCATTTAAGCAAATTATTAATGTCCGGGATAATTAACTTGTTAATAATTTTTGCATAATGAACTTTTTTAATATTGTGTTTAAGGGCATGGTTTAAATTAGAAAATTGCTCAGCATCATTGAAGACCACTAAACCAACAAATTGCAGAACAATAGAAGGCACGCGAAGCATTTTGCGGCTTTCTGAAAAACTGCACGAATTCGACGGGTTTTTAAGTTTCGGTTTGTTATCGGAGCGTATCTCGGCCCCGGCAGCACTGCGCCCCGTGGAGAGATAGTGCAACCACACTCTGCTGCGTTGCGCGATGACAGCACAGCAGAGGTTGGTTGCACTATCACTTCGTGGGGCACGGTGCCGTCGGGGCGGAGATGCGCTCCGATAACAAACCGAAACTTAAACACCCGTCGAATTTGTGCGGTTTTTCAGAAAGCCGTAAAATGCTTCGCGTGCCTTCTATCGTTCTGCAATTTGTTGATTTTGTGGTTTTCGATGATGCTGAGCAATTTTCTCATTTAAACCATGCCCTTAAACTCAATATTAAAAAAGTTAATTATGCAAAAATAATTAACAAGTTAATTATCCGGTACTTTAATAATTTTCTTAAATGGGCCCCTGGCCCAGGACCAAAACGCCACAAGCCGTTATTCGTTGTGATAAGTAGTTTTTGCAGGAGCGATTTGGCCTGCGTTCTCTGAAACACCCTCTTTATATATATATATATGTATATATATATATATATATATATATATATATATATATATATATATATATATATATATATATATATATATATATATATATATATAAAAATGAACATATGCAGATGAATGAACCATACTTAATCCAATTTATCAAAGAAAGTTTTACGAGCCCGCCGAGAGCCAAAATAAACAACGGAGCCAGGATATGAACTCTGGGCCTCCCAATGTCTGGTCGGGTGTGCTAACCACTCTACTACTCCACCTTGGCTTTCTGGCATTTCCTATCTGTCTTATTAATGCACAAGAAACGAAATATGTCCAATCAGAGGTGTTCTGGAAGCACTCGCCACCGCGTGTAACGCAGTATGACGCTTGTTATCACGTGGTACGTGCTCCAGAAATCCTCCCACTGTTTGTCTTGTCACGTGTACATGTATTATTATTTTTGTTTACGAGCTTTAGAGACACGGTATCGTCATCACCTGTGAGAATCTCTCTCTCTCTCTATATATATATATATATGTATGTATATATATATGGGTGATTTCATCTCAAATCGGGCAGGCTGAAAGTGTCTAATTTTAAATTTTCACGAAAAAAATATATGTTTTGGGGGTATTTCTCAAATGAAGGAGGGCGCAAACCGCATGTTCTCCCGATTTTTTGTTCTCGAGTTACGAGCCGTAGGAGCCGCAGTGGCAGAAACTAGTGTTTTTGCCTGCCGTCGCAGGTCGCGTGTTTGACACCCTCTGCTGACGCTATTGTTTTCTCTACACCCTTTTAACTTTCCCCCCTCATGTAATAGGTATTATAAAGATACCTTGATGTATCCAAATATTTTTAGGAATTTGATTGTTTCTTAAAACACATGTCAAACTCGTCACTCCGGTCGCTTTTCGGTCAAATTTGACAGGTCATTACTTTGTCTGTACTTAAGGTAAATTTTCTTTCTTTGGCTCTACAGAAAGCCCAAAGCAAGCCCATTATGGATATAATAATATCATTATGATCTGTCGACTAGCCGCTCCGCTACCTTCACGTAAACGTTGTAAGAAATAACAAATGTTGAAAGTTTGAGGTCGATTTTCTCAAAAACCCCATTTTTGTAAATTTTTATTTTTTTAATTCTTTTAGACATATTAGTCGACTACAATAAAAAACAGTCTAGAAATGTAATATTTTGGTTGTATGTCCTCTGTTTGAGCCGCAATCGCGTGAAATGTGTGAACATTTGTTATTTTTCACGTTTACTTAAAAGTAGCGGAGCGGCTACTTGGCAGATAATAATGATATTATTATATCTATAATGGGCTTGCTTTGGGCTTTCTGTAGAGACAAATAAAGAAAATTTACCTTAAGTACAGACAAAGTAATGGCCTGTCAAATTTGACCGAAAAGCGACCGGAGTGACGAGTTTGACATGTTTTTTAGAAAACAATCAAACTCCTAAAACTATTTGAATACATCAAGGTATCTTTATAATACCTATTAAATGAGGGGGGAAAGTTAGAAAGGTGTAGAGAAAACAATGGCGCCAGCAGAGGGTGTCAAACACGCGACCTCCGACGGCAGGCAAAAACTCTAGTTTCTGCCACTGCGGCTTCTACGCTTCGTAACTGAAGAACAAGAAATCTGGAGAACATGTGGTTTGCGCCCTCATTTATTTGATAAATGCCCCCAAAACATATATTTTTTTCGTGAAAATTAAAATGCATACTTTTTTATTCTGCCCGATTTGAGATGAAATTTCCCATATCGGGCAGGCTGAAAGGGTCCAGCTTTTAATTTTCGCGAAAAAAATATATGTTTTAGGGGCATTTCCCAAATGAATGAGAGCGCAAACCGCAAGTTCCCCAAATTTTTTGTTCTCGAGTTACGAAGCGTAGAAGCCGCAGTGGCAGAAACTAGTGTTTTTGCCTGCCGTCGCGTGTTTGACACCCTGTGCTGGCACTATTGCTTTCTCTACACCCTTTTAACTTTTCCCCCTCATTTAATAGGTATTATAAAGATACCTTGATGTATTCAAATAGTTTTAGGAATTTGATTGTTTTCTAAAAAACACGTCAAACTCGTCACTCCGGTCGCTTTTCGGTCAAATTTGACAGTTCATTACTTTGTCTGTACTTAAGGTAAAATTTCTTTATTTGGCTCTACAGAAAGCCCAAAGCAAGCCCATTATAGATATAATAATATCATTATTATCTGCCGAGTAGCCGCTCTGCTACCTTCACGTAAACGTTGTGAAAAATAACAAATGTTCACACATTTCACGCGATTGCGGCTCAAACAGAGGACATACAACCAAAATATTACATTTCTAGACTGTTTTTTATTGTAGTCGACTAATATGTCTAAAAGAATTTAAAAAATAAAAATTTACAAAAATGGGGTTTTTGAGAAAATCGACCTCAAACTTTCAACATTTGTTATTTCTTACAACGTTTACGTGAAGGTAGCGGAGCGGCTAGTCGACAGATCATGATGATATTATTATATCCATAATGGGCTTGCTTTGGGCTTTCTGTAGAGCCAAAGAAAGAAAATTTACCTTAAGTACAGACAAAGTAATGACCTGTCAAATTTGACCGAAAAGCGACCGGAGTGACGAGTTTGACATGTGTTTTAAGAAACAATCAAATTCCTAAAAATATTTGGATACATCAAGGTATCTTTATAATACCTATTACATGAGGGGGGAAAGTTAAAAGGGTGTAGAGAAAACAATAGCGTCAGCAGAGGGTGTCAAACACGCGACCTGCGACGGCAGGCAAAAACACTAGTTTCTGCCACTGCGGCTCCTACGGCTCGTAACTCGAGAACAAAAAATCGGGAGAACATGCGGTTTGCGCCCTCCTTCATTTGAGAAATACCCCCAAAACATATATTTTTTTCGTGAAAATTTAAAATTAGACACTTTCTGCCTGCCCGATTTGAGATGAAATCACCTATATATATATATATATATATATGTATGTATGTATGTATATGTATGTATGTATGTACGTATGTATGTATGTAGAGAAAGAGAGAGTATAAATCAATATTTAGTTAATTACGACACAATACAATAATTGTAGCCCTAAAAATTCTCCAGGCATCAATTGGAGCGAATTTGAACATTGCAATATTTGCACAGAGCGGAAGGCCAATGAGAATGGCAATACGTATCACGCAGGTCACTAAGGTATACTTGAGAGCGCAAATTACTTTTAAGGCAGCTATGTAGACACGAAACAGGGAGCAAAGAATGGAGGTGCAGGTGGTGACAATGTGCAATAAATATGGCACACATTTGCGGGAAAAGAATCGGCACGGATACGGAACGTTTGGCGAGCGATGCCATTCCTTTACGCCCTCTTATTTTTGCTCCAGTAGAAGCGGCCCTGCTAAAATCAGGTCGTAGGCCACTGCAAGGACTGCAGTCAGCCGCGGGCTGAGCTTTGGAGACCCCGGTTAGAGAAGATACATTACATTGCAAGAATTTTTAAATACTCATTCCGAAGTTCCGCAGTGAAAGACAAAAGGTCAGTAATTTCCGTTTCACTTTTTCGACAGAGCAAAGAGATTGACCTGATGTGCGCCACCCTCGAGAACGCCATCGGGTCTTTCGGCGGCTTCTGCTGCGGCACCAGCTTTGTGGTGGATCACCAGGTGGGGACCGACGGTGCAGGCCGTTTTTGTTTTGTCGTCTCGTTTTCCTCCGTCACGTGATGCCTACGCTTCCTTTTTGCAGCGCCTCTCGGGACTGGGTTACTGCTTTTCGGCATCACTTCCTCCGCTTCAGGCATCCGTTTCCATGTGGGCTATAGACCACCTGACCAACCATCCAGGTGGGTTTGCCTCTTGTGCCAGAAGTTCGTTCGGTGCCGTCGTGGTCGGCGTCGGTTCCCAACACGCAAGTTTTGTGACTTGCTAAACGGGCGTCCAGTAATCTGGGTGGGAACAAAAGTTACACAATAATCCCCAGAGAAGGGGACAAAGGACAAACATAAATTTCTAAAGCCAACTAAGTGACTGGTACGCAACTAAAATATGTCCACCTTGTCTTGGTGTCGAACCAGGGACCTCTTCATTTCCAGCGGAGCGCTCAATCAACGGAGCTAACCAGTAGTTGGACGTTGGTAGAGCAAACTTGTTTTAGCACGGTTAGACGGTGGAAGGTGCAGTCACTGCCAATGTAAGAAGGGAGGAGCTTCCCTTGTCCTGCTACCGGCACTGGCTTCCTACACTCGACAGTGCTCGGACGCCTCGAGAGTGCGTGTAGGCCAAAGCGCCAAAGAAGACGTGGAATGCGAGCTGGATGTTGGGCGTTGGAAAGGCACACCCTGCCCTTCTCATTCTGCCAGTGAATAGAGTTGACTTGGTTCTCGCGGTAGCTTGTTCGGTTATTGAGAAGCGACTAATCTAGACGAGCTTTTAATAAACTGGGTGAGAACAAAACTTCACTGTGACGCTTCTTCACGGTTAGACGTTGAAAGGTTGTCTGACGTCTGTTGCTTGTAGTCGAGGGGGGTTCCGCTTATGTGTCTTTCACTGCCTTGTCTTGCAGAAATCTTGGTGACACTGCGCCGGAACTGCCTCCTAATGCACGAGAAGCTTAAAGGGTATGTTTCGAGGACCTCCGTGGACGCCATCTTTCTTTCTTTGTGAGATATGGGCAGAGTACAAGTTCGCAAACTGTGTTCTCGTGAACCCAGGTGTTCCCCAATGTGCCCTCATTAGCTCCCCGAGCTCATAAATTTTCTCAACCGTTCCTTCCACAACGTAAGGTGTCTTCCAAGCTTTAGCACAGTTTTAGAAGATATAAACCATCCTGCAATTCGTAACTAAGGTGCCAAGCCCTCCCTGGTATGTACATTGATTAAAAGCTGTGTTGGCTTCTGCACTGGTTTGTTGCATCAGTAAGCTCGTTAGATTTACCTGTACTTTCTGCACCGGTGTAGGGCAGTGTACTTCCGGTATGTGCATTGAGATACGACCGGAAGCACACCGCCCTACTGTTTCCTGCGCCAGGGCAGGAGATGCAGATAAATCGAACGAGTCTACTGCCTCGGCCGTCAATCAAGAGCGGTGGGGGCTCCTCAAGATAGAAGTTTGAGAACCTCTGTGGTGGAGAAACCATTGCACCCTGGGGGCCACAAATGAAGCAGGCTCGCGATAATTCGGACTTGGATATTTTATACCTCTGGTTATAATTCAAACAAATTTCAAAACTTTGGTTGTCCCGCTACGTTTTTAATCTATTCATGGGCCGCTTAATACGCACGGCGTTTTCGTGCAATTCATACTTTGAAGGTGAACATTTCGGCAGACGTCTGCCTGGTTGGGTTAAATGTTCCTGCGGCACCTTTGAGTGCGCTTCTCACTGGGCACCTGTGCACTGCAGACAAGCAACACCCGCTAAGCTTGCTTCTGCGCATGTTGCTTCCCCCCAGTGCACCGGTGCTCAGTGCGAAGTGCACTCAACGGGGCTCAAGCAGGGCAGAGTCGTACATGTAGAGAGCTTGGACATTAATATTTAAGAACAGGGCAAAAGTCTGGCTACCGCCAACTCCTTCCATTGACCAGACTCTCTCTATACACTGCTCTGAAGCAGGGCATGCCTGAGCTATGCAAACGGGCACCAAATTTACACAGCAGCTTGCGCGGACGCTCTGACGTGGTGGCATGGCATAGGTCCACGACACAGCGTCCGCGCCAGTTGCTACGAAAACTGCCGCGCGGTACCCATTTTCATCGCTCATGTTTCCCCCGCTTAATAGACAACTTCTTGGCCTGATCAGCCAACTTTATTTTGTTTTGAGTTGTCATCTGCTGTGTAAACAGTCCACAATTAACAACATTTCTGAGGGATAAATAAACTTGTCATACATTTCAGAAATGTTTCATGTGTGGCATACCTGCTTGTGATCAGTAAGCTAGAGGATATCATTAAATATCTGCTTTGTATGTGTAGCCATTCATATGGCAAATCATAATTTTATCTTGCATCATATTTAGATGACTTTATGTTAATTAAAAATTTCGATAATTTAAACAAAATTTGTGGCTTTCTGGAGTTTGAATGACGCCATCTGCTCTGCCCAATTTGTGAGAAACTGGGCCTTCCTAAACCCCATCAATTTAGGGGCATTTTCTGAGGACTCCAAAGTGTTTAGATAAACTGAACATTTGTGTCATTGTCCTGTGTGTGTAATAACGCTTGGAACCACCCGGACAGCGTGCCGCAACTGCGTCTGGGAGGGGACGATGTCTCGGCCATCAAGCACCTCTACGTGGCCGGTGAACGGCCGCGCGATGTGTGTGACCGCCTCCTAGATCAGCTGGTGCAAAAGGTAATAATGATAATAATAACAGTAATAATATTCCTCATTGGCTCACAAAGGCCGCAGCACCACATGTAGTCCATAGCGTGCACCTGAACAACTTAGACAGCCAAGGACGCACATAGAGGGTGTCGTAAATCCTGAGGCTGGCTCAAAATTCGGCCAGAAAAGTCTGCGCCTGCATGTGGCCATCTCAAATTGTCGTCAAAAACGCATATTAGGAGTGCATTTTACCTCGTGTAATTTCAAGGTGTGGCTCTCTTTCTGTGCAAAATGAGACCAACAAACTTGCCAGGGTCAACAGCAGATGTTGACACAGAGAGCAGAGTTGGGAAGCAGTTGGCTTGTGGCGCCATCTCTCAATGGGCACAGCAAGTAGAAGACACTCAGTCGAAAGCGAACGGCCTGGACGTCTGCTCACTGTATCCATAGGAAGATGGCATTACCATACTTCGTTTCACGAGCAAAGCACATAACAACGCTCCATGGTTGGGACCACGGAGGCCTCATTACTGCAACAGTGCCGTCCGCGACAAGAAGTTGTTCTAGGCTTCTTTTATTTTACGACAAATGTACTCGCGCAATTGCCTCTCTATCGCCACTGCGCTACACGACCCGGAAGAAATACAAAGACATGTTACTTTTTAACTATACTTACTTCGGATGAACCCTTTTCCGAGAAAAACGTGACTTTTGAACGGTGTTTGAACAATCGCAGGCCTGTAATCGATCGCTGCCGCTCATAACACCCAAGCCTTAGCACCCGCCTCAGATTCGTGGGTAAATTGAGCGTAGGGTTGTCTTGCTAGCTGTTCTCGAAGAACTCGCTACTCTTGCGGATGGCAATGCTGCAGTCGGTGAACGGTTCACTCCCCGCGTAGTAGACGCAATTCATAGGCCTCAACGACCGTGGTGCCACCTGGTGGAGTGCATTAGAACCAGGGACAGAAGTTGGATGCCTCTGGAGATGGCATTACTCCACTTGAGCCTTCTTAAACCGTGCTGCAGACAGTGTTTAGAACTTGGATTGACTTGATATTGAAAGGAGTCATGGTGCCGGGGTTGTCTCTTGGCATTGTGTTGTTATGCGTGAAATCTGAGGTCCAGACGAGTTTAGGGACCTGGCAGAGGAGCATGGGCAGACTGGAACTATGGTTGAAGGAGTCCAGGGAAACACAGGCTGGGCATCTTTCGGGGTTAGAGTGGCGATCAGTACGTTGAAATTTGAACAAAGACTAGACACAATGGAGGAGACACGATGGGCAAGAAAGGTACATTAGCACCTATCTATGAAACGTTTGAACACTAAATGGACAAACCAAACCCGTTTGGCCATTTAGTCAAGTGTTCCCACCAACAGCCTAGCACTTGACTGTTGGTATGTACCAGCAGTCAAGTGCTGGGGCAGAGCTGGCTACCTCTGTGGAAAAGGAAGTCGAAGAAGCCGAGAGCAAAATGTGGGAGGAAAGAATGCAGGGAAAATCAGCTTTATCTATGTATAGGGGACAAAAATAGGAAGTAAACAAGGACCATTGTTATGGTAATCCTCAAGGGAGCTTGTTGACTTGTTGTTATTTAAGGCTAGAAGAGGAGTGTTGAGGGTTAGGACATATAGGACAAAGTATGAGGAAATGGATATGCGGTGTGCCGTATGCCAAGAGGAAGACGAGACAGTAGAACATGCGGTGTTGAGGTATGCAAAGCTTGCTCCCGCCGTCCTGGAGGGGGTGACTGATTTAGCTGAAGTGCTGGGGTTTGCAGGCGAGAATGGATAAAAAGTGCATTTTAATCACAAAGAGGAGGTTGGAAGAATGGTGGAAATCATCTAGGGAGCATTGAATGGCATACAACTAACTAACGAAGCTGGGGACAGGCGGGACAGAGGAAAATTGGGACTCCCACCCGCATGGCTCCGGCCCAATGTCGCAATCCTGTCTCCCAGTGGGTCCGGTGTTGGGGTAATGCCGACTAGATTTGATCAGAATGAAAATTGGCGACTCCCTTACTGGGGGGGGGGGGGGGAGGAGGAGGAGGAGGAGGAGGAGGAGGAGGAGGAGGAGGAGGAGGAGGAGGAGGAGGGAGGAGGGAGGGGAGGGAGGAAGGAGAGGGGGAGGGGAGGGGAGGGAGGGGGGAGGGAGAGATGGGGAGTGATGTTTTTAGTTTTTTTGCCCTATCCCCGAAAGATCAATCTGGTGATATCCCACAGCTATTGGTAATAGTTATAAAATTACAGAGGGAGAGCAAATTGGCTTAGAAGGGTGAAATCATACTTTTGTATTTTAGTTTCTAGGCTAGGTGGTGCTAGTTACCGCCCATTATAAAGGGTACAGCCATTAGCATCCATCCATTTATCCATCCATCCAGGCCTGGGAGGAAGGCGTGGTGCTCACTCGCAGCCGGTACCTGGAACCACCCGAACACCTGACCAGAGAACCGAGCATACGGATTGCCGTCTGTGCGGCGCTCACGGAACAAGACATCGACCACGCCTGCAGCGTGATTGGTCAAGCTGCCCAGGCGATCCTATGATCGGATCAAATTGCTTGTGCTCTCGTGTGAGGCTCACGTGGGCCACGTGCCTCTATCCCCGTGTGCCGTCCACGCCTAGGGGGGATGCGTTATTCGAAGCCTTTGAGCGGCGTAATCGTTTGAGTCGCGTACCAAGCATTTGGTATGACGGGTTATGATGAACGTTGAACGGACCAGTTCTTGTTGTCCAGTTTTTATTTCCCGAGGAGTCGTTGTAGTTCGCAATTCGAAAAACATCGCGGTAGCTCTCGTTCTACGTCCGTGGTGGCAGTGAATCTAAAGACGAGCCAGCCGAAGGCCTGTTCTGTATGTTTAAAATAAAATAAAAAAAAACATATTTTTTTATGCCATTTTTCTTCTGTCACTATTTTTAGTGCCTGTGCCAGCATTACAAGCTTTCTGCAGCTAACCATTTCTCTAGAGAACAGTTGTGGTAAGCTTTTAATGCCAGTATAAGCTCTTGAGGCTCTCATGTAATCAAGATTCACACGTGGAAAATATTGTGAATAGTACCTAGTTTGTATTGGTCGAATGCTGTGCCACAGGTGCTATTTAACTGCTATGTCCCATCTTGATGGTTCCTCGAATTTTTCATGTTAGTTACCTTGAATCAGCTGGCGGTTGCAAGAAGAGGCTTTGTCCGGTGTTTGTGAGAGGGGTTGAGGACATATTGTTTGTGTGCGAGATTCAAAAGCTTCCTGTCGTCGTGGAAGTGATGATGCTTCCAGGAAAAGTCTGGTCGTACAGTTGGAACAAAGGGACCTGGCTCGAGCTGCGGAGAGTAGTGCTGGAGTTGTACATATTGGGGATGCCTTCCCAAAGAACACCAAAGATTGTTTCATTCCACAGGAACAACGGCAGCCATGAATATTCATTAGTTTTTTTAGTAACTGGATTTGTTTGTTTTTTATTTTTTCAGCCTTTGTTGTCTGCAAATAAACTTGCTTCTCAAAATTACTGTTTCTTCGTTTGTTTGTTTAACTTGGGAGAGTGAGGTTGGTTTGAAACAGGTGTTACACTCATATTGAATGAAAGAATGAAAGACTAATATTTTGGAGATCGTTGCAGCTGAAGAAGTGTGAGCGATTGACCGTGCTGGAAGACGTAGAGGGGCTAATTCAGAGTGGGTCATGAATTAGCGTCGCAATATGGCGGGGGAAATATTTGGTTGCCAGATTTCTGGTCGTGGTTGCTAGACTTTTTTCATCCTCAAAAGAATGCCACGCTCTCCCAGTGTAGATAGCTCTGCCATGTGTTCGATGGCTCTGTCTGCTGCCAATTTCCATCGAAAATATTAGACAATCGCAACTTTTGAATGAGATAACGGTTAGTTCTGAAAATCTGGCTCGGGCTACAGTTGGGCGGAAAATAAGCGTACGGTGATGCATAATTTTTGTAATAAAAAAAATACCCTTGTAGCTTTTTTTTTTATTATTATTATTAAGGGGGGGGGGGGGGTGTGGGGGGGAGACATTGCAATAAACTTCCTAGATAGATCTTACAGTACACATCATTTCATATTGTGAGCACTTTCATTCTCATACGAGGTCTCGAAAGAGGAAATAATCTAAAGTATGCAGATGAATGAACCGTATACTTTATAGAATGAATCAAAGTTTACGAAGACGCCAAAAGACAAAGTATTTGGCGGAGCCGGGACTTCGATTTACTCGATCAAGTATGTTCATTTATCTGCTTATTTTCGATTACTTTTCATATGCTGGGTTTTTGTTATACAGCCAGAAGGTAGCATATTTCAGTCAGTGTATTTCATGCAGTAGTAAAAGTAGCAAGTACACCCGCCGGCAATATGAAGGTGAACACCTTACCTGGTTTCTTGCCTGTTTTACGGCTCCCTAACGCTATATTAACTCTCAACGTCCCAAATGGTATGTTGCTTGGGGGGGGGTCTAAACTTCGTGTTCTAGCCCTCTTCTGAAACGGAGCTTGTTCCAAAACTTGCAGGAGCGTCAAAAACGAGGGCTGCTCACCTTCATATCGCTCACGGGTGTACACTGGGCGTATTGTATTTCAAGTAAAGTACTATAAATACAATGTACTTTCGAGTTGAAGTAGTAATTTTTAACACAATATTTCATATTGGGAGGAAACATGACTAAGAGTATGACGTCGGATGATTGCTTGCTTCCGCAAGCAATCATCTTGTGGATGTGTGTCTCCTCCTGGTAGCAATCATCTTGTGGAGGAGTGTCCTCTCCTGATATTTTGAATCTCTTCGCTTGCACTGACTGAGCGAGCAGTAGCGGGAGCTCAAAATGCTGCGGTAATGCCACACCTAGTATACACGAATTCAACCATGTTACGTCATGGCGCGGTGGTAGCACATCAAGCGCACTTCCGGTCTTGGGTTGTGGGCGGAAGTCACCATGTGGGACGTACATTTCTGCGTTGTTTTGAAGGAAACCAGACAAACACCTGCCTTTTCAAAACGCCGTGACTGGGGCTGTACCAGGAGAACGGAGAAAGATTTGAAGGTCAGTTTCAATGCGCTCGGTTCGTCCGGGAACGTGGATAAAAGCCGTGAAAAGGGAAATCCAGACGCCGTCGGACCACAATTGCTTGGGCGCCGAAAGGAGCTTGAAAACGAGCGACTGAAAACTTTGTATCAGGATGCTTTGCCAACCCTGAGGCCACTTGACTTTAACATTTGTCACCATTTACGTGTACTTTGAAAGTACATTGTATTTACAGTAGCTTCCTTCAAGTACTTTGGACCAGGTGTACTACTACGGTACTTTACTTAAAGTACATTACCTGCCATTTATCTTGCACTTCAAGTACTTTTTAGGAGTACTTTGCGACTGACACTTGTGCTGATGCAAGGATCAGCTGTTTCATATGGGGGAATTGCACGTGTCAAAAGCCCCCAGCTTTTGACATGCGCGGCTATTAGCGGCGAGAAGTTTTAGTGGCGCCCTCCTACGGTTCCCTCTTGTGACGTCATTACCTTGCAAACAACAAGTTCGATGATATTTGTAAATAGCATGGTGGAAGCTTGAAATCATTGCGCTCTCAAAGGAACACTGCCAACACCGTCAAAATTAAAGCTCTTTCATTCCTCTTATTTCCGTCGATGGTAAATCCTTTTCCGACGTCATAGTCAGTGTTCGGCCAATCGTGGAAGGCCGACCACAGCGACGCTTTTGGTCGCGCACGTCGTCAATATTACGAGAAGGACGTAATATATCTTTCATTCGCCTCCTGAAATCCTAGAATAGTTCCTTGAGGCTTGTAATGCGCGTGAAGGTCGCAGGCCTTCATTATAAGCTGTTTCCAGGGGAAACCGAAAGTTCACCAAAATGTGCCTTAAAACACCCGGAAAGGGCGAATCGGCCTTATCGTCTCGGTACAAGCTCACATTATCATTGGCATTGAATCCTGGCTGGATGATAGTGTCAGTGATGCTGAAGTTTTCCCTTCCACATTTCAAGTTTACAGACACGACCGAGACACCCATGGCGGTGGCGTTTTCTACTCGTTAATAAATCCTTCCCAAGCGCACCTGCGGAAACTAATGATGATTGTGAGGCTGTGTGGTGCAAGGTCATGTTTCACAATGGTGAACTTATCTCATTTGGTGCTTTTTATCGTATAGCCCCAGTGGGGGCACGGGCAACCTTTCTACCTTCAAATCGCTTTCTCATACAATGTTGAGTTTAAATTCGAATTTTTTATTGGGCGATGATTTCAAATGTTCCTAATATACAGACGACTAACAATTCACCCGTGCTTACTTGCCACTCTGCACTTTCCCGTGAATTTAGTACTATATATGATCGCCACTGTGCAGGTGAGTGTACATCAACGCTTGCTTTGCTTTTTTCCAATTCCACCAGTTTAGTCCAATCAGTCTTACCGATTCCAGGTATAAGTGACCATGACGGTATCCTAGCTAAAGTTTCTTTTGTACGACCAATGGTCGTGCTTTCCCCTTCTCGAAAGCTGTACATTTTCGATAAAGGTAATAACGGCGTGATTACGCGTAATCTGGAAGATAAATTTGAGGAGTTTGTGGCGATCAGTGCCACGTCCAGTGATCTTTGGAATCTATTTAAAAACAGCTTACTATCGCTTATTGATTGCCACATACTGTCAAAAATCGTTTCGGGTAAAAAAGGACACAGCAAGCCGTGGTTTACCAACGAGATCAAGCGCTTAGTGAATCGAAGATGTCGCCTCTTTCGGAGGTACCTAAGCCAGAAGACGGATGAAATATTTAACAGGCTAGGTATTCTGGGGAAGGAAATTAAGCTGAAAATAAAAAAGTGCCAAGGATCACTTTTATTCCTCCCTAGGGGAAAAGCTTAGGCGTAGTCCAAAGGAGATCTGGAAGTTCGTAAACTCCAGACTTGTGCCTATCTCAAATCACGACCAACTCTATACATGCCTTGCACCTACGTCATTAAAATTGCATGCTGGGAGGGCCGTCGCCATTGCGCCGTACCAAATCGTCATCGCTGCATAGGAAGTTCCCTGGAGTTGCCGTCAGTTTGCCTCGCTGAGCGAAAGTTTCGCTACGTAGATGGTTGCATGTGCGGTTATTAATTGTGCAAACAGAACTAAGAGCAACAAGCGTCGTGATCGTAACACCGTCAGTGATGCGAGATTTTTCAAACTACCGAAGGTGATCTCCGCTCAGTGTCGGCGGACACACGAACTGTCAAAGAAGCGAAGGAGCATGTGGTTTGCGAAGATTAACAGGGCCGACCTGGTCGCGAACGTGAACACACAGGTGTGCAGCGAGCACTTTGTTACAGGGAAGAAATGCTTCTTGTCGTTCTCCGTTTTCGGGAGGCGTTCACCCGGTTGCTGTCGCAAAATTGAATGTAAAACTCGGCGCAGCATTGTCTGCTGCGCCGAGTTTCGCGACCGTGAGCGCGTCAGCGAATGGCGTTTTTTTCTTTGTTTTACAGGAGCTCCTTCTAAGTTATTCGATGACACGAACCCTGACTGGGCGCTGAGTTTGAAGCACGGTTAGACGGAAGAAGGAAATCGCTCAGCCTCGAGTCGCAGCGCTCGAGGCTCAGCGAGTTGCGTTAGGGAAAAAGGCGGCGTCGAATGTCGTGTCCACGCCGACGCGAAGTTTGTAGGGATCCTCGCCGTCGCAAAGTTCCACCTTCTTCGCATATCTCGCTCTCGTAGGCCCAACGAGCTCGTCGAAGAAATCTCCGCAGAGCGGCAACGTCCGCTCCTCCGGCGACGGCATATTTAGCCCGTAGGCGCTGGTAGAAATAGATTAAAACAATTTGTTTACAAATTGTGCAAAAAACAACAAACACAAAAAAAAAAAAAAAAAAAACGCTACGCTCTCAAACTGCGTAAACACGTCACGGTCGGACGAAACACGCCGTCGACTACGCCAACTACGCCACTACGCTCTGTAGGTTCTCCGGTCCTCCGGTGGTACGGAGCAATGGCGACCGGGGGCGGGGCATCGCGGCGTGACGTCAGGCGCAAGGCATGTATAAAGGGCGACCAGGTCAGCTCTCCCGGCTCTCCCCTCTCTACGGGAGCGCGTGTACCGGAAAATACCACGTGACCACGGCTGGGGACAGCGAAATCCGCCAGGCGCCGCCGCGTATCATCTCCAATCTCCAAACAGCGCACTAGGAAATTAAGAGGAAAGTTTTTGGGCTATAGCGAAGATACGGAAGAGCAAGTCTCAGTTAAGAAGAAAGTAAAGGCCACAGAAAGAGATTGGTGGCTAGAGGGAATGCAGACAAAGACGGCTCTGGAAAGCTATAGATTAAACAAAAGAGTTATTGCCAAAGAAAGCATTTATGACAATTCTAGGGGAAGCTCATTGCTGTTTGAGGCAAGAACGGGTGTTCTGCGAACCAGAACATACAGAGTGAAGTACCAGGAAATTGATACAGTGTGCACTGCTTGTGGAGAGGAGGACGAGACGGCTGAACACTTGATACTCTACTGTA